AAACTTAGACAATTTAGGTCGGTGGAAGACGTTCCTGGAAGGGTTGCAGCCGCTTCTGGCTATCTGCTGGGATCTGATTTACGAAAACGAGCCCAAATAGCTGGGGCCAGATTCACGAAGCAGTTACACAAGTACTTACGAACGTGTGCATCTTTCCTCAATCTTTGACGGCTTTAGTTACATTTATTAAACAGTTTACAAGCATGAAAACCTTTCAAACAACTGTTGTTGTTGTTATAAACAACCTCCTGGTACTTCGGAGCCCATTAACTGTTTAATAATTGTAAACAAAGCCGCCAAAGTTTGAAAAAAATGTACAGGTTCGTAAGTGCTTGCGTAACTGCTTCGTGAATCTTGCCCCTGGTTATTTGTCAGCCACCTGGGATAAATTAATGCAAGTTTGTCAACAAGTGGATCATAGGAGGGTGAGTGGTAGTTTGTTGAAAGGGTCTCACAGATGGCTCTCTCTCTTTCTCTCTCTCTCTCTCTCTCTCTCTCTCTCTCTCTCTCTCTCTCTCTCTCTCTCTCTCTCTCTCTCTCTCTCTCTCTCTCTCTCTCTCTCTCTCTCTCTCTCTCTCTCTCTCTCTCTCTCTTCTCTCTCTCTCTCTCTCTCTCTCTCTCTCTCTCTCTCGCTCGCTCGCTCTCTCTCTCTCTCTCTCTCTCTCTCTCTCTCTCTCTCTCTCTCTCTCTCTCTCTCTCTCTCTCTCTCTCTCTCTCTCTCTCTCTCTCTCTCTCTCTCTCTCTCTCTGTATTTGCCGTAGTGGTCAGTTGGTCTCTCCGTGAAGCAGGATCGGAGCTTCTTCAATTCACTTTTCCGGGAGGCATTTACTGGTAAAAATATCAAAAGAATTCAGTAATGCTGCAATGAATGCTTGGTGAATGGTGTGAGGTGGGCAGGTTGTGGCAGGCGGGCGTCTGGGTGCAGCTGTCAGGCCCTTGACCACTCATCTCGTAATTGCAAAATTCATGCGTTCAATTTTTCTCTTTTTAAGGAGATGTGAGACGGCACATTTTCAAGTTACGGCGGCCGGGTGTGGAAATTGCTTTAAACCACCTCGTTAGTGTCAGCCTACTTGTGCTCTATCACTTGAATGTTTGATATTACACCTCTGTTAACTATCTGTTAGTCCCGTTTAAAAAAAGGTATTTATACCCGGGTAATACTTTTTTCCCCCACATATTTCGCCAGCATCCATTGCACAGAATGTTGCAAAGCTTGCTCAATTGCACTGGCCCTAACTACACTTCTGCTGAAGGCGGAGAAACTCAGCATCTGTAGCTTATGAAATTACAAAAGAACTTGACTTTAAGAGTGACTTATCAACCCGCCTGGATTACCGTGGTGGTGTGACGCCACCCATCCACCTCCAGCTGACTGGTCGAGGTCACTCTGTACTCACCTAACTTTGGTGTAGGGAATATATATATATATATATATATATATATATATATATATATATATATATATATATATATATATATATATATATATATATATATATATAAACCTCCAGTTTATTGGCCCCGGGCGCCTCTCAACTGTTAATGGTAAGGTCGAGTGAAGAAGGTATACCTTATATGCGTTATAGGGAGTAAGAGATCAGAGGGTCATTATATAATATTCTAGGGGAGTGGCTATATTCCAAAAAAAAAATGCCCTGGCAAATTAAATTACACACACACGCACACACACACACACACACACACACACACACACACACACACACACACACACACACACACACACACACACACACACACACACACACACACACACACACACACACACACACACACACACACACACACACACACACACACACACACACACACACATATATATATATCTTAAGCACATCAACAAACTGGAAAAGGTGCAAAGACAGCAACTAAATGGTACCCAGAACTGAAGGACAAAGCTACGAGGAGAGGTTAGAGGCATTAAATAATGCCAAAACAAGAAGATAGAAGAAAAAAAAGGTGATATGATCACTACGTACAAAATAGTAACGAGAATCGATAAAATTTATAGGGAAGAATTCTTGAGACCTGTAACTTCAGGTAGAAGAGGTCATAGATTTAAACTAACTAAAACAAAGATATACTAACTAAACTTGATATAGATACACTATCTATATCAAAAGGTTGTTCCCAGGATGCTGAAGATTCCTTTTGCATGTCAATATCTGACATCTGACAATACATTTGTTTTAGTAACACATTTAGGTACATCTGCATTCTTGCAGCTTAACTAGACTGTATCAAGGGAGTACAGAGTGTGTCAAAAATTAACTGTGTGATGCTAAAAATCCCCATCATACAGGATGGTTAATCATACAGAGGCATGTGATCAGTAGCCTGCACTGGCAAACTTCCACTTACGGCACGCATAGACGCGATAAAGCACCTAAATTATTTTGACCGTCTCAAAGCTCTCCAAATGTACACACTAGAAAGGAGACGAGAATAATATATCAAATAATGTATATAATATACACGCGGAAAATACTGGAGGGACAGGTCCCAAATCTACACAGTAAAATAACAACGTACTGGAGTGAACGATATGTAAGAAAATGCAGAATAGAACCAGTGAAGAGCAGAGGTGCCAAAGGCACAATCAGAGAACACTGTATAAACATCAAAGGTCCACGGTTGTTCAACGTCCTCCCAGCGAGTATAAGAAATATTGCCGGAACAGAAGTAGAAGAACTCGCAGAACCTCATCAAGCAAGTATCAAGCAGATATCTGGATGCATTGATTTTTTTTTTTTAGATGAGTGATAAACTCTACGGAATTTTGGTTACACATTTCATATCTACTGATCTCGTGAAGGGGTTACAGACTCTAAATTCCCTACCTTGTACCTGGATTATACCTGAATAGGGTTTTCAGAGGCCAGGCTTTACTTCTGACAGCTTGGGCCAACTGTGTGTTGCTTGGAGCTTGCTGCCACAGACCCACATATCCACCACAGCCTGGTTGGTCTGACGATGCTTGTAGAAAACTGTCCAATTGTTTTTTAAGACTTTCACTTTTGTTCCGGCAATATTTCTTATACTAGTTGGGAGGACATTGAACAACCGTGGGCCTCTGATGTTCATATAGTGTGCTCGGACTGTGTGAGGGTTCCGAGGATCAATGTCCTCACGGCCCGGTCTCTGACCAAGCCACCTGGTTGGTTGTGTGATCAACCAGACGTTTGTATGTGGCTGCTTGCAGCCTGACATATGATCCACTACCTAATTGATCAATTATCTCTTGAAGGTGTTTATCGAGTCCTCTTTTGAACACTGTGAGCCAGTTATGCCCCATATGTGTAGACGGAGTTTTTGGAAACTCTTGGGCCCTTGATGTTGATAGAGTTCTCTCTCAGAGTACCTATTGCACCTTTGCAGGCGATGATTCACAATAACGTGGCTAAAGTAAGTTGACCAGACCACACACTAGAAGGTGAAGGGACGACGACGTTTTGGTCCGTCCTGGACCATTCTCAAGTCGATTGAGAATGGTCCAGGACGGACCGAAACGTCGTCGTCCCTTCACCGTCTAGTGTGTGTGGTCTGGTCAATATTGCACCTTTGCTTTTCAACATAGCTAATTTTTCACATTTTGTCATGCCCTCTGGACTCGTGTGATATTTCTGTGTGTAGATTTGGAACCAGTCCTTCTAATATCTCCCGCCTCGGTCCCAATAATTTAGATGTTTTATTGAGTGGATTCTACTGTACCAGTAAAGAATCTTTGCATGTTTTCCAGGTCAGCAATTTCTCCAGCTTTGAATGGGGGCTGTCAGTGTGCAACAATATTCTTTTTTTTTTGCACACAGTGTGCACTTTTTTAAATGATCTTGTAATACAACCTCTCATTTTTCTTGCAGTTGGGATAGCTATTTAATTATGTTCATTAAGAGTAAGGTCTGCAAGCATGATTACTTCCATGATTACATTGCTTTCATTCTATATTGTGGATTTAATTGCATTTTACATATGGTTTCAGTTTTTATATGTACCGTTTTTGCCATAGCGCTGGAACTGTATCCTCATGGAGCTGGAACTGTATCCTCATGGAGCTGGAACTTATCCTCATTAAACATAATTTTCTGTGGCCCATTGAAAGACCTGATTTACTTCTGATTTAAGGTTTGCCGTGTCCTCTATATTGTCTACTCTCATAAAAATCTTAGTGTCATCTGCAACGGATGATACGGTACTATAGTCTGTGTCCGATATGATAATGAAAAAAGTACTAGTACTAACACGGTACCGGGGGGGGGGGGGGGTGCACAGTACCCTGGAGGACTTGATCTTTTCATGATAGATGGTCCGAATTTTACTTTTGTTGATTATTACACACTGGCCTGGTAGCCTGGTGGATAGCGCGCAGGACTCGTAATTCTGTGGCGAGGGTTCGATTCCCGCACAAGGCAGAAGCAAATGGGCAAAGTTTCTTTCGCCCTGAATGCCCCTGTTACCTAGCAGTAAATAGGTACCTGGGAGTTAGTCAGCTGTCACGGGCTGCTTCCTGGGGTGTGTGTGTGTGGTGAAAAAAAAGTAGTTAGTAAAAAGTTGATTGACAGTTAAGAGGCGGGCCGAAAGAGCAAAGCTCAACCCCCGCAAACACAACTAGGTGAATACACACCATCATCCTCCCCCCCTCCCCCATATACACCCTCACAATCTCTCTAGTCTCACATCTACTAACCAGGAAAGATATCTTGTAGCACTCCAGGAAAGATTTCAATCTCAGTCTGATTACCAACCAGTTAGGTGGTTTCTGAAACCCTATTGTGAACATCTGTGGGTAGAGCAATGGGTTAGTATTTTACAGGCCTGAGTTCAATACCATCAGGGTATTGAACTCAGTATGTACCTTTGTATATAATACTGTAATTACGAATAATAACATAATTAATAACAATAGTACCATCTGGGCCATTAAGCCCTTTGCAGCCTCTGCCACTGGAGAGAGACACTGATCGCTCTATCATCTTCCGCAGGAACCATGATTCCCAAAAGTGGGGGTGACTACGCTTACATCCACGAGGCTTTTGGGCCCCTCCCCGCCTTCCTGTACCTGTGGGTGGCGTTGGTGATCATCATGCCCACTGGCAACACCGTCATCGCTCTCACCTTCGCCAATTACATCCTTCAGCCGCTCTTTCCCAACTGCGAGCAGCCCCCAGACATTCCCGTGAGGCTCATTGCTGCCGCTGTCATATGTGAGTATGTGAGAGATCAGTGCAAGGATCAGGTATAACATTTTCGGGGGCTCATGCTCTGTGATGATATGAACAATTGGTTTACTGAGAATTATATAAACTATATGTAAATGTAGTATTTTCCCCTTGTAAATTGATGTAAATATGATCTATATATTGTACACAATTTAATAAAAAAAGTATGAGATCGGTGCATTGTTTTCAGAGTCGTCTGCTTGTTAGGCTACATTAGACTTGTGAACATCATTGAGCTTAATTATATACATCATTGAACATAACATGGAAAATTTGAAGTATTGCTTTACAGCTTGCTAAAGATATAGCTGCTATTCAAACATAAACTGTGAAATAATTAATCCCCTCACATATTTGAACTTATTCCTTAATATTTTCTCTTGATATGCATTAGTTCTGTATATCTGTTAATTTTGTTAAAAGCCTCTATAAGTGAAACTGTCACCTTCAGTAATGTTTCTCTACACCAGTTTTTCTAAAGAGTGTGTTGTATATATGTTTTGTGGGTGTGCATTCGTGTTCAGGTCCTGTAATTATGTTCAGGTCCATGTTTTGTGAATTAATGTAATAGGTTTTCACATTGCTTAAATCCTTTTCTAAATTAATGTAACAGGCTTTCTCTGTGTTTAAAACCCCTTCAAAAATAACTTATATTCAATTGTAAGAAAGTGGCAGCTTAATCGTATCTTAATGTTCATATTTTCCTTTCAGTTTTTCTAACGTGGGTGAATTGTACCAATGTGAAGTGGGCGACCAAAGTGCAGGACGTATTTACCGCAGCCAAGGTGTTGGCTCTTGTGATAATCATCGTCGCTGGTATATACCATCTGGCTACAGGCAACCTGGAGAACTACCAGAAGCCTTTCGACAACACCAACTGGGACCTCGCTGCCTTCGCCACAGCCTTCTACCAGGGGCTCTTCTCCTTTGCTGGGTGGTAAGGTGCTACAATGTCTGATGTTTTACTGTAATAATTCATGCTAATACATTCATTACCAATGCATGTAGTGCACTGTCACTTTTTCACTCTTTCCATTTGTTTTCATCATCTGCTATATTTCCTTTATTTCAAATCCAAACACCCAACAAATGCAAAATAATGAGGATGTGAGAAGGTGAACGCAGACTGTTAGTCGCATACCTGATGAGATGGCAGACAGCTGTAGTGTCAGAGGGAAAAAAGGCACTTTTCTGTGGGCATCGGATTGAAGCTGATGCCAGAGGTCTATAAAAACATCCGTGACCTATTCCACAGGCAAACCGATATACGAGTGTAATTACAAAATACCATCAAGTGCTGAGTTCACATACACACAGTTAGCAAAGATCTAGACAGCTTTCAGAATGCTACATGCTGTACAGCATACTTGCGACCAGTGTTAGAGTATGAACACTCGTGGTGTTCAGTCTTCCCATTACTGTTTGTCATGTGACGCTTTCAAACTACTGACAGTTTTGGCTTCCACCACCTTCTCACTTTTATCTTTTTCCAGCTGTCTACCACTCTGCAAAAGAGAGCTTTCAAATTTTGGGGCGCAGCTTTGTTTCCTTAGTTGGAACCTATATCCTCTTGTTTTTCAGAGTTGCAGTTTTTAAAAGTTCTTCTTTATCAATTTTGTCAATTCCTGTTACTATTTTGGACGAAGTGATCACATCATCTCTTTTTTTTTCTATCTTCTAGCTTTGGTATATTTAACACCTCTAACCTTTCCTTGTAACTCAAATGGTTTCACAAAGGTCTTCAACAATTTCGTTAATATATCACCATCCGTGTATTTAAGGGATTCTAAAGTTGGAATGCGTAACATATGCTCCTTACACAATGTTCTTTATGTGGTTGTTAGTGGACAGTTTTCTATCCAGAACCATCCCAAGATCTCTTAATCATAAGTCTTTAAAGCCTTTTCACATTGGTAGGTTGTGTGTGGCCTATTATCTCTCATTCCACATTCCATAACGTGGAATTTATTATTATTAAATTCCATTTGCCAAGTGTTACTCCAATCTATGCAGGGAGTGAACTAGCAGATTTAATCATAAATGTTACTATGGGTTATCACAAGCAATACTGGAGGTAATCACTAGTGATACCAGGGGTAATCACTAGGAATACCAAAGCAACCCATCCTCCGAATTGACAACACGATTTAATACTGAGTGTAATAAGTACACCTTCTCACTGTCATAAACAGTGCACAATTGCACTTATGGGGCAGTTAAATTTACCAAACCCCCTCCCCCAATTTCATTCTCCTCGTGTTCTGTTAAAACACTCAGAATTTTAGGATGAAATTTCCAGTTTGCTAATTACAAGTTTTAAATATCAGGAATTTCTCTTTCAGGTTTATTAAACAATATAGGTTTTATACAAAATTGTAAAATATCCTGAGTTACTTTACAATTTATTGATATATTTTAGTTTTGTTTTATTAGTTTTATAAAACTGTAATATCAATATAACTATAAGTTAAGTACTAATTGTAATTAAGAAGCAATAAAATTATTATCTTCAAAAACTAAGACGGTTAGGTGAGGTTGTGGTTTTCTATTCAGTTTTTCAGGTAAACTCAAATATTCACAATATATTTGACTACGATTTAATACTAAGTGAAAATAAGTACAATTCCTAACTGCTATGAATAGTACATAATTGCACTTATTTGTCTCCTTACATTTACCACCCCATTTTTGGAGGACGGGCTAACCAAGGGTAATCACAAGTGATACCAGGGGTAATCACTAGAGATACCAGGGGGTAATAACTTGTGATACCAGGGGTAATCACTAGTGATACCAAGGTGTAATCACTTGTGATATTAGGGGGTAATCACAAGTGATACCAGGGGTAATCACTTATGATACCAGGGGTAATCACTAGTGATACCAGGGGTAATCACTAGTGATACCAGGGTAATCACAAGTGATACCAGGGGTAATCACTAGTGATACCAGGGGTAATCACTAGTGATACCAGGGTAATCACAAGTGATACCAGGGGTAATCACTAGTGATACCAGGGGTAATCACTAGTGATACCAGGGGTAATCGCTAGTGATACCAGGGTAATCACAAGTGATACCAGGGGTAATCACTAGTGATACCAGGGGTAATCACTAGTGATACCAGGGTAATCACAAGTGATACCAGGGGTAATCACAAGTGATACCAGGGGTAATCACTTATGATACCAGGGGTAATCACTAGTGATACCAGGGGTAATCACTAGTGATACCAGGGTAATCACAAGTGATACCAGGGGTAATCACTAGTGATACCAGGGGTAATCACTAGTGATACCAGGGTAATCACAAGTGATACCAGGAGTAATCACTAGTGATACCAGGGGTAATCACTAGTGATACCAGGGGTAATCACTAGTGATACCAGGGTAATCACAAGTGATACCAGGGGTAATCACTAGTGATACCAGGGGTAATCACTAGTGATACCAGGGTAATCACAAGTGATACCAGGGGTAATCACTAGTGATACCAGGGGTAATCACAGGTGATACCAGGGGTAATCACTAGTGATATTATGGTAAATCACAAGTAATACTAGGGGCAACCATAAGTGATACTTATCATCAAAAAGCCACAAGTAGATGCTGAAGTCAGAGTACTGTACTATACAATTTTGGCTAAAAAAAAATATATATTTTACCTGAATTCAGGCCAATTGTCAAGTTGGGAAGCATTAAGTTTCCCAACTTGACAATTGGAGAAGGCCAGCAAAAGCTTGTCTTGGCTTCAATATGAAGCTTCTTGGTGCTCTTTTTCATCTTTTCCTATCATTTACGAGGAAAAGAGCACCAAGAGCACTTGGTGCTCTTTTCAGCATTTCCTGTCATTTTATTTTGTCATTAGTCTTCTGTTTTGGTTCCAATGGTTCTGTGTTTTCTCCATTTTTTTTGTTGAATTACATCTCATGTTGAATGCTGTTGCCTCATATCTTTTGGAGCTGGCATTGCTACTTTTGTTGCCATTTGATATTGACATTTAATGTCTCATACATTTGTTCACCTCAGGCCAGATCATCTTCCTCCTGATCACTCTTGGTCTATGGATTGGAGTTTTTGTTTCTCTTGCATTTCAATGGTTTTTGGTCACCCCTTTAATTTTGGACTCTTTATTATAAGACTGTTTATATTGGTTCTTGTTTCTGATAATAGAATCAGGGAGCTATATCTTCTCCTTCAGAAGCTGAGGTTCTGACACTTTGGCCCTGGTGGGCAGTCAGTTTGCAGCCTTTGCCTTCTTTTGTTGCCAAGAATGAAATGTCTGGCTTCTAGAGGGGATTCATTTACCTCTGCTCTCCTCTGCCTCTGTTGAGTTTCTGTTTTGTGTTTTGTTCTGTGGTGAAATAGCAAGAAGAATCCACCATCCACCCTCTTCCAAAACAAGCATTAAATGTAATGAAATGCCTCTTTCTAGTGGATCCCTGGATCCTACCTTTCAATTCCAGGTGCATTGATTTTGCCCTTGTTTGGCTGATGATGGAGTAGCTACATCTACTGATCTGGGAGCTCCTGGTGCCACCACCTGGTGTTGGGCAGCAGCTACTAAAGAGGGAAATACTTAATAATGGAGAGGCCCATTTTCTAAGTTGCTTAGATTTGCTGTGCTGCTGTCTGTTTTATTTTGCTCTACCTTTTTGGTGGCTTATCTCTCAGTTAAGGTGATCTTGGGGTCCCGGACTTTGGCCTCTAGCCCCTAGTGTGTTGATGACTAAGTGAGATGTCACTGTACCGCTGAAGGCATTTTCATGGTGTATTTAATATGAATATTACAGTATTCTGTTTTAAAAAAAATTACTTTGCCCTTTACAAGAAAATACTGTACAGTACGCTACATTAAAAATTTATATTAAATAAAGCAATTAAATATTTCTACTTAGCAGTTAATTATACTGAAATTAACCACCTTTACTGTGCACTTGGCAAGGTGATTGGCACTTTGCTAAAAGTGTTAAGTGTACTGGTTGATACCTGGTTGATACCTGGTTGATGGGGTTCTGGGAGTTCTTCTACTCCCCAAGCCCGGCCCGAGGCCATGAAGTACTGGTACTTCATGCATTACTGTAACTAAATTATAATAGTCATTAAATTATTTTGTACCATTTCTTAATTATATTGTAATGATTTGTTCAATGATATAGGATATACAATACAGTAATAAGTACTTTTAGTTCATTTGAATATATTTAATATACATATATCCCAAAGAATTCTGGTCCAATAAATTGCCCGACACCTTGCTCAGACTTATACACAAATATCTGGTGAAACTGGCATCAATAGAAGAATATCTTCTGTTAGAGAAGAAGTTTAGTGTATGTGAATATATTTTATATCAACCAGTAAATACCACAAAACAAACTTGGCTGTCAACTTCCCCATATTACTAGCCTAACTGAGCTCTGCCAGATTTACCATTTAACTTAAAGGGGGGATTGACTTCGCTTTGTACTTACTATCAAATGGGTTCCATTTGAGTGGGGTTGTATTGCATTTACTCATTACAAACTAAACAGGAATACTGAAGTTTGTATATAGTACAATAAATGTTTTGTTGCCATCCAAGTTGAAATCATGCCTAATTAAAACATCATAAAATACTTTCCAGCTTTGGTTTATTCCAGCTCCATAAAAGATGGCACTGGAATAATCACTATTCTGTAGTATACTAGTTATATGGTAATAATGATATTGATCCAACAGAAAACTATTTCCACAAGCAAAACTCAAAAACTAAGTTTAGCATGCTATCAAATTTGTGTATACAGGTACTTTGAAATCAAACTGTTAAAAAATAACTGTCCTCCAATGTTTGCATTATAAAACAACAGAATTTGACTATTGCTGTATTTTTATTTGATTAAAAACCTTGAATGTACCTTCACCATTTTATAAGATTCAGAAATATTGTAGTTTTTTCCAATTTCAAACATAATTTTTTTTTCAGGAACTACCTTAACTTCGTTGTGGAGGAGTTGAAAAATCCATACAGGTAAAGTTGCTTTGTGTTAAATTTACAAAATATGTTTTGACTCAGGGTGTTTATCAGAATTTTTTTATTCTTCAAGGTGATAGGAATTAGGAAGCCTGTCAAATGGTATGCAACAGCAAACCAAACAAATAATTAAGAGTAGGGGGTACTGAAGGATAACTGAGGAAACATATGCCTGAAAATTGTGTATACCAACATAGATGTGGTGAGATACAAAAATACCAGAGTTATAATATATAATGCAGCTTAAGATGCCAGATATTGTCACACAATCAGATACAAAAATTTAAGATAAAATTTCAAATAAAGTGGTATTCCTAAGGGCCTATTTAATTGGCAGATGTGATAGAAACATTAAAAGAGGTGTAGGCATTGCTGTGTTGGGGGGAGAAAACTACGTAGGGTAAGAGAATTAACACAAGACAACAGATTGAAGGTTGACATAATGGCACTAGAGATATATAATCAGTATGATAAGCTGATAATCATAAATGCCTACAGTCTACCAGGAAAAAATACATGGCCAAAGGAAGAGCTAGATGACAAATGAGAGGGCCATATAATGATCATGAAATAGATTGTAGTAAGAGTAGATAACCATATATCACGATTGTTGGTACAGTATTTGATGACTTAAATTTAAAATCAATAGACTAGTAGACATTGTAGACATAGTCAATAAACTATGAGTAGAGACTAGAGGTGTTAAGTATGCCAAAGCCAGAAGATGGAAAGAAAATGGGTGATATGATCACTACAGTATGTACAAAATAGTATCAGGAATCAACAAAATGAACAAGGAGGAATTTTTTAAACCTGCAACTTCAAGAACAAGAGGCCACAGATTTAAAGTAGTGAAAGAAACTCTTACCAGGGAGGTCCAAATATGACCATATTCACAACTTTTTGTACCACAATCAATGTAATTTGAATTTTCACACACATTATAAATAAAAATATAATTTAAACCAGAAACTTCAGCTTACATCCAGCAATACATTGCTACGCTTTTATCATTTGAATTAAATATAGTACTGTATATATATATATATACAGGTATATATAAAATGTTAATTTTTATATTATATTTTGTGTGTATTGTTTCAGATATTTTCCTGATGATCTGTTGACATGACATTTTGCTTTTAAAAGCAAAAATGAATGCAGGTGGTATGGTTTCTACCTTGGAATTTAATTTTCAGCCATAGAAATCATAGGAAAAACATAACCAAGCTACATGTGTGTGTTGCAAGCATATTCTGTCAACAGCACATTATAGTTGAGCAGTTGATACCTGTCATTGCTTCTCATATATGACTGCCTTCCCCAAATGACACATGTCCAGTAGTATAGCATTAACCAATCTGGCATGAGTAGAGGCGAGTATCAGCCTGTAGTCTGGTGGGGAGGGGGGCTGGGCCGAGACTGTCAAGAGGGATATGCTCGTTCTTACGCAAGTCCATGCATCCCACCCCACACCCATCTTTTTTTTTTCCAGGGGAGAGGGGGGTTGTTATTTTAGTATGAAACTTCTCCATTATTTACATGCTATGCTTTATGTCATAAGTCACTTCCAACACTTGCTCACTTTTGTAGGTGATGGTCAATTTTGGTTTGTAGGTTTGTTATTTTACATGTACCTTTGAAAACTTAATTAAAAAAGAAAACAAAATTAGTGTTTGTAGGATAGTAAATACTGTATTAACATATATACCTTATACACTGTTTACTCGTTGTTAACATTAAGAAGCAGTTCTTTTTGTTTATAGATATTTAGTAATAACTAACAAAATATGTGAAAGATAAAAATAGTTTTTGCTTTTAAAATATGACTTCAAATCTTACCTCAAATCAAGTAGGAAGTAAAGTTCATGAGGAAATGTGAAGAACAACACCACAAGCCTTTACTGTAGCTGATGTTCTGCTTGTCCAAGTGTTACTTGAGCTGATATTCTTCTTGTCCAAGTGTTACTGTAGCTGATTTTCTGCTTGTCCAAGTGTTACTGTAGCTGATGTTCTGCTTGTCCAAGTGTTACTATAGCTGATGTTCTGCTTGTCCAAGTGTTACTGTAGCTGAAGTTCTGCTTGGCCACGTGTTACTGTAGCTGATGTTCTTTTTATCTCAAGTGTTATTCCTCTCTAGATAAACCCCCCCCCCCCTTACAATAGGGAGGGTTAGCACTAACAAGCGAGAGTTCCAGTTGCATGAAGTGTTGCGTGTTGGGTTTCTTTGTACAGGGAGTTATTTTGATCTTTTGGGATGTAGATTGCACAGGTTAACCAGACAGTGGTCTGTTTTGATTCGCCTACCTTTCTGGGTCCTTCCCCAGTCGATGGCAATTATGGCATACTGTACTTTAAATGTAAAGTGTTCATAGGCCATTGCTCCCTGTGCCTCTCTGAGGGGGCCAGGTTCTGGCTCGTGGTCCCCGGGTAGGCATAAGGACTCCTGTGACTGATGACCCCAAACTAATATAGCACATATCAGTTCCGATAGGTTCAAGGAGCCTTCGGGGCTCACCCAGAAAATGGCGTTTCATTACATTCAACACTGGTTTTTTAATACAAATTTATTCATAAATAATACAAAAAAAATTGATACTTCTTACAGTTATTAAGTTTATATCTAATATTATGACAATTATCACTGCTTGTTAAATTTAATCATGCTACTTAGTATTATATTATCATTGTTATTCTTTTAATCCCTTTTACCGTGTTACTTAATGACTCAGTTAATTAAAATAACACCACAATTCATTACTGGTATTCCTTCTCTTTTGGCTATACCTTGAAGTTAGTTACCTTGAAGTGTTTCCGGGGCTTAGCGTCCCCGCGGCCCGGTCGTCGACCAGGCCTCCTTGTTACTGGACTGGTCAACCAGGCTGTTTGACGCGGCTGCTCGCAGCCTCCCATATGAATCACAGGCTGGTTGATCAGGTATCCTTTGGAGGTGCTTAAAATAAAATACATAATGCTAAACAACATTATTGTGACTTATTCTCTGCATAATTAGTTGGCTTACAACCAAAAGGGGCCAGGATTCCTTCTGTAGGGAAAAGTCGGTCCAGCACTTTTACTTTTTTTTTTCTCGAGCAGTAAATAAGTACCTTGGAGTTTGGCATCCTTGAAAATGTCAATAGTTGGTCAAAGGGGACCTTGATAAGCCTAATAAGGTTCCTGTCCCCATCAATGGTAAACCAAATTCAATGTTGACACATTAATCATACAATATTTTCCCATGTACTGTATATACACTTGATAAACAAACTTATTTGTGTATGTTTTATATTTAAAGATTGTGTTAAATATTAGCTCATGACTGTGCCAAATGATAGATCTCATTCTGAAATTTTTTGGGGGGTTTGTCATAAGCTAGTTGGTTATGACAAGCCAAAAAGTTATTTAAAAAATTTTTAATGTTTAAACAGCTGTAATTTGAATGGATCTATATATAATAGCTACTTTTTTTTTTACAGAAACCTACCACGTGCCATTATGATCTCAATGCCACTCGTGACTGTTGTTTACTTTCTGGCAAATGTGGCTTACTTTGCTGTGCTCACGCAGAGTGAGATTCTGTCTTCCAGTGCCGTAGCTGTGGTAAGTCTCGATAATCTTTTATTTGTATTTGTTATACAGTCTGTGTCATTCTGGAACTGGCACAGGTGGGTGTTTACCTATACAGTCTGTCTGCTATATTATATTACACTGTATCGATAATGTGTCAGAGTTTTTCCCCTATGCTATACAATTCTTGAGTGTTTGGAGTGATTTTGATCCATAATAGACTCAGAATCTGTTGATGTAGAATGGTGAGGGTGTGAATATGTTCATAATTTCATGGCATGATTAGTTTATTATAGTGTGCTTTCAAATTGTCTTCTCACCATTCTAATTTTTTTTATATAAATTATGCCGATATCTGTTGCACCCCCCCCCCCCTATTGATACGCTACACTTTGTTTATCTAATATATATCATCATTCAAATTTTAAGCTAAATGTTACTCATTAATTACTTATTAATTTATGAGTATAGTACTGTATTATTTATTTTTATGCCATAAGTGTAAGTTTAATTTAGATTGCTGTACACCTGTTTAGTCCAGCCATTATTCTAATGATTTGTATAAGTTGTTACAAATAAAGTTTTCATTTCTGATTCTTGAATTCCATTACACACTTCAGTGAATCCACATTTGACAAGCTAATACATATTTCATGATATCCCTATATGGAATTGTGCATTTCATTGTATTCTTGTATGATACTGTATACTGTTTTATTATAGTATAATACTGCATACTTACATTGTATCCTTGTATGGTACTGTTTCTTCACGTTGTTCTTCTATGCCACTATTGGCTTTAAAAAATTAAGGTGTTCTTGTATGACACAGTATACTTCATGGTAATCTAGTTTGGTTCTGTATACTTTAAGGTACAGTATTATTGCATGGTTCTGTACACATCATGGCATCCTTACATGGTACTGTACACATAAAGCTATACCCTTCTATCTTTCTGCCATAATGTTGAAATATAACTCCTCTCTCAAGGATAGTATACTGCATCCTACACTTTCTTAAGGCCTATATCTTGATTACATCTTACATTTTATCAAGGCAAGAACTATCTTATAAATGAATAAATATCTTATGTTATGTTATAATAGATTTTTTCAAATTTTTAAGAATGTTTTGGTATGTAAGGAAGATATGTGACATAATTAATTAAGAACCTTCTTTTTACAGTCATTTGGTAATCGTATGCTGGGTGTGATGACATGGACAATGCCTTTCTTTGTGGCATGTTCAACATTTGGCAGCTTGAACGGTGGAATCTTTGCCTCTTCACGGTTGTTTTTCGTTGGTGCTCGACAGGGTCATCTTCCGCAGATCCTGGCACTTATTAATATAAAAAATTATACTCCAGTCCCATCGCTAGTGTTTTTGGTGAGTATCTTATTAATAATATATTATTTAATTATAGATGAAGATGATAATTAACTCTCAAGATTGGATGCTGCTTGCTATTTTTTATTATCAGAGCCAGACAGTACATTACAGTAAATATCAACAGCAGGAGAAGAGTATGAATTAAGGGATATCCCCATTATGTGCAAAAAGAAATGCTCAAGCATCATCTGCTGTGTATCATGTGGAAAATGTTTTTCACCCATAAACAGGGGGTTTGGCGGCTGAATGAGCATTTGGCCTTTCTTGAGATGGATGGGCTGGATCAAAGGTATAGCTGTCTCACCTGTTCTGATCAAAGATTCACTTGTCTCACTGATAGTGGTCAAAGGCTCATTTTTTTTTCACCTGCCCTGGCAGCCCGTCCTCGCATACAAAGATCCAAGCTCATCAATCCAGCCGCCAAACCCCCTGTTTATGAATGAAAAGCGGTTTACACACACCTCACAACTGATGACATCCGAACACTTCTGGATCAAGTGCTTGACTCACGTCCTCTGTTCAAACCACAATTCTATAAACAGCCTGTCCCCCATACAAAGACCCAAAAGTGATTCCATGCACCCACTAAATCCCCTGTATATGAATGAAAAACGGTTTACACACGACTCGCAACTGATTTCATTCGAACACTTCTGGAACAAGTGCTTCACTGATGAATTTTGTTCAAACCATAACGCTGTAAATGCTTCACCCACGTATTACAAATACAAATAATCGCCAACAGAACCTAAACACCTAACCTAACCTATTCCTATATATGCACAATATTCTAATATATTATAATATTAATTTATATTTGAGAAAATTCCTGTTTTGAATGAACAGCGTGTACAAATTTATGAATGCATTTGTGGGGTTGACCGCTGGATTTAATGGACTGGAGTAAAGGACGGGTTGCTATAAATGTTTCACCCACGTACTTCGAATACAAATAATCGCCAACAGAATCTTAACACCTAACCTATGCCTAACTATACTGTACATAGAATTTTTATTTATAATAATATTAATTTATATATGAGAACAAACCAATTTTTATTACACCTGCCTTAGTCAAAGGTTTATTTGTATCACCAGCCTTTGTGAAAAGTGTAGTTGTCTCACCTGTGATGGCTATAGGTTCAGTTGTCTCACCTGCACTTATCAGACAGCCCAATCCTTATAAATAAAAGCCAGATGCTCATTAATCAAGCTGCCAATCTTCAAGTTTATGAGTGAAAAAACATGATTCACAACTGATGATTTTGAATATTTCCCTTTTTTACTGCTTCATTCAAATTCTGTGTTTGAATTGCACATCTGTAAATGCTTTATTCACGTTCTACAAATACACCTAACCAAACTTAATTTAAAACAAACCATAAAAATTTTTTTTACAGACAATAATATTAATTTGGGTAGTAGAAAAAGCCAATTTTGAATACACTCCATGTTAAAAATAGATAAATGCATCTTCAGGGTCAGTTGCCGCTTGAACGAACCTTGCTTAAGAACAGGTTACACCTGTGCTAGTCAGTGATCTATTTTTTAAAGTACACTTGTATTAATAATCGGACTTTTAACTCACCCTTTTCACTCAGTGGCCTAGCTTGTTTCTTCTCATACTTATGCTCTATTCATAATTTTCCTTCACACATTATTTTCACCATTGAGGGATTTTAAACACAACCTCAATCAGTTTTACTGATCTCAAAGATCTTTACTTTTTTGTTATATTAAAAATCTACAAGATAAACTTGGTGCAATTTGGCATAATATTTCAATTTTATAAAAAATCCAGCCTATTCTATTTATTTTTACAATTTGCTGTCTGTATTAATACTTACTTTTTTAAATGTTTACATTGAACTTTAATTTCTGTATTATTCTCATTTGTTTTCTCTTGCAGGGTATCATGACAGTATTCATGCTAATTACATCAGATATGCAAGTCCTCATTAACTATATCTCATTCACTGAGTCACTGTTTATTCTTTTGTCCATTGCGGCACTGCTTTGGCTGCGGATCAAAGAACCCAATCGACATAGGCCTATAAAGGTAAGTCAGTTATGCTATTGTTAATTGATAATTTGCTGTATCAAAATTGTTTCCTCATAATTTTGAAGTACATTGCAATGGATTCCATTTTAAAATAAATGATTGGTTCCAAATCATTCTAGCAAATCTGGTTTTCTGTTCCTTAGCATCTTAACTAATGGCCTCTATATTTTCCCACAATAAATGTGTTTTCATTATTGCATATGATAGAACACATGTACAGTGGTCATATATTTTGTTACCAAAATCATATGAAAAAATTTACCTTCAATATAATTTTATATTTTTTTTTTTTTTTGTATTTTAGCTTTATTACATTTTTCAGCATTGCAAATCTAGTCTAATTGAATTTGTTTTGATTATCCTAATCCTTAGCATCAGATATTAACCATGGAAGTTCTTGATTAGCCAAGTACCTGATCTGTTGCATAAGACAATAACCACATGATTGTCTGTTAGACCGGGTTTCATTGTACTAATATGATTGTCTGTTAGACCGAGTTCCATTGGAGCTTATCCATTGCTCTTTTCTTATGAACACTTTTCACATTACTGAAAAGGATTTCATTGTATTAATTTGCTATACCTAAATTATATGTAATTGTGTACATTATAAAAAGACACCCATCATGGCAGTTGATATTTTTTATCAGAGGAAAATGTTAATAAAGATTTAAACCCCCCCTTCTTTAATATACATTTAATATTTTCTGATTTTACAAAAAGTTATATATATGGGCATGATTTACTTTTTTTTTTGTAATAGCTGCATGACATTACTTGTAATACCATGGTCATTAAATTAAATAACGGATCTTCCAAAACTGACAGTCTCTTTAGCTACTATGGATGGAAGGCACAAAATATGGACTGTTGTGAAAAAAACTACATATTTTACTATTGGATTGTAAAAGGGCATCGCAAAAGGTGAAGCAGACAAATTATTTTTATTTTATTTCATTTTATTTATATGTACAAGAGCTCTTGCATTCTTGCATAGCCACTAGCATATACAGCGTTTCGGGCAAGTACAAATTTTCCCCAGAATATGACCCGACAAATTCTTTAACAACCAGCTACCCATTCACTGCTGGGTGAACAGAAGTGTACAGTTAAGGATTGGTGCCAAGTAAATCCTCCCCGGCCAGGATATGAACCCAGGCCAAAGTACCCGCAAAACACCAGGCGAGTGTATTACCACTTTGCCTCAGTGACTGCAGTACACAATACTGCAGAAACTATGAATCTAGCATTTATATATATATATATATATATATATATATATATATATATATATATATATATATATATATATATATATATATATATATATATATATATATATTTATATATATATATATATTATATATATATATAATATATATATATATATATATATATATATATATATATATATATATATATATATATATATATATATATATATATATATATATATATATATATATATATATATATATATATATATATATATATATATATATATATATATATATATATATATACACATACATACATATATACACGCATACATACATATATACACAGTATATATGCATATGTACTGTACTATATATACTATAGTACATATATGTACTATACTTTACCAAGGAAAAAGGTTTGAAATTGAAGAATTTATTTATTCCCGAATGAAACGATCACCAAGATGTTATGTCTTTGTTCATTGCAGTCCATAAATAGAATGATAATATGAACAATCATGTTCAGAGCATTATATTTGCTCTGATCTAGCTAATTTCACATGGATAGGGAGTTTTAAGATTTAATAATGCTTTTGTTTTGTAAAATTGTTCTCGAGTTGTTACTTGTTTATAATGATTTCTATCCCTCAGGTGTGGATTGGGTTCCCTATCCTGTTCTTCACCATCTGTCTATTCCTGGTGGTGCTTCCAATTGTTCAGAGGCCCATTGAATTGGGTGTAGCCATTGGCATCATATCCATAGGGATCCCCGTTTATTTCTTTGCTATTCATCGAGAAGAAAAGTCAAAGTGGTTTATGAAATTTATGGGTAAGTATAAAGAATTAATTGTAAATTATGAAAAGCAACTTGTAATGAAAAATGCGATAATGATGGCTATGAAGAACATGAAAACTGGAATTTGGTTGAGCTCTTTCGTGTATATTTTAGCATTCTGATGTCTTCTTAAGATTCTATTCAATTCAATTCAATGTTTATTCAAAATAATGGGTGTACAAAGAACATAAGAATAATGTACAATTGTAGGGACAGGAGTTACACATAATAATGATGCCACTATTACACAAAGCATTTTGGGCAAAACATAAATCAAATCAAATCAAATGTTTATTTAGGGAAGGTACATACATACAAGAGATTTTACAAAGAGTGATGGATTTATAGATAGGGCTAGTACATACAATGCCTAAAGCCACTATTACGCAAAGCGTTTCGGGCATGAAAAACTTAAATGACTAAAGCTTAATACTAATTGAGCATAAAGAGTAAAATGAAAACATGGAATGAAAACATAACTGAAAAAGCAGCACAAATACAATTCTGTCGACAAACAGCGCTCTTTAAAAAAAAACAGACATTGGTTGACAATAGAGGGGTAAGGTAGGTTACAGGGAATTTATTAGGTATAGCTTCGTTTTATCTTAAACTGGTTGAGAGAGGTACAGTCTTTAACATGGTTGGGAAGGTCATTCCACAATCTGGGTCCCTTGATTTGTAGAGCATTTCTAGTTTGATTAAGTCGTACTCTTGGAATATCAAAACTGTATTTATTTCTGGTGTGGTGCTCATGGGTTCTGTTACAACCTTCTATGAAGCTTTTGAGGTCAGGATTGGCATTACAGTTTAGCATTTTATATATGTATAATACACATGAGAGAATGTGCAGTGACTTAATGTCTAACATGTTCAGAGATTTGAGTAGGGGTACCGAGTGATGTCTGGGGCCAGAGTTGGATATTGTCCTAATAGCAGCTTTGTGTTGAGTAATTAGAGGACGTAAATGATTTTGGGTAGTAGACCCCAAGCACAAATACCATAGTTGAGATATGGATAGATAAGGGAGTAATAGAGAGTCACCAGGGCAGGGCGAGGTACATAATATCTGATCTTAGAAAGAATGCCAACAGTTTTTGAAACTTTTTTTGATATATTTAGAATGTGTCCCTGGAAATTCAGCTTGTGGTCAATGAGAACGCCAAGGAATTTGCCATCTAATTTGTTACAAATTTGGGTATTGTTTATTTTGAGATTTATTTGATTAGAGGATTTATTGCCAAACAGAATATAGAAAGTTTTGTCAATGTTAAGGGTGAGTTTGTTGGCAGTTAGCCAAAGATGGACTTTATTTAGCTCAGTATTTACTGTGGCATTTAGAGCAAGGGGGTCAGGACTGGATTAAATGAAGGTTGTGTCGTCAGCAAATAGAATTGGTTTGAGGTGTTGGGAGGCATTTGGAAGGTCATTAATGTAGATGAGAAAGAGGAGAGGGCCAAGTATGCTGCCCTGAGGAACACAAATGTTGATGGGTAGGGTGGGAAAAATTGAATTATTCACAGAAACATACTGGAACCTGTCAGTAAGGTAGGATTTGAAGTATTGCAGGGAGTGTCCTCTGACTCCATAATGATGTAATCTAAGAAGAAGGTTTTGGTGGTTGACAGTGTCAAAAGCTTTACGCAGGTCCACAAATAACCCAACAGGGAACTCATTTTTATCAAGAGCTGTATGAATCGAGTTAAGCATACTAATAAGTGCATCGTTAGTGCTTTTTTTGAAGCCATATTGGCAAGGGCTAAGTATATTGTGTTTGGCCAGATAAGAGTAAAGCTGCTTATAGATTAGTTTTTCAAAAATTTTTGACAAGTTTGGCAGGATTGATATAGGTCTGTAGTTGTTAACATCTGTGAGATCACCACATGAAGAACATGAAAACTGTAATTTGGTTGAGCTCTTTCGTGTATATTTTAGCATACTGATGTCTTCTTAAGATTCTATTCAATTCAGTTCAATGTTTATTCAAAATAATGAGTGTACAAAGAACATAAGACTAATGTACAATTGTAGGGACAGGAGTTACACATACTAATGATGCCACTATTACACAAAGCATTTTGGGCATAAGATAAATAGCCAAAAAACCAGCGTTGAATGTAATGAAATGTCATTTTCTGGGCGAGTCCCAGAGGCTCCCCGGAGCTTCTGGGGCTCTCTACAGAAAAGTTAACTAAAAGTGTGAGGGGATAAATCACTTAATACTCAGGAGAAGTGCCCTAAGTTAACAAGATGAGAATGATGTGTTAAAATATAAATGAGAGTACTCAAACAAATTTCAGTTATCAAAACATTGATAAAAATGGCAGAGGAGTGAGGATACTGATGGACATTTTTGTGTTGACAATTGGATTATTTATTGCATAACAAAATAAATGTCAGGGAAGATAGTTCTAGTGACAGATTGAAGGAAAAATTCTTAGGGGGGGGCTAAAATTTTAAAGAATTTGATCAAACGGTTTACAAGATCAGTATTGTTGTTAGCCACAATATTGATGATCTTCATTAAGGTAAAAGAAAACATAAAAATAAACATAAGATTAAAACTGAATAAGGCATTTTATAAATCATTTATTTAAGTAAGCACAAAGATTAGTTTTATCATTTGAAACGAGAAAACTTCCAAAGGCTGGTGAGAAATACCCACAATAAAAGGGAATTATCCCAAAATCTGGATTAGCCTAAAACACACATATGATCTTTAACTGTATACGGTAATCACGATTTTGGAGGATGTATTTTATATGGAAATAATGACACATTTGCATATAAGACTATACTAAGAGATTTTCCTGTGTGGCAATAATAACACATCCCTTATAGTAAGGACACAAAATCCTAGTATAAATTTTCCAGCTATGGAAATTGGTACATGTCATTTATTTATTTATTTATTTATTTATATACAGGAAATACAGTGGATTTATGAAAGTACATAGCATTGGTGTTTTTACATTCTTGTAAAGTCACTTGCACACATAGCATTTTGGGCAGATCCTTAATCTAACAGATAATTTTAAGTAGGTAATAGTAGGTAATTTCTAGCAAAATTGAAAAAATGTTTACAAGTACATGTTAAATGTTGTTAATTTATGTTGTTAACTTGTTAATTTATTTATTTGCAGTTCATCATACTTGATTTGTTGTGTGAGATAAGAAATCCTCTAATTTTTCTTTATGAAAGCTAAAAACTTTGTTAATTAGAATATTTTATATTTATTCATTTTAAGTATAAACAGGGTCTCGTAGTACAGGTGACTTAATTTTTGACTCACAATCGAAGATCCTGGGTTTGATTCCTGGGCAGGACAGAAATGGTTAAAGGGAAGGGAAGGGAATTAGCAGAGTGAAAATGCCAAGCCATTACGACTATATAGCACTGGGAAGGGGTCAGGATAAGGATTTGGGATGAGACGGGGGAAAGGAATGGTGCCCAACCACTTGAACGGTCGGGGATTGAACGCCGACCTGCATGAAGCGAGACCATCGATCTACCGTCCAGCCCAAGTGGTTGGACAGAAATGGTTGAGCATATTTCCTTTCATCTAATGTATCTGTTCAGCAAATAGTAAATAGGTACCTAAAAGTTTGACAACTAGTGGGATTGCATCCTGAAGAGTGTCAATAGTTCAACTTTGGGGTGAATCTTGATATAAGCCTAAAGTAGATGCAGCATATATCCTGTCCCCAACAAAGGAATTGTAATTATTATCATCTGATTATCATATTCTGGTAAAGTATATTTTTAGCCTCTAATACTTTTATTTCTTCTTTTCAGAGAGGGCTATGTACGTTTCTCAAATGCTGTGTATCAGTCTACCTGAAGAAAAGCAAGATTGAGAACAGTATTTATTAATGAAGGAATTCTTATACAAGCTTCTGCTTCTCTCCATAACCCCACTTATATATATTTAAAAGTACAGGGGTATCAGTGCCTTTTTTAGATTTCCAGATACTTTGGAATACCTCCAAAGTTTATACCAATGACCACATGCTTTCTGGACATAACTTATTCAGAAATGCCAGTTTCTCATTTTTGTGGCATCCCGACTAAAATCACAGATAAAGCTGTCAGAGTGACCAGTTCAAATAAATTTTGCGATACAGTTATGAGCACGAGTGGCTGGGAAGCATTGCTGTCCATCTGAAAAATGTTGCAAGTAGGGTGGGGGGGGTGAAAAGCTGGAGGGAGAGGCATCTTTTGTTCATGCGACCAACACAGGTCTCAAACCCAGATTTGTTTTTGTTTGTGGTTTACCTATTAAGCATCCATTTCTCTCATATCCCTGGATATATTGGTCAAATTTAGGAATGTCCATAAGCCATGTTGAGGACAAAAGTTAGTGAATATTACTGAGTTTGGGCTCAGAGGCTGTTTATTTTGCAGTTTGGGCTCAGGGAAAGTCAATGGGTCTGTTTTGGAAAAATTTAATGGCTGGCCTTCATTTTTGAAGTGGTAAGTATCCATGAGTTTGGCTCAATGGAGGTACCAAAAATGTATTCTGAAAATGGTTATGAGACTATATGTCTTTAAATATTAATTGAATCAAGTTACCACAATATTTTACAGAAAATCCTTGAGAAAAAATCTTATGGTTAATTTAATTTTGAGAACGAGTTAATTTTGAGAATTTCATTTTTGAGCTTCTTTGAGTCAGAACTAAATATTGGCCCTTATCTTTTGGCAAAGGCAGCCTTTGAAAAATATAGTTTAGTGGATAGGGAATTGGGAATATTAGATATGTGAGGGCAAACTATAGTTAGGTTCTTCTTGGAAATATTCATAAAATACCAGGATGAAATTAAGATTTTGCTGGCAGAATTTGCCAATATAGGATGAGAGAAAAAAATAGGGTTTAAATGGTACCTCCTTTAATATTGTGCCTAATAAGCTTTTAATGATTTTCATCGAAGGGCACAACATTGGAAGTAGGTAGCACAGTAGTTAGTGCCATGAAAAAGTCATTAAGCGTACAGTACCACAAAATTATACAAGAACTACTTTTCGAACTAAACAGGTTTTCTGTTGATCTCGATCCTAGGGCATCCTGGAAGCATGTGATCATCTGAGTGGTGTATTTGTATGTAAATTAATTGTTATATATACAGTATACACAATATATACCAATTTATTCTTTTATATGTGGTTATTGTACAGTAATTAAGGGTGATAGTGCATATGAACCATACGGGTGGCATTTTGTCCATACCTTCTCCTGCCTACTTGTTGAGGTTGTCTTGGCCTTGTATTTTTGTCTTTAATGTGTAGTGTCCAAGACTTATTTTGTGTACTTTTATAATTGTGGTATAGAAAAAATGTCAATGAATTTCAAATGTGGTGAAATTTTCAAATACAGTGTACAACATGAATTATCATTGAAGATTTCCACCTTCTATTTTGTGATTAGCCATAAATTTTATATAAATTACAAAAATTTCCTTTCAAATATTAATAAATTTTTGTTACACAATATCACTAAAGGCATGTCAAACAAAATGTGATGCAGTAGTTTTTATATTTTTTACTAGATATTCATACAGTGATCAAATACCTCACTCATACATAAATAGTAAATGAATTACTGATTATTGATGTAAATAATCAGATGTAGATAAATAGAATGAAGAGAAAACAGAGGATCTATCTTTTTGTCTCATTCACATAAAGGAGAAGTATAGCTTTATCTTAATCTTCTGTCCAGTTATAAAATATTTGAGAATGTCAAATATTATTTATCTTTTATTAATAAAGGAAACTATAACTATGCCCTATTGATTATAGAAAAAACTTGCCAAGAATTGAATGTACCAAATCAAATAATTTAAGAAACAACTATACATTATTAAGTTTTATCTTGTTAATCCCACATTCATCTTAATTCATGTCATGCAATACAATATGTCTAAAAGTACACATATAGTAAATATTCCTTTTATGTGATTACTGTACAGTACTTTGAAATTTGGTCAATGGTTGATTTAATCACTGAGGGTTACTTCAGGAAATATGTTTAAGAAAGTGGTGTTTAGATAATTTGGATATTTTTTTTATAATCATTATTTTTACCTTGGTTATAAAACTATTGGTAGTGAAGATAAATTGAAAAATATTGACATGGGAAGTTTGATACCACATGGTTAAGAGGTGCTGAATGTTAATAATAGTTCTTACCATATGGCTCAAAAGGGCTGAATATGAAGTACCAGTCAATACCATATTGCTGAGAGGTGCTGGATGTGAAGTACAATTTGATACCACATGGCTGTGAGGTGCGGAGTGTTAAGTACCATTTGATACTACATACTGTAACTTAAAGAGTATCAATAAAGTACCAATTGTGTGACACAGGGTAACACAAGACACTAAGCATGACCAAATTTCTGTGGGTCTTGGAAGTAGAGTTGCGTTCATTCCCAACTCAAAATTGGAAATGCTGGGTTCGAATCCTGGATGGGACAGAAATTGTTGGGCACATTTCCTGTCACCTAATACATCTGTTCACTTAGCAGTAAATATGTACCCAGGAGTTAGTCACCTTGTTGTGGGGTTGCATCCTGGGAGGGTCAGTACTGTAGTTTGAATTGGGGGACCTTGATGTATATACAGTATATACAATTAGATACAAGTATCCAATTGCCTCTTTGTCCCCCCTCATTTTCGCAAAAGTGTAGAACCCAAATTTGAGTGCCTTGAACAGTCATTTTGTACAAAACTCGGTAAGAGAACGCAAATTTAACTCAGACAATCATATGGTGTAGTTTTAAAAGCTAAGCAATGATACTTCTTTTATGATTGTAATGATCTTTCATGCTTTAATATCTGTTAGTACATTAACTGTTAAATTGTTTTTAGTGATTATCTGAATATTTGATACTATTATTTACTTTTGTTAAATGATTTTAATATACATTGAATACTACAAAATGTCCCAGACTTACTGCGATTTTATATGATATTCCTATACGGATCTTACTTTTTCAGTATGTCCAACAGTAGTGAATCAAGGTTTTATCATAATAGTATTGGTATGTTTCAAAGTTACAGTATTTCTCAAAGTATGACCATTCCGCTTGTTCTTTGTTCTTAACCATTATGAGACCATATGTGATGTATTATAGGCTTGTTGAAATGCAATTCTGTTTCTCCCCCGCCAGAAGAAAGTGGGAAAGTGTGTAGTGATGATAAGATGTGACCCTTAGCTCATTAAAGATATTTTTGATGTTAAGGAATTTCCTATTTATCTAGGACTGAAGGTTTTTAATGTTAAAAATTGTTTTGTTAATTTTAAAATAATACTTTTTATTTTAATAATTTTATTTGTATTTAATTCCATTGTTTTGTGAAGCAAACTGTGGGTTGTGTACAGTTAATCTATTGGAATATTATTTATTAAGTCACAAATTCATAAAACATCATGACTGATGTTGATCTTCATCTCCTTGGGTGCCAGTATTTATTTCTCAATTAATTACGGTAGCAGGTACCATGTCCTCAAATAATAGGGTACCAACAAAGATGCTTTTAATTATCAGGGTACCAACAGCATATCTTCAATTATCATGGTATCAACTACACCTACCATATCTTAAATTTTTAAGGCACGCGAGACTGTGTATTCATTCAACAGATTAACATTATCCATATCTCTATTTTAATCAGGCTACCAGCAGCTATTAATTTTTTTTAATGACTAATGACCATAACTTTATTAATTAGAGTAGAGAAAGAGGTAAATTATCAGGATTTTTTCTTGAGCATAGTAACAGGCTTGTACAGTGAAAATATTAGGCTTTAAAGTCTATACTAGCCTTTTATTATACTGTACTGTACTAAAGTGTATACTTTTATGTCAAGCAATAACATACTGTATTAAATGTGTATTAGGATAAAGAATGTTTCCGGTTTCAGTTATTCAGCGAGTAAATTTATTTGGAGATCAAATTAATGATAATACTAAATTTATAATTAACTAATCATGTCTATAGCATACTTGGATCCCTAGAAATGTGGCTTATTGTAAATAATTTGTTTGGACAACCATGACTTAATTGATTGCATACTAGTAGTCATAAGTAGACAATGGGTTACATTAACATGGCTGAAGATTAGATACCCAATCCCACAGATCTGAAAAGGAAAAGTTGACCGAGATGTCCTCGATTCTTAGTGTTCAGATTTGTGGGGTGGGTGTCCAGTGGACATATCTTCACCAGCCGGGTTAACAGCAGCTATTTCCCAAATAAATGGGTAACATTATTTTGGTTATTAACGACCATAGGAAAACGATGTCAATTTTGCGGACTAGGAATATATTATGCCGAACATATGTTGCCACCATAAACAACATAATTTCTGATACTTTAGATTATTTGAAAAATGTATTAACAGTAGAAAACTTTGTTTTAGCTTAGCATTTCAATAAATTTCAAAATAGGTTTAGGTGTTGAAAAGTAAACAAAAAAAATGCAACTGAATTATATTTGAACTGCTCAACTTGTACGTGAGGAAAACAATACAGTATTGGAAACGTAGTGATGGTGAATTAAAGTGCTGAAAACTTTGTGATTAGCTTCTAGTGTACAGCATATGGTTTTATTCAAACCAACGCACGAATGTAAAGAATATAGTTTGTAGAATTTTTACGTTACCAATTATTTAATGATAGTTTTTATACCCTTTTCCAGACAGATACTTATTTTCAGACTCTTTAACGGTGCAGTTCACCAGTAACTGTTTTTACTTTATTGTTTTTAAACTTTTTATGTTCTTGGCTTAAGCGGAGATGATATCAAGAAAACAGACTTTCAACCACTGATCAGTATACATATGGAGATTGTTTATTTGGACTTCCTTGCAGTGGTGGCTCAATGTACCCAAAATTTATTTGAAGCCAAAGGTGCTTAATTAAAGTCACAGCATCCAGAGACAAAATAATTATGTAAATTGACAACTGACAATCTTCCCTGCCTTCTGCTGTTTGAGCTTCCACTGTTCTTTGTCAGTTATGGTTGTTGACTGCATGATAAGTTCAGTGGCAGATGTTCTATATTATGATGAAAGGTTCAGTGTGAACAGAGCCACTGAGCCACATGATGCCATCATTTGACTTCAAAAGGGAACTTTGTGTCAGCCAGACCATCTCTGCTAATCATACCAAGTAAGCAATTGCCATACATTGTATGGAGTGCTGATATTAATTGTTGTAATTTAATTCCATTTTAAAATGCTAATTATTCTGTGATACACTACTTGGAAGAAATATAACATTACTGTTATATTAGCACAATGTACATCACAATTGAGTATCACAGCAAACTCAAAGTTGGTTGTCGGAGCTAATGTAATAATGCTTGTGTGTGCAGAATTGTTTTAATGTTAATAAAACATTGATATATAACTGTCTTGATGCTTCCATGTTCTGGTATGGGGTACAAGACCTCTGCTTGATGTGTTCAAATACTTTAACATTTGTCTTCCTAATGTGAATGTTTTCTTTCCATTTTCGATACTCTATTTTTGCTATTTTTCTATTAAACTATTTTTTCTTCTCAGATTTGTACTTTATATAGTAAACTACATTTGTAATGTTTTTGTTTTATACGACTGTATATATTTGGAGAGTTTTGAATGCATAAAGAGCAAATGTTTTCTACAGAATAATAAAGAATGAAAAGTTTTCTGTGTTTAAAAAACCCAGTGCCACTTGGAAATGTTATGAAATGCATTAAATTATTATCAGATACTATATTTGATAAATATCTTGTTTAATATACAGTGGGGCCTTGATTTACGATGGTAATCCGTTCCCAGAGACGTATCGTAAGTTGAAGCGATTTTTCCCATAAGAAATAAAGGAAATTGAATTAATCCATTCCCCACCCTCCAAAATATTAACTTACAAATACATTTTATACTGAATACAATTTTTTTCTCTAACCACAATACAGTACATATGTTTATCTTACCTGTATGGAGGACTCTTGATGGTGTATGGAAGATGGGGAGGAGGAGAGGTTACTGTTTGGAAGGGGAGTCCCCTTCCATTATAACATCAGGCAGTGATGACTTTTCTGGGATACACTCTCTAGCACATTTTGCCTGCATACCACTTGTGGCTCTTTGCTTGCTTGTCTTACTAAGAATCTGTCTAAAGACACTTGTTTTCCCCTACATTTTAACACTTGTTTTTCCCTACATTTTAACACTTGTCTGTATGTAATAAGACATCACATTGTAATTTAAAGGTCAATGCAATGGCCTGCTACAGCTTTATCTGGGTGAGTATTTTCAATAAAACTTTGCAGTTCATCCCATACTTCACACATTTTCTTAATGAGGAAGGGACATCCTCTACTGCCTCTACTCACAACTATTTTCTTAGGTTGAACCCTACCATTGACTTTCTTGGGAACCATGGTTTGATATATAATAATCAGATTTATGTTCAAAAAGCAAAAAAATCACCACAAAAACAGAATTTCTTATAGGCGTGATTGTCACCAAGAAGGCACACGTGAGGAAGACAAATGCGAACAATTTTGTTCCTCACGTGTGCCCCAAAGAATGAGGTGATTTGGTAAAATGCTATGCCCAAGATTACCATCCGAGTGCCGGCGGTGAGGTGGTTCAAATAGCTTCGGCTATCACCTCATTTTGTCCGGTCGTGATGGTCAAGTGGATTAAGGCGTCTTGTACATACCAGTTGCGTTGCTCCTGGGAGTATGGGTTCGAGTCACTTCTGGGGTGTGAGTTTTCAGTTGCATATTGTCCTGGGGACCATTCAGGCTTGTTCGCATTTGTGTTCCTCACGTGTGCCCCAAAGAATGAGGTGATTTGGTAAAATGCTATGCCCAAGATTACCATCCGAGTGCCGGCGGTGAGGTGGTTCAAATAGCTTCGGCTATCACCTCATTTTGTCCGGTCGTGATGGTCAAGTGGATTAAGGCGTCTTGTACATACCAGTTGCGTTGCTCCTGGGAGTATGGGTTCGAGTCACTTCTGGGGTGTGAGTTTTCAGTTGCATATTGTCCTGGGGACCATTCAGGCTTGTTCGCATTTGTGTTCCTCACGTGTGCCCCAAAGAATGAGGTGATTTGGTAAAATGCTATGCCCAAGATTACCATCCGAGTTCCAGCGGTGAGGTGGTTCAAATAGCTTCAGCTATCACCTCATTTTGTCCAGTCGTGATGGTCAAGTGGATTAAGGCGTCTTGTACATACCAGTTGTGTTGCTCCTGGGAGTATGGGTTCGAGTCACTTCTGGGGTGTGAGTTTTCAGTTGCATATTGTCCTGGGGACCATTCAGGCTTGTTTGCATATATATATATATATATATATATATATATATATATATATATATATATATATATATATATATATATATATATATATATATATATATATATATATACAGTATATATATATTTCTTAATTTTTTCTTCACTGTCGAGGGTAATTGAAAAATTAACTCTCCAAAATTCATTCTTTACATTTTTATTTTTGGTCTGACACCTGAATGCATTTTGTAAGCTTCTTACATTTTCAGAGATTAGTTTACACATAGCATACATCATACTTATACTCATTTTGGGTGAGGTGATATGGCACAAAAGTTTTGGGTGAGGTGACAGAACATGAATCAGTGGGTATGAAAACATAAGAATGGAAGTAACTGCAGAAGGCCTATTGGCACATACTTTCTCTTGCTGCTTCTATGTTGGTTCGGGGTCTTTAATTGACTGTTGATTGCTGGTGTTGACTTTTTGATGTGTAGTGCCATGCTGATGTCGAGTCTCCTGCTATCGCTGTATCTATCGATGATTTCTGTGTTGCTTGTTAAGATTTTTCTGATGATGGTCTGGTTGTGAGAAGAGATTACATGTTACTTGATGGTGCCCTGTTGTTTGTGCATGAACAAAAGGGCTCCAGGGCGTCAGACCAAAAATAAAAATGTAAAGAATGAATTTTGGAGAGTTAATTTTTCAATTACCCTCAATAGTGAAGAAAAACGAAGATTGAGAAGATTCGGGTTAGAATTATTAATCTTACCCTGAAGATAGATAGATAGATAGTACTATACATCAGCCATCTTGAGGTTAACTTGAGATGATTTCAGGGCTTAGTGTCCCCGTGGCCCAGTCCTCGACCAGGCCTCCTTTTTGTTATACACCCCCAGGAAGCAGCCCGTAGCTGCTGTCTAGCTCCCAGGTACCTATTTACTGCTAGATGAACAGGAGCATCAGGGTGAAAGAAACTCTGGCCATTTGTTACCGCCTCCACCGGGGATCGAACCCGGAACCTTAGGACTACAAATCTCAAGCACTGTCCACTCAGCTGTCAGGCCCCCATGCTCATGAATGCCAAAAATTCTTTCTCAATGTCTTCCTGCCACTTTATCTTTTTGCTTTGCATTTCTATATACTATGCATCTATCATGCTTTCGCCCAACGTCAATCAAGCATCTGTTCTACATCCATCCATTTACCATGCATCTATTCACTAAGCATTTATCCAAAATGTGCTTGCTGATACCTACAATCTCCAAACATGAGCCCATCATGCATCATTCCACCCCCACCCCCCAAGTTCAGGGTCCGTCTAATTACCACAAGCTACACAAGCTTCAGAAAGCTTCCTGGCAATACGTTAGTAATGAATAAATATGATATGTTAGGTTAGGCTGACCTAACCTAACCTAACCTATCCTAACCTATCCTATCCTAACCTAACCTAACCTAACTTAACCAAACCAAACCTAACCTAACCTAACCTAACCGACGCTTGGATCGTCGACTTGATTTGGCGTCACCAGCTTTTTATTTTCGCCTAATTTCTTTATAAAAAGATACTTTTCCAGATTAAAATTATGTTTTTTCGTGTTGTACATTCAGCACCAACATTATAATGAGTAAATATATCATATTTATTCATTACTAACGTATTGCCAGGAAGCTTTCTGAAGCTTGTGTAGTTAGACGGACCGCAAGTTCAAGCTACTGATCCGTCCCAGGATGCAACTCCAACAACAATTGACTCTTTGGCACCATTTGGGGAACAAACACATTAGATAAAATAAAACATGCCAATCCATTTCAACATAACACAGCAAGAATTTGTTAAAAATAGACATGGCTTTACAAGATTGCTCACATTTTTGAAAATGGTAATTAGCTATTCAAAGGACTTCTGGTGGATGTAGCATACATGGATTTTCCTAACGCCTTTGAAACGGTACCACGTGAAAGACTAGCAATGAAATTACAGGCACATGGAATAAATGGTAGAATACTAGAATGGATAAAGCAATGGTTAAATCAAAGAAAATAAAAGGTCCTGTTACGCACAAAGGAATCTGAATGGAGAACTGTGGCGAGTAGGGTACTACAGTACAAGGATTCATTTTGGGGCCAACCCTTTTTGTCATATACTGTACGAGTTCGATTACCCGGATACCGCTAAACTGGATATTTGGGTTATTTGACCAAAATCGCTTCAGATAATTTTATAGCAAAACTTCACTATATCCAGATAATATTTTTTTGGTTTAGATATATACAAGAGTAGTTACATTCTTGTACAGCCACTAATACGCTTAGCGTTTCGGGCAGGTCCCTGGAATAGGACCCACACGAAGAATCGTTGTTACAACCAAGTACCCATTTTACTGTTGAGTTAAACAGAGGCTACAGTTAAGGATTTGCGCTTATTAAATCCTCCCCGGACAGGATACGAACCCATGACAAAGCACTCACGAAACGCCAGGCGAGTGTCTTACCACTACACCACGGCGACTGGTAGTGTTCCGGATAACCAGTAGTATTACCCGTTACCGGTACTATCGGAGTAACCGGTAATAACCGGAGACTGGTAGTATTCCGGATAACCAGACAGGCAGTATCCGACCAGTTTAAATCAAGTCCGTAATTTTCTGGAAAAACCTCGCCATATCCAGACAGAAAGTTCTGGCACCCAGGAGAGGGAGCCAGAACCCTCCACTGGGAGAATGAACCTTCCGCTAGGAACCTGAACCCTCTCCTGGGAGCAAGAACCCTTCCCTGGAGAGCCATATAAGTCCTTGCCTGAGGATCCAAAACCCTTCTTCAGGGTAAGAAGGCCCCCTGGTAACTGAAGGAGGGTACGCCACCAAAATAACTCGTCCTTCAAAATGAATAGAAAACCTGTTCTAAGAGATGATGTGGCGTGCACTGTTCACACCACCACCACCACAACTACTCCCACCACCACTATCACCACCACTACACCCACCACCACCACTACCACCACCACCACCACTACCACCACCATCACCACAACTACCACCACCATCACTATCACCACCACTACACTCACCACCACCACTACCACCACCACCACCACTACCACCACCACCCACAACCCACCACCATCACTATCACCACAACTACCACCACCATCACTATCACCACCACTACACTCACCACCACCACTACCACCACCACCACCACCATCACTACCACTACACCCACCACCACCACCACTGCACCTACCACAACCACTACCACCATAACTACACCCACCACCACACACTACACCACCACCACTACACCACCACCATCACCATTACACCACCACCACCACCATCACCACTACCACCATCACCACCACCACTACCACCACCACCACTACACCCACCACCACCACCATCACCACTACCACCATCACCACCACCACTACCACCATCACCACTACACCCACCACCACCACTACACCCACCCCACCACCACCACTACTACCACCTTCTAAGAAGCGGGAGCAGAGGACCGGGAAGGGGGGGGGGGTAGGAGGGGGTTTATACTCTATAGCAATAACTGCACTAAACAACGCAGTGGTTGAGGGGGACAGCGTGGTGACGCCAATTAAGAGTTCAATTATGATGCAGAACTACGTAGGTTATAGTTGTGTGGAGCGGTTGTTTTGTGGCTCGTGTGCGTAGGCGTGGGCGTGGGGGTGGTGGCCGGGCGGTAGGTGTGGGGGATGGTGGCCGGGCGGTGGGTGTGGGTGTGGGGGGTGGTGGCCGGGCGGTGGGTGTGGGAGTGTAAGGGCGGTGGGGAGGATGAGAGCTGCCCAGCAAGGTCGTGTCTGGATGACTGGGAGGCCAGACTGGATACCGGACGGTTTCCGGCAGCAGGCAGACAGACAGTCAGACAGACGTCTGCGGTGTTTGGGGCGACCTATTGTCTGCTCTCACTGTTTACCTCTTGTGTAGAGCGTTCGCTCCAAGTATAAAACTGCAAATGTGTGAAATGATTGTTTAATTACAAGAATATCGTTCAAAACAGATTAAAACACACGCACACACAACAAAGTCGCATAGAACAGTAGCCAATGTGAGGGTGTCTGTTCGCGTAACCATCCCCGCACTGTTGTGTGAGGACATCTGTGAGCGTAAAGGCTATAGATTACCGCCAGTCTGGTCTTGAAGGCCAAGTTGGAGTAAACATTTAACTATAATTTGATTCTAAAATAGATTGTTATTACAGCAAAATTTAAGTGGTGTTAATAATTAAAGAGGAGTTCATCCCGACTTGTGTCTGGAGGATTTACAGCGAGTGGAGGGTGACCAGAGAGCACATGACGGTCAGTGCACATACAGTGTTTGACGGAGTGCCAGATTGCATACGGCACTCGGTGCACACAGTGAATGAAGCTAAAGCCGGAGTGCATGTAAAGGTGGGTGCATACTAGCAGAGGGCCGGCCATATGTGTTATGTGATGTTATAAAGCCACGTGTCAAGATCAAACACGCGCGCGACTCGCACACACAGGCACGGGAAAAGTGATTGCATTAGGCTATCTTGGTGACTTGCACGAAGAGGACAAAAAGTGGCACAGAATTTCAGGGGTAAGGCCGAAGACTCACAAAGTTGCTGCGACTTCCACAGCCTCCCAGCAGTCATTACAGCCATTGCATTATAAGCAGCAGAGAACCTTTACCATGGCGGCCGGCTGGAGCAGCAGCAGCAGCAGCAGCAATAGCAGCAGCAGCAGCAGCAGCAGCATCAATAGCAGCAGCAGCAGCAACCTGATCAATCCCACGGCACCCAAACATCATGAAATCAGAGATGAGTATTCGGAGATCGAGCCGCTAGTCAAGTCCCTGGAGGACTCAGATGAAGACAACTTCAAACTGAAGAAGGAACTGGGCCTAATGGACGGCGTGGGCATCATCGTCGGCATCATCATCGGCTCCGGCATCTTCGTCTCCCCTAAGGGCGTGATCCAGTTCAGCGGCAGCGTGGGCATGTCCCTAGTGGTGTGGGTAGTTTCCGGCCTCCTGTCCATGGTGGGCGCCCTCTGCTACGCCGAGCTGGGTGAGTCTATGTAGATCTCTACACTGCAGTATACAATTACTTCCGACTCCCTATCCTCAAGACTAACGAGGAATAGTTTCTCATAAAATTGTAATGTGATTGTCTCTCAAGTCAGAAATATATAGAATTAACGTAAGGGACAGTTAATTAACGTTAGGGACAGGGAAACCTGTGTACATATGTACTCTAGGACTTATATCGAGGTAAAAAAAGGTCGAATTACTGACTTTCTGTAGGATGGAACCCCACAACAATTGGCTAACTCCTGGTTACCCATTTACTACTATAGTTGAACAGATACATTAGGTGAAAGGAAAAGTGCCCAACTACTTCAATCCCACCCGGGAATTGAACCCGGGATCGTCGATTGCGAGTCGAGCGCGAAGTCAACTGTATTACGAGTATTTCATATATAGATCAAAACATACGTTGAACGAAATGTCAAATAGTTGTATTGCCTATGATATAATATCAGAATTTCTTGACCTGTATTCATACTTTGCTACTAATAAAGGACACGCACAACAAAGTTAAATAAAGTTAAACCAGACACAACAAAGTTGAAGTAATTTGAACACACTCGAAACCTAAGTCCCCCAAGGACAGACAAATTTCAAAGTCAGTAATCATGAAAAAAAATTAAGCGTCCCAAATGTCTTGGCTACTGCTGCTCCAGTTAGAGGGGTCTTGGCAAACGCCTATAAGACCTCTCCTGAAGTCACTCGAATCCACGAAATGTGAAAAAATACGATTCATTCATTACATCATAATAATAATCGTCATCCACAATAACTCTACATTAACTTTACCCCACCCTACATCCTGTGAAAATATACACCATTACTCCTCGGAGCTCACACAATAACAGCCGCGCCTCTGTAGCGTTGACCACCCTCCACACCAGGCAGGTCGAAGGGCGTCTGTAGCAAGCCAGAGGTCAACTATATCAGTACCACCTGAACGGTATAAAAATACTTGCTACCCTCTCGAAGGCGTACACACACTAACAACTTAAAAAAGGTCACATACACTAGTACTAACTGTAGTCGAACATGCGCAGATGTTCATTCATAATAATAATAATAATAATAATAATAATAATAATAATAATAATAATAAAATGAACATCTGCGCATGTTCGACTACAGTTAGTACTAGTGTATGTGACCTTTTTTAAGTTGTTAGTGTGTGTACGCCTTCGAGAGGGTAGCAAGTATTTTTATACCGTTCAGGTGGTATAAAATTACTTTATTGCTATAATAATTATAGCAATAAAGTAATTACCAAACACCTTGATTGACCAGCTACAAGAACAGCTGATCACTCAAAACACTACACCAAGAACAGCTGATCATTTAAAACACTACACCAAGAACAGCTGATTATTTAAAACAATACACCAAGAACAGCTGATCATTTAAAACACTATACCAAGAACAGCTGCTCATTCAAAACACTACACCAAGAACAGCTGATCATTCAAAACACTATACCAAGAACAGCTGATGAATCAAAACACTTCACCAAGAACACTTCGTAATGATATTGTCACTAGGTTTAGGAACAATGCTCTCACTGTTTAGTACACTGGGATAGAGTGACAGTTAACAGTGCCTTCTAAACTCAGATATTCACAGCACACACCCGAATGTGCGTGTGCCTATTAAAACCAATAGCGGGTCACCTCCATCCCCTTCTTCTGACGCAATCCTACCCCGTCGCAGGCACCATGATCCCGCGAAGCGGAGGGGACTACGCTTACATCCTGGAGGCGTTCGGCCCCCTGCCGGCCTTCCTCTTCCTGTGGGTGTCGCTGGTGATCATCCTCCCCACCAGCAACACCGTCATGGCCCTCACCTTCGCCAACTACATCATCAAGCCGGTCTTCGAGACCTGCGACGTCCTTCCGGACGTCCCCGTGAGGCTCATCGCCGCAGTCGTTGTATGTGAGTAACTGGTCGCTTCTGTGATTATACACGTGGCTGAGGGAGACTGAAGCTAATGTGATTCACAATTTGTAAACAATATTGATTGAGGAATGAGACAGTTAGCTGTGACTGCTAGACTATCGTTTGTCTGCAGGTGCCACGATAGATGGAGTTTACTTAAATAGGAGTTCATGGTGGGTGTTTAGGGGAAAGGGAGGGTTAAGGGGGGGATGAAGGATGGTGGTTGAGGGGTGTAGATTGAAGGGTCGGGAGAAAATGGGATGCTGAGGAAAGGTAGCTTCTTTTATATAGAGGGTTCAGTTCACACACATATCGGGATATGCAGGCCACAATTTACACAGGCAGCTGAGTTTACACAGGTCCCAGATTGCGTACGTCCAAGTTTACACAGGTCCCAGTTTACATACGTCCTAGTTTATACATGTCAGTTTACCCTGACCTGTTAACACTAACACTGCTTATATTCACTGCCACACAGGACAGTGAGGATGCTGTTTATATTCACTGCCACACAGGGCAGTGAGGATGCTGCTTATATTCACTGCCATACAGGACAGTGAGGATGCTGCTTGTATTCACTGCCACACAGAGCAGTGAGGATGCTGCTTATATTCACTGCCATACAGGACAGTGAGGATGCTGCTTGTATTCACTATGAGGATGCTGCTTGTATTCACTGCCACACAAGGCAGTGAGGATGCTGCTTATATTCACTGCCACACAGGGCAGTGAGGATGCTGCTTATATTCACTGCCACACAGGACAGTGAGGATGCTGCTTATATTCACTGCCACACAGGACAGTGAGGATGCTGCTTGTATGCTTACATGCAATTTCATGCCCTTACACAGTCTATTACATCACATATTATACACGTGTTAATTGACGAATCTGAAGGATCATCACAGGTAATACGAGTTTTGTGTGTTGAGGGTCGAAGGCTCAGAAGCTGAGGTTGTCTGAGGTCTGGACATCAACACACTCCCCCATAATGTGCTGATAAAAACGTCCGATGCCCTGGCCGGCCTTGACAGTGTCCCTGGCCGCCCTTGACAGTGTGGACAGTAGGGAGGTGTCATGAGATGGGGACGGAGTTGGGAGCGGGGGAGAGGGGGGAGGGGGCGAAGGGTGGTGGTGATGTGGTAGTTTTTGGTGAATTTCGTGGTAGTGATAGTGGTGGAACTGTTGTGGTTGACCTTGAGGCGGGAGGGGGTGTGGCAGGTGGTGATGGGGGTTATGGGTGGTGGTGATGGTGGTAGGTTTGGCGGTAGTGGTGATTGTGATGGTGGGTGTGGTGGTGATGGAGGGGGATTAGTGCATTGTTCATTTCTAAGGCATGTATACAAACTCTTACAACTCCCATATCAGATCTATAATGGAGTACTCACCACTAATTTGGGAGTCCTGTCCACCCCTCTGTTCTTTAACACAGACTAAGCATATGATAGGACTGATCATCTAGTGAGAAGGCAAGGTAATGTACTGGACTCAATACCAGACATGCAGACTCTCCAGTACAGGAATTATGTTATTGGTCTAAGTGTATTATACAGTGTAGCTGTTACCTTTGGGGAATTTCTACACACTTGCCACTCGAAATACGCAAAGTTATTCAACAATTCAAAAACCTTGTAGGGGGGACATGATCACCACATTCAAGATCCTCAAGGGAATTGACAGGGTTGATAAAGACAGGCTGTTTAACACAAGGGGCACACGCACTAGGGGACACAGGTGGAAACTGAGTGCCCAAATGAGCCACAGAGATATTAGAAAGAACTTTTTTAGTGTTAGAGTGGTTGACAAATGGAATGCATTAGGAAGTGATGTGGTGGAGGCTGATTCCATACACAGTTTCAAGTGTAGATATGATAGAGCCCAATAGGCTCAGGAACCTGTACACCTGTTGATTGACAGTTGAGAGGCGGGACCAAAGAGCCAGAGCTCAACCCCCGCAAGCACAACTAGGTGAGTACACACCGGCTAAAGGGGAGTGTCTTTCACCCTATGCCCCTGTTACCTAGCAGTAAATAGGTACCTGGGAGTTAGACAGCTGTCACGGGCTGCTTCCTGGTGTGTGTGTGTGTGGTGTGAAAAAAAATAGTAGTAGTAGTAGTAGAAACAGTTGATTGACAGTTGAGAGGCGGGCCGAAAGAGCAAAGCTCAACCCCCGCAAGCACAACTAGGTGAATACACACACACACACACACACACACACACACACACACACACACACACACACACACACACACACACACACACACACACACACACACACACACACACACACACACACACACACACACACACACACACACACACACACGGTTCGCAGATGACGCAAAATTAATAAGAAGAGTTGTGTCAGATGAAGATTGTAGGATCAACCAAGATGACTTGAACAAGTTGCAGAGATGGTCAGAAAAATGGCTACTAGAGTTCAACACGAGTAAATGTAAAGTTATGGAAATGGGATTAGGTAATAATCGACCAAAGGGACAGTACACAATGAAGGGGAAACTACCTACCTGTGACGATTCGAGAAAGAGACTTGGAAGTGGACGTAACACCTAATCTAACTCCTGAGGCACATATAAATAGGATATCGACAGCAGCGTACTCTACACTGGCAAAAGTTAGAACATCCATCAGAAACCTAAGTAAGGAGGCATTTAGGGCGCTTTACACTGCCTACGTGAGGCCAGTTTTAGAGTATGCCGCCCCATCATGGAGTCCCCATCTGAAGAAAAACATAAGGAAACAGGAAAAGGTTCAGAAGTTTGCGACGAGGCTCGTCCCAGAGTTACGAGGGATGGGGTATGAAGAGCGCCTGAAGGAACTGAACCTTACGACACTAGAAAAAAGAAGGGAGAGGGGGGGGGGGGGTATGATAGGAACATATAAAATACTCAGGGTAACTGACAAAGTGGAAATAGACGAAATGTTCACATTGAATACTAAAAGAACGAGGGGACATGGGTGGAAGCTGGAAACTCGAATGAGTCACAGAGATGTTAGAAAGTTTTCTTTTAGCGTGAGAGTAGAAGAAAAATGGAATGAATTTAAGGTCTTAAGGTTTGTGGAAGCAAACTCTATTCATAAATTTTCATAACACACACATCCCTACTGGAAGCAGCCCGTAGCAGCTGACTAACTTCCAGCTGCCACGACAAGCTGGAAGTATTGAATTGGAACGAAGTGTAGTCTGCCGCATTCCAACACATGCCATCGGGTTTCTTGATTAAGCTGCGTCTCCAGGTAACAATTTTCTTAAACCCGGGACATTTTCAGATACAGAAAGATGTGGGATATTTCTAGGTGAAGATGTCTTACAAATGGGGCATTTCCACGGAAAAGATATCGTAGACGTGGCACATTTCCAGGTAAATATTTCCTCGACGGCATATTTCCAGGTAAAATAATTCTTAAAACGTTCACATTTCCAGGCTTGCTGACGTGGATCAACTGCACGAACGTCAAGTGGGCGAAGAACGTGCAGGGAGTGTTCACGGCGGCCAAGATCTTCGCTCTGCTCCTGATTATTGCGGCCGGCGTCCTTCAGCTCGCAACCGGCAATACCAGGAACTACGAGGGGGCCTTCGAGGAGACGAACTGGAGTGTGAGCTCCATCTCCACTGCGTTCTACCAAGGACTCTTTTCGTTCGCTGGATGGTGAGTTGGCTCCACCTCCTCATTGGGATTCATTTGGGTCTCTGGCTATATTTTCTTTGATGTAAATTGATTAAAATTTGTATTCTCCTTCTTGCACAACAACTTGGGCTGAACAGTAGCGCGATTGTCTCGCTTCATGCAGGTCAGCGTTCAATCCCCCGACCGTCCAAGTGGTTGGGCACTATTCCTTTGCCCCCGTCCCATCCCAAATCCTTATCTTGACCCCTTCCCAGTGCTATATATAGTCGTAATGGCTTGGCGCTTTCCCTTGATAATTACCTCCCTCTAGCTCTTACATTGTGTTTACCAGTTGAAATTTAGGCAATCTACTTTTCCAAGGAGATAGTTGAGACTCATGTTGCATCCTTCAGCTGAGCGTGATTTATTGAATAACTAAGGTAATTAGTCCTTTTAAATTTTCCAAAATAAAGTGGAAATACGGTAGCTTGATGCAGGTATTATACTGTCTGTGCGACAGTGTGTATGTTAGTCTGTACTCACCTAGTTGTACTTGCTGGGGTTGAGCTTTGGCTCTTTGGTCCCGCCTCTCAACCGTCAATCAACTGGTGTACAGATTCTTGAGCCTACTGGGCTCTATCGTATCTACATTTGAAACTGTGTATGGAGTCAGCCTCCACCACATCACTGCCTAATGCATTCCATTTGTTATCTACACTGACACTGAACAAATTATTTCTAATATCTCTGTGGCTTATTTGGGTACTAAGTTTCCTCCTGTGTCCCCTTGTTCGCGTTCCACCCGTGCTAAATAGTTTGTCTTTGTCCACCCTGTCAATTCATCAGTGAATTTTGTAGGTGGTGATCATGTAAAAATTTACCATCTGTAAGATGGTGCGTACGTTAAACTAGGCCTGTTGTCACTCCAGGGCTTGAACAGCTCTCGAGATTTTCATAAGTTGAAACCTATATGTTTAACCATAACATTAACTCATCAATATGTGCCGACAAGGTCACTCTATTTTCTTATCATATTTACATTGAAAACTATTAACTGGCCTTGATAATTTCTTCATTTGTGTAGATTTTGACGCAGATCTAACCCCTAAAATTAGGGCAGTTTATCATGTGGAAAATAATCGTAATTTTCTTGGGCTTGTGCAGAAAATTCCGTAAAATTTTGCCTAAAGGTGTTTATTATTATGCTCGAACATCTTCATGGGTCACCTACACACCAGTGCATTAGTAAAGGGAAAATATAATTGTTTCCGTAATATATTGTACAGTTTGCATCAGATGATGTGATGTGAAATTAGCCTTGAGATGCTCATCATAAGATGCTGGATCTCCTTCCCCTGTTATTTCCCCATCGTGTGGAGGAGCTACGGAGCATTTTTTGTATCCTATGCACCAATTAAAGATGAGGACAATATGGAGGGAAGGGAAGGAATTATCAGTAATGACTTAGAGCTCTCTCCTGGTAATACCTTACCAGGATATACCTAATATGCCAGATGCTTAATATACTTAAGCGTCTTTCTCTGAACTTTGCGTTCCTCACACTAGTTCGTCTCTGGCATGCAGGTAGGAGTTCATGTTCAATATGCCGTAAATTCAATATTCAATATGCAGCAAATTCAATATTCAATATGTTCAAAGTTCAATATTCAATATGTCGTATGCTACACAATTTTCATCTTTCCCATTTGTACCAAAAATATAACTTTTTATAAGCTAAAGCGATGTTGGTCTTTTTATGCAAATCTCAAGGATGATAATTGTTTAGCGGAAATTTCAGAGATATTTTTTGGGGTATTAAGTTCAGGTATGTTGATATTTTTAGTGCAAATAGTAATGAGGCTCTTTTTTGTGCAAATTTCATGGCTTGTTGCTTGGTGTCTGTTAATGAAATATTTCTTACATATATTTTCAGGAACTGTCTGAACTTCGTAGTGGAGGAGCTGAAAGATCCATTCAAGTAAGTGTTGAACAATACAGCATGTTTTGACCAGTGTGTCACTACCTAAATGTGTCAGCGAGTTGAGTTTAAGCTCCGGTACCCCACCTTTTTTCAGCTCTCAGTCGCCTGATGTTATTATGTGTCCTGCCTCCAGTGTTTCTCCTGTGTATTTATTTTCCTCTCTCACTGTTTCCTCTTTCTGAATAACTGCGAATATGAAGACCATTTTATTACACAGGTCGACGATTGCTACCTTGTTCAGGAACCTGATGGCCACCTTGTTCAGGAACCTGATGGCCACCTTCTTCAGGAACCTGATGGTCACCTTGTCCACGAACCTGATGGCCACCTTGTTCAGGAACCTGATGGCCACCTTGTTCAGGAACCTGATGGCCACCTTGTTCAGGAACCTGATGGCCACCTTGTTCAGGAACCTGATGGCCACCTTGTTCAGGAACCTGATGGCCACATTGTTCAGGAACCTGATGGCCACCTTATTCAGGAACCTGATGGCCCCTCCTGATTGTCGGCAGCCTTGCATCTGCCGCTGTCTGGCGATGGCATTGTTGTCATGTTTCCTTTCTCTGAGTCCGAGTTACTTTTCTGCCCCTTATCATGTATTGTCACTGGGTTCTTCTCAACCCCCGTCTCATGGGTATACATATACATAGAATTTAGAGAATGACCAGTAGAATAATGGAACCATGATTCAGAGTACTCGATCTCACTGCCTCTCGTCTCTCACGATAATGTTATCTTAAGCAGCGGACCATGTTAGTTTCCTGCTTCATTTATTCATTGGGACCTGGTTTTGTAGGTTTTAGGCCTTCACTCTTTAGTACCGGTTCACGCAAGTTTCAGGCTTCCTTCATTCTTTCAGGACTCTACCACGAGCCATCCTCATCTCGATGCCAGTTGTGACTCTCGTGTACTTCCTCACCAACATGGCCTACTTCGCAGTCCTGGACCCAGACGAAGTACTCTCTTCGAACGCTGTAGCCCTGGTGAGTGTAGGCTCCTCTGGCTGTACCATTGTGGCTGGGTGATAGTGTAGTCCCTGGTGAGTGTAGCTCCTCTAACTGTACCATCATGGTACTGGAGGACTGGTTACGAAATTCTTCCCAGTAAACTGTTGCCTTAAATGCCTTACTTGGAATGGCAGCAGTAACATGGCAATTAAACATTCATATATGTATAATCATTCACATACGTGATTATGTATGAAAAGAACACACTGGCATATCCAAGAAGAAAACGAGGCATAAATATTGCTGGCGATTCGGTACTTTCATAATTTGATATTTTTACCTGTCTGAAATTTATTTCTAAAAAATAACTTGTATATCATAATGTAACATTCAATTACTCAATGTTTCTGCCCCTGTACCTCTTAGGGTTCTGCTTCACTCAAAAGAAGAAAATTTAACAATGATCTGTCAAAAATGAATTGTTCACTGATCATGAGACCTACATGTTTCGCCAAGTCCAACTCAGCACCCTCAGAGGCAAAGAGGAAGAGAAGCAGCCAGTATGTAGAATATGCGGGTGTGTAGAGAGAAGAGCTGGCTACAGAAGTGATTAACAATTTTAAGTAGTAGAGTAACATGATCGTTGAGGTGTCTAAACATGTATTGTACCAGGAACATGAGTGTCATGGTATCTAAACATTTCATATATTGCCGGGAACATGGTTGTCATGGAATCTAAATATCTCATATAGTGCCTGGAACATGATTGGCATGGTATCTAAACATTTCATATAGTACCAGGAACATATGATTGTCATGGTGTCTAAACATCTCATATAGTGCCTGGAACATGGTTGTCATGGTGTCTAAACATCTCATATAATGCCAGGAACGTTTCTCTCCAGTCCTTCGCCTGGCGTACCCTGGGGGTGATGGGTTACGTGATGCCGGTGTTCGTGGCCCTCTCCACCTTCGGCAGCCTCAACGGGTGCATCTTCGCCTGCTCCAGACTCTTCTTCGTGGGCGCCCGGGAGGGCCACCTGCCCCAGGCTCTGGCACTCATCAATGTCAACACCTTTACTCCCGTGCCCGCTCTCATCTTCCTGGTGAGTTCTGACTCACTTTCCCGGTAGGTCAACCCTCAAGCTTCCTCCTGTTATCACTATCTTCTTTTAGAATATGACTTATGTCATCATACACGCATTATAAACCTCACTGATAGTTTTGGTCACATTATATAAATTGTAATTTAGGCATTGTTTACAACTGCATTTTCGCTCTGCACGATTCTCCTTAACTGCTACGTTCTTTTTCCCCAGGGCTTCATGACGCTGTGTATGCTGGTGACGTCTGACACGCTGGTGTTGATCAACTATGTTTCCTTCTCCGAGGCGCTGTTTGTCCTCATGTCCATTTCAGCCCTGTTGTGGCTGCGGTATAGCCAGCCCCACCGCAAGAGGCCCATCAAGGTCAGTTGTTGCGGCCTGTGAGCCCTCGATCCCGTACACACAGCGCTGTTCCGGCATACATTTAATTCAGGCCTTTTCTCTTCCTTCTTCAGTGATTTACACACGCAAGGGTATGTAAATGATATATATACTCCCGATGGTACCAAATATATAATAATGTTCACCAATTCCTGCTTATTTGAAAACGTGTGAGGGGGCCGGCGAACCAGAGGGCCATGAGTCTGCGGTGATACGTCTTCTCTGGTGATAAGTTTCCCCCAGGAGATTGTTTGCTCTCTACAGGCGTTATACTAATTGGGTTCGGTGTCCGGTAGACAGAGCAAATGCAGTTGCAAGTTATTCTGTTTTAACTATGCCGTGATTTGGGAGACAAGTTAGAGTCAGGTAACACGACCGTTGCTTCTGAAGTGTGCCTGTGTGGAAGGAGTCCTCAAACATGTAAAACGTGAAATTCTGGACTGCGTAAGTATCCAAGAATTTGACATAAAAGAAAACTTTGGCTTTAGGGCTCATGAAAGAAAACGTGAATAACAAAGACTTAAGCAATTATAAGTTCTGGGTTTAATTATTTTTCATTAATTAAAGTAATATTTAGTTATAAATTGAGAATAAGCTCTGTTAACACAAAGGTTCATTTGCCGGTTGACGAAAAGACTATTAATGGAACTTTAATAAGCCCCCAAGACCTCATAAATATCTATATTAGTATCCATCAGGTGGTATATATAAGGAGAATGGGCACGCGTTAGAATCACTAGACTCAATTCATAAACGCATTTTCTAAATACTAGTAAAATGTACCGCATGTCCTTAGTTTTTACTGAACTAACTAACCTAAGGACTGGCTGATATATTAACAGTGGATAATTTTCACAATCACCACTATCAATCATAGTGAACATCAATCATCGTCACAATCACCACCACCGTCTCTTGGCAGGTGTGGCTGTGGGTGGCGGTGCTGTTCCTGCCGGTGTGTGTGTTCCTGGTGGTGCTGCCGGTGGTGGAGCGGCCGGTGGAGCTGGGCATCGCCATAGGCATCTTCCTCACTGGCATCCCCGTCTACTTCCTCTGTGTCCACCAGGCACCGAAGTCCCAGAGGTTCAGCGCCTTCATGGGTGATTATCATCCTCGTTTTGTCATGCTCGTGGAGACGCTCAGAAACTCTGCAGCTTCATACATACATACATACATTCATTTATACATGCATACATTCACAACAGACTACGGGTCTGTTCACTCGTCACTGAGAGAGAAATACGAAGGCACATGTACTCATCTCGCATTAATCAGAGGAAAATAAATTATTGTGTCAAGGTAAAACAGTTTTTTCATCACCAGCAAATGCAAGACATGTGATAGTTCAAGGCTAATTAGAACTAGAGATTATGAATTCTCAAGAACTAGAATTATGATTAAAACTTTGGTTATATTTTATAAATCCAGCTATTTGAACACTTTCTTTCAAAACCATTTTATAGAACAGTTTGCTTAGTTCAACAGTTGTTCCGTGGAGTAAAGGTATTTTTAATTTTTTATACATTGAATGAAATTAAGGCCACATGGATCTCTTGTGCCTCTGAACGGATGTTTATACATGTATGGAATTAATCAAACATTATATATATTTTCTTTATTTACACCAAAGCCATCACTATGAAATTTTCCTGTTTAATATTTACCTACGCTTCTTTTACATTATTTTATCACATACACATCTTGCTAACGGATATATCCTAACTGTGTTAATGATTCCATAAATAGTCTAGTTTATATTACAGGCTTTGATGATGATGTTATACATGTATTAAAACACAAGCCCCTAAAATAACTATCAAAATATTTCTTGAATCCCTGGTATTGCTTTTTATTATAAAACTTGTAATAGCCGCAAGGCCGCTGGATTGTTCCGACCGTTCCAGCTACAACCCGTCTTTCGAACATGTGTAAGACGGATTGTAGATGGATACAGGAGCTGCCAGGAACGGGCCTAATAGCTAGGCTTTCTTTAGCTGCCTGTATTCGTAACACTGCCCACAGTAAGTCTGTTGATGAGATAATTGTATGTGTGTGTATGTGTCTGTTGCAGGGAGCATCACCTCGGTGTGCCAGCTCATGTACCACGGACTACCAGAGGAGAAGGACGACTAACCAACATACCAGACTACCTATTCCCTCCATCAACCTCGGGTGCGGATCGACGGTTGCCTGAGATGAACTCACGGGGAAGAGAGAGAGATCTACAGGCGGATCCGTGTGTGGGTCTTGTAGAAGAGACAGATCTTCATAAAGGGGCTCACTTCAAAGGAGACAAGTCAAGAGGAGAATCAACGAGTGGGCAACGTAGGAACGAGAATTGCAATATAATGACATTATTGTGCAGCGCTACAATACCCACGTACTAAACCGCAAAGTGGGTATGGACTGCATAATGAATTAGTACAAATCCAACATTTGAAACCGCAAGCGAGCCAAGAGTAAAGAAAACGGAAGCGAGCCACCAGACAGCGAGAAAACACGATCGGTTCACCTGGAGGAATACCTCGAGAATAATACACAGTAGATCAAAGGACGAGAAGATACAGTCCAGTCGTTAAGCAAGTGAAATGTCACACACACACACAAGGGAAGGCCACGCAGTTCAACAATGTGTAACACACATGTGTAACTGACGTGTGTATATATATATTCTGACGTACAAACGTCATATATTGACAGATATATATTGTCATATGTACTTAAACTCTCAACCAGTTTAAGAGGGAAAACTAAGTTCTACCTAATAAACTCCACGTAACTTACATTACCCCATAAATGTCAACCCATGTCTTGCTATTTTCAAACAATACTGTTTGTTAACCAAGTTGTATAATTGCTGATTTCTGCTATGTTCCCCCTCCCCCCTTTTCTACACAATTTATATGTTAATCTCAATTAGTATTAAACTTTAGTCTAAGTTTTTTTTTCCACACCTTGCCCGAAACGCTGTGCGTATTAGTGGCTTTAGGTATTGAATGTACTAGCTCCTATAAACCCAACATTATGTTTGTTACTCATTTTCTATGTATGGACTTTTACCTGAATAAACATTTTGATTTTTTTATTTTGATTTGATATTGCACACTTTCACATACGGTCTAGAAATGTGGCTCGTTTAATAAAGTTCATTACTTAAATTATTTGTCATATTTTATTACGTCAGTGGTAGTCTCAGTGTACTCGATGAGTAGGTAGGTAGGATCCTACTTAGCCTTAAAGTATATGACCCTACCTATAATAATAATATTAATAATAATAATAATAATAATAATAATAATAATAATAATAATAATAATAATAATAATAATAATAATAATAATAATAATAATAATATTAATTTGCAAAAAGGAACAATGTGTTGGGGAGATTACATAAGAGTGTCTTTTTTTCATTAATGCAAAGCCACAAATACACATAGTGATTCGAACAGTCTTACCTGAGTCTGATATACCTAAGTCTAGACCTCAAAGTATTTGATCCTAGCAGAGTCCTTAACATTGAAGTTTGGAGTCCTAGCTCAGTACTTCAAATTGCTCTGTAAAATGCTGAAAAAATAATATTGTAGGCCGTATTTGCTTTCTGTCGGTCACTGGTCCACTCTTATCACTATATGTTGTAAGGTCGACCGTCCTTTCAAGAAAAGATAATACCTTACCTTGAGGTAAGTAATAGTTGAATGCAAATGACTGTTTTCTCAAATTTCAATTTTTTTTTTTTAAGATTGTGTATTGAGTTGCATACACCATTCATGTTTCTAAGCTGTCCTGTTTGTTTATGTGTGTTTGTATGCTCGCTTTGATGTCATTTAGAGTTGCTTGCTAAGGAAAGAGTGAGTTCCTAAGCCATGTTTGTGTGTGTGCTTGTGTACAAATTAGATTTTACTGCCAGAAACAAGGCAGGTAAACTCATTATCATTAGCTGGAATAAATGTTTAGAAAAATTAGATATGATTGGATTTTGACGAGCTCAGCTGGTACGAAGGAAGGGTGAGTTGTGAAAAGATACACTTCCTGCTAACTCACTAGGGTAATTACAATTATTACTTAACCTATTATAGGTATAGGTTAATTAATAATTGTAATTACGAAGCAATAAGATGCTTATCTTAACATACTAAGAAGGTTAGGTAAAGTCAGTGTTTTCTACTAAGCTTTTCAAGGTAAACTAAAATATTCACAATAAATTAGTATGTCACATATGCACGTATTTAATAATATTGACTATAATATTAATAATATTGACTATAAGAAAGTGCGAGAACGGGTTGCACTAGGTAGGGGTAGAAAACGGGTGAAGGAGGGAAGATCTACCATTGGCTGGAAAAAATAAATTGGCTGTCATCTCTTCAACCTTTCTTTCTGGGGGATAACTTTAGTAAAAAAAAATAAAAATGTTTCTTTCTCTTCAACCATTTTATATCACGATGAAATAGCTTATTCTTGCCTCTGACAGTCAATGACAACTGCACCAGAACAGCAATGGAAGCGAACATGGCAGTGTCATAGGCCGGGCGTCGGGAGCCGAAGAACTCCCTGAACCCACTTGATGGTATACTACAAGTATACTCCAGATATACTACAAGTATTCTCCAGATATGCTGCAAGTATACTCCAGATATACTTCAAGTGTAGTTTATGGATACTACAGGTAAACTCCAGGTGTAAACACCTAAAACAACATCTAACCTAAACCAGTGCTCACACCCAAGCACCTCTAAATTATATTGATAAACCTTCACAGAAGCAGTGTTGTGGTCAGCTCTCATGCTTATCCTTGCATTGTGCGTCTGGACGCAAGTGTGTCCGCATTTACACTACTCACTTTACCTTAAGGCTAACGAGCTCCCAATTGTGCATTAACACAATTTATCAGGGGGTTGATAACATCGCCTGTTGAGTATTTTTCTCCGCTGGGTTGTGACGTAACGCACACCTTGGCGAGATGGTTCACTTGCTTGGGACTACTCACTAATTACTACGTAATTAACACTGAACTTGCCTTTATGTTTAGGCGCTCTTCTGCCTACTATTTTTCGCTCAATAGTAGGCATCCATCAGTCTCAGGAGACTATGGAGTTGTGCTCTGGTTGTCGGTCTGGAGTGGCCTCATGAATACACATTCGCTCAATAGCGAATGTGTTTTCATGAGGCACTCCAGCAGTGTAATGAGTGAGTGTAAGATAGAACTCAAGAGTAAGTTTGAGCTTTATCTATACGATGATTCGCATTACAGATTCGTCAGTAGGGAGTTAATAGAAAACTTGGAATCTAACGTTGATGAGTTACAAGAGTGATATGAATCTACCAGTTATTTGTACTGTATTAAGGAATATCTCATAATAACCCATTAAATTTTTGTCAATATAAAATAATGTTGATTCCACTTCAGATTGATTGATTGATGAAGATTAAGCCACCCAAAAGGTGGCACGGGCATGAATAGCCCGTAAGTGGTGGCCCTTTTGAGCCATTACCAGTATCAAGAGGTGATACTGGAGATCTGTGGAAGCGCGACTGCACCCTGCGTGACGGGAGATGTCTCCCGGACCAAGTGGTGACCAGATGGTGTCCACTTCAATTTTCCTTTTCCTTTTAAAGTGGACAATAACATTTTATTTTGAAACAAAGTAAGATGTTATGTTAATAAATTTTCTTGGAAGGTTTTGTTTAATATGTTTTTAAAAATATGTTATTAAGAAATGTATTCCCAAATATTTATGTTTATATTATCTTAATTTTTGTTAAAAAAATATTAAATAAATGAACAAATCCACAAGGGCCGTGATGAGGATTCGAACCTGCGTCCGAGAGCATCCCAGACGCTGCCTTAATCGACTGAGCTACGACATGGTAAAAGGAGTTGAAACCGAAGTTCTACTGAACTTACTGGATCCTGCAGCCTCTCCGAGGCACAAACCAGGGTTTTACACAACTCCCCCCATGCACTCGAGCTATGTCAATAGGCCGTTCTCTCTCTTCGCCCTTACTTCATTACACACAGAAATCACAATTGCGTGAAGCATCAAATGACAGCCCGTCCTCCAAAAATGGGGTGGTAAATGTAAGAAGACAAATAAGAGCAATTATGTACTATTCATAGCAGTTAGGAATTGTACTTATTTTCACTTAGTATTAAATCGTACTGTCAAACATATTGTGAATATTTGAGTTTACCTGAAAAACTGAATAGAAAACCACAACCTCACCTAACCGTCTTAGGTTTTGAAGATAATAATTTTACTGTTTCTTGATTACAATTAGTACTTAACCTATAGCTTTATTGATATTACAGTTTAATAAAACTAATAAAACAAAACTAAAATATATCAATAAATTGTAAAGTATCTCAGGATATTTTAAAATTTTGTATAAAATCTATATTGTTTAATAAACCTGAAAAAGAAATTTCTGAAATATAAAGCTTTTATATTACAATTTGAAACGGAAAATTTCATCTTAAAATTCTGAATATACGAGCATTAAATCGGGGCGGGGGTTCGGTAAATGTAACAGCCCCATAAGTGCAATTATGCACTGTTTATGACAGTAAGAAAATGTACTTATTACACTTAGTATTAAATCGTACTGTCAATTCCTAGGATGGGTTGCAAATGAACAAATCCACCAGGGTTGTGACGAGGATTCGAATCCTCGTCACGGCCCTTGTGGATTTGTTCATTTGATGCATCACGCAATTGTGATTTTTGTGTGAAATAAAGGAATTAATACTTTCTTGGTATAAATTAACGTATGTTATCATTCTGAACAATAAAAGTTCTATTTATCCTGTTAACTGAACAGGCTATAATGTTGCCTGTTGAGGCTTCAGGCGTATACTTCTATACTTGAGGCTTCAGGCGTATACTCAAGTACACAAAGCCTTCTGCGATCATCGCCATCTGACAGGATAATCAGCCCACAGAGGTGGAAAATCGGCCACCACAAGAAGACATTGTAGTATATTATATAAATACATTCACTCAGTCATACAAGAAAGATGAGAAGGTGATACGAGACATAGCTGACAGGAATTGCCAACCATGCAGTGAAAACACAATGATTCGTCCTGTCCTTTATTATAACAACACTCTTACATCTTCCGTCGTTATGAGAAATAACATCTCTGACAAACTGAGGTATACCAGTGTAATGTATCAATACAAATGCAGCTCTGAAGACTGTGCGCTCCGAAATATATATGCTACATTGGACATATTACGAATACCTTTAGTAGATGTCTTACACTTCATTTGCAAGACAGAGGTATTATCCATCATTCTTATCAATACCACAACACGATCCTGAATCGCCAAGACAGTTATAGATACGTCTCAGTGGACTTAGCAGTCCCTGTAGCATAGTGGTAAAGCACTCGCCCGGTGCTTCAAGAGCGTTTTAGCCTGGGTTTGTATTCTGGCTGGGGAGGATTGACCGGGTGCCAATCCTTAACTGTAGCCTCTGTTCACCCAACAGTGAATGGGTACCTGGTTGTTAAATGATTTGGTGGATCGTATTCCGGGGGAAAAATTAGGATTAAGGGCCTGCCCGGAACGCTATGCATGCTAACCATTTCTGTTCTGGCCGGAAATCGAACTCTGATTCCCCAAGGCAGCTATTCCTGCTGCTGCAAGTCATATATATTTATCTTCAGATAATACATGGGCTATATATCCGTGTATGTCATTCCTCGGTCTACAAGTCGTAGACCGAGTGCCCAAATATGGTGGATAACAACTCTCAATCCGAGCTAACAGAAAAATAATATAAAAATAAAATTGTATTTCCAAAACAGTTTAGTTACCCATTACAAAGTTCGGAACGGAGCATTGTTTTGCCCGCGAGCACAGACTGTCCTCAGCAGTGAGGGTCGGTTAGTCAGTCAGTCAGTGTGCACAGAGCTTGTAAGGAGGGTGTTGATCGCTGCTCCATACCCCAGGTAATCCTGGCTGCAAGTTATCCATTTACTCTATTATAGCAAATTTAAATATTAATTCCTACACAACAATCACATAAAGACGGATTAAACTCTCCATCATCGCATGGCCGCTGATGATATCCTTTTGATTTAGGCTTCTGAGGACAGGTTTGGTGTGATATCAACCCCCAGATCTTTGTTATTTGTTATTTCAACCACTTGCGCTGGACGGTAGAGCGACGGTCTCGCTTCATGCAGGTCGACGTTCAATCCCCGACCGTCCAAGTGGTTGAGTACCATTCCTTCTCCTCCCCCCCCCCGTCTCATTCCAAATCCTTATACACTCAAAATGTGTAGGTTGAAGTTTTAATGTTCAATTCTATATAGACAAGTTTTAAATATAAAGAATTTCTTTTTCAGTTTTATTGAACAATAGAGATTTTATACAAAATTTGAAAATATCATTTATCAAGTTTTATGTCCTCCATGTTCTATGGTGTTATCTTACGTCCTCCATGTTTTATGGTGTTGTCTTATGTCCTCCATGTTCTATGGTGTTGTCTCCATGTTCTATGGTGTTGTCTTATGTCCTCCATGTTTTATGGTGTTGTCTTATGTCCTCCATGTTCTATGGTGCTCTCTTATATCCTCCATGTTCTATGGTGTTGTCTTATGTCCTCCATATTCTATGGTGTTGTCTTATGTCCTCCATATTCTATGGTGTTGTCTTATATCCTCCATGTTCTATGGTGTTGTCTTATATCCTCCATGTTCTATGGTGTTGTCTTATGTCCTCCATGTTCTATGGTGTTGTCTTATGTCCTCCATGTTCTATGGTGTTGTCTTATGTCCTCCATGTTCTATGGTGTTGTCTTATGTCCTCCATGTTCTATGGTGTTGTCTTATGTCTTCCTACTGAATATTATTGATTCTGCTTTGTTACAAATTTCAAAGCCATATAAGATGAATATTAGTAATGGCTTATGCACTTTGGATCCATTTTAATGGATCAATTCAAAACGATCTTAACAAGAGAATAATTAGATAACTATTATCATAAGGACATTACTTTTAGGAGCTGACATATACTGGTCAATACACCTTCTGCAGTTTACTCAATTCGTATGTTTCATGTTTTTTTCCAACATATAAGTAACCTTTATTTGCCTGCCTACATACAAACTGGAAAAATGTTCGATATTGCGAAATGACAGCAAGAGTGGTGAGAAATAATGTGAATATGAACAGATCCTTCCCTCCCACGTCTCTCTTCCTTCCCCTCCTCTCTTTCTCTCCTTCACACCCTCCCTCGCTATCTCTGCCCTTCCTATCACCAAGCTGTTAAGCCTTTAGTCTTAATTGGCTGAAAACAAATAAAGTAGAAAATATATTACAAGAGAAAATGTCTGTGGGGTGAGTAATGTGCATTTTTTTCCCCCAGAGGCGCACCATCGACAACCATGAGCGGTGACTATCCCAAAAAGGCAGTAGCCAAAGAGCAAGGTTTTAAACACTTGTCTTTAAACCCACTACCGCTAAATGAGTCTTCTTTGAGGAATTTTGAAGCGAAGAAGTCAGCACCATCTGGCGAGGGCGATGACAGGACTGCCCCTGGGAAGTGTCCGGACACTGGCGTGCAGCTGCAGACGGTGCTCGGGTCGGCAGGATCTGGTGAGCCCGACGGCATGACTGCCCCTGGGAAGTGTCCGGAAACCGGCGCGCAGCTGCAGAAGAGACTTGGGTCAGCAGGATCTGGTGAGCCTGACGGTGTGACTGCCCCTGGGAAGTTCCCGGAGACTTGCGTGCAGCTGAAGAGGGCACTCGGACTGGGAAACGGTGTGGGCTTCATCGTGGGCTATGTGATCGGGTCCGGCATTTTCGTGTCGCCCAAGACCGTGGTAGAGTACACGGGCAGCGTGGGCATGGCGCTGGTAGTGTGGGTGGTTTCAGGACTCGTCACTGTGGTGGATGGCCTCTGCTTCGCCGAGCTCGGTAGGTCCCTGACAATTAATATCGCAAATTTGTTTGGTAACAGGATAAACACACAATAGTAATAGAACTGTTTAAGTATTAAAGGCTTATTTTGCTATTTAAACAATTCTGAAATTAATGATGTCAGCATACTCAGGGAGAAGGAAGTCTCACTGAAGTCAGCTTGTGCAGCATCGCACACCTACTTGGCATATTAGGAACGGGATTGGCCTTAGTACAGACCCTTTCGGTATTTTATTCATTACCTACTCTGGTACCTTCCTCATTACAGTGACTAGACTATGAGTAGTGGAAAGTGTGCCATATTGCTGCAGTTTTGATTTTTCCGACTGCAGCGATATGGCAAACCCGTTTTTAGTTACCCCGGTGAGATTAGTTACCCCGGTGAGATTCGACTGCATCGGTATGGCTCTATTTTTTTTTCGTTACCCCCAGTGAGCTTGTAACTGAATGTACAATAGCGTCATCCCTGGTCTATTTTAAATCTCAACTTATCCAATGTATGCCCATTGTTTCGTGTTCTGTCTCGTGTTTATAGTATTAATAGGCTATTAGTATCGCCTCTTTGTCATGTCCATTCACTCCCACCCCTCTATCATGTCGCCCCTATTTCTTCGCCTTTCTTAAGAATGTAATTTAAGCTTTGTCAATTTTTCTTCAAGGATCGTTTATTGAGCATAGGGAGACTTCAACAGGGGTTTCGTAATAACAAGTGCATGTGAATATACAATTTAAAAAAAAACAGGCTGCACCAACACTAAGCCATTTTTATTTAATTACTGCTTTAATCACTGCTAGTGCGGTGTGCGTCTCAAATTCGCTCAAAACATGCCTCCCACACCTTACTGTAGCATATAACAAATATAAATACTCATCCAGTACATATATATATGAACTACAATGAGTAAAAGGTACCTCTCATGTTTTGAAATAAGGCCTTTTGCAGTTACCGTCATTCTGATATTCTAATCCCTAATGCGGTGCGATGCACCAATGAGTGCAAGGCTTTTAGCCGACGGTCTAAATGCGGTTCCTAGGAGGTTCACACATTAGTGCAATCTCTTAATCGCTCTCAATATCTCAACTGTGTTCTGTGTTTCATCACAGGCGATGCTCTGATGCTCGTATTTTTTAGCCCATAGCTCATATTTTTCTGTTATTCAATTCATAAACCTTATCAAACCATCCTGACCTAACCTATTATAAAACGAAAACAAAATACATTTATACAGATGCGTTCGTTGTTGTTTAGGGACGTCGCAGAATCGTATGTCTGGCAGCATAGCCAGGAAGCAGCCCGTAGCAGCCGTCTAACTTCCAGTAACCTATGTACTGCTTGGTAAACAGTCGCATCAGGGTGAAAGAAATCCTGCCCATTTGTTTCCGCCTATACCGGGAATCGAAATCCGTCCATTAGGACTACGACCCCCAAACATTTTCTTCTCAGCTGCGAGGACCCCTAGTGTGTGGTGTGTGTGTGAAATCACCTAGTTGTGTTGTGCTATCCTGCCAATTGCTCTGAGAATTTTGTAGGTAGTGATCATGTCTCCCCTTACTCTTCTGTCTTCCAGTGTCGTGAGGTGCATTTCACACAGCATTTTCTCGTAACTCATGCTTCTTAATTCTGGGACTAGCACTGAGTGTGTGTGTGCATTCACCTAGTTGTGTTTGCGGGGCTGAGCTTTGCTCTTTCGGCCTCCCGCCTCTCAACCAACCTCTCCCGCCTCTCAACCAACCTCTCCCGCCTCTCAACCAACCGCAACCCCGCCTCTCAACTGTCAATCAACTGTTTACTAACTACTTTTTTTCTCTCTCTTACACACACACACACACACACACATTCACACACACCAGGAAGCAGCCCATGACAGCTGACTAACTCCCAGGTACCTATTTACTGCTAAGTAACAGGGTCATTCAGGGTGAAAGAAACTTTCATTTGTTTCTGCCTGGTGCGGGAATCGAACCCGCGCCACAGAATTACGAGTCCTGCGCGCTATCCACCAGGCTACCAGGCACCCCCTGTATGTCGGAGTGTGCGTGTCTGTGTGTTGTAATTTTATTTATGAAATGCAAAGGGGGGTTTGTTTACCTTTTATTTACCCCATTGTTTCCTTAACCAATATTTGAGATCACACCAAGTACATCCTGGAATATTATATCCTCCTCTGTATAGTGTGCTGCACTTGAAGTTTAGTCAACAAGATATAGCTGTGTTCCCTGTCTCATGTTAACTCTTTAATGAATATAATATGCGATTTGGGTGTAGAAAATACCATCTCAGGTGGTCCTTCGGTTCGTATCTGGTGTACCTTCTCTTGGTATCTGAAATAATGAAGGACATCCTGAGACGGACTGAAGGACATCCTGAGACGGACTGAAGGACATCCTGAGACGGACTGAAGGACCCACCAGACGGACTGAAGGACCCACCAGATGGACTGAAGGACCCACCAGATGGACTGAAGGACCCACCAGATGGACTGAAGGACCCACCAGATGGACTGTAGGACCCACTAGACGGACTGAAGGACCCACCAGATGGACTGAAGGACCCACCAGGCGGACTGAAGGACCCACCAGATGGACTGAAGGACCCACCAGGCGGACTGAAGGACCCACCAGACGGACTGAAGGACCCACCAGACGGACTGAAGGACCCACCAGACGGACTGAAGGACCCACCAGACGGACTGAAGGACCCACCAGGCGGACTGAAGGACCCACCAGGCGGACTGAAGGACCCACCAGACGGACTGAAGGACCCACCAGGCGGACTGAAGGACCCACCAGACGGACTGAAGGACCCACCAGACGGACTGAAGGACCCACCAGACGGACTGAAGGACCCACCAGACGGACTGAAGGACCCACCAGACGGACTGAAGGACCCACCAGACTGAAGGACCCACCAGACGGACTAAAGGACCCACCAGAGAAGGACTGAAGGACCCACCAGACGGACTGAAGGACCCACCAGACGGACTGAAGGACCCACCAGACGGACTGAAGGACCCACCAGGCGGACTGAAGGACCCACCAGACGGACTGAAGGACCCACCAGACGGACTGAAGGACCCACCAGACGGACTAAAGGACCACCAGAGACGGACTGATGAATCCCCCGAGATGGACCTAATGATCCTTCTTCTGGTTACGCAATGCTTGACTTAGTGTGGTTCTTGTGCTGGTCTGAATAAATGCAGCTCCATCAAAAAATCAAAAACAGCAATAGTGCGTTCGAAACATTTCTTAGACAGAGTTCACAAATCTCCAGAGTCGCTAGGCAGATAGCAACAGAATATTCATTACCGAGTTACAGCTACACATAGTCACACACTATATATTTGTCATATCTCTGCACATTAACTCTTGCCTGCTTTCATATGATTTATGGCATCACATGATTGTGATGCCATAAATCCATTATGATTTATGATGCCATTATGATTTATTCGTAATTTCAAGGTGAAGAAAGGAAGTGAATTACTATAGAATGTATTACACTTATTTATACAATTTGCACAACGTTTCGAACCTCCATGGTTCATTCTCAAGTGAAAAGAATTTTCAGAGCTGGTTGATTTATACCCGCATTGGGTCAGGTGATAAGGTAGGGTGTCTTATCACCTGACCCAGTGAGGGTATAAATCAAACAGTTTTGAAAATTCTTTTCACTTGAGAATGAACCATGGAGGTTCGAAACGTTGTGCAAATTGTATAAATAAGTGTAACACATTTTATAGTAATTCACTTCCTTTCTTCACCTTAAAATTACGAAAATGAGTTTTGGAAAACTCCTCTTTCAGCTAAGCCCTGATGTTAAGAAAATAGTTAGAGGGATAGAAGCCCTAAATAATCAGAAGATAGTAAATACAGAATATGCGGTCTTATTCAATGAGACATGTTTAAAAGAAAACCTGCTGCCAATATATATATATATATATATATATATATATATATATATATATATATATATATATATATATATATATATATATATATATATATATATATATATATATATATATTCAAATTGCAATAATCCAGAGATCCTACGTCTAGTATTTTCCCTGATATTTTGTTCCTAAAATCAACAACCCTGACTCTAAACCTCTTTTCTGAATCTAAACGTATCCAATATATATCCACTGTTTGGTATTCTGTTTTGTGTTGACATACTTATCAAAATCATTATTCGTTTATTTGGTAATGATGACCAGCTCCTCTATAGCATCTGTTGTTATGATGTTATCAGTTATGAAACTCTAGCATGTCCACATGTTATTCTGGCGCCGACTTTATTTAACTTAACCAAATTACCTTGAACAAAACGTATTCGTCCTTGGTTGTTTGTACTCGTACAAGTGTTTGCTGTGTTCGCTGAAGGTGGTAACTATCACCTGGCACACTATTCTCCATTACGTACATCAGTCAATAATAACTCCGTTCCTCTGTATTTGTTCAGGCACGACAATTCCCCGGAGTGGAGATTCTTACTCTTACATATTGGAGGCGTTCGGTCCCATACCCGCCTTCATCGAACTCTGGACCAGCATCCTCATATCCAGTCCGAGCGCAAAAGCCATCTCCTCTCTCACCTTCGCCAGCTACCTCCTCCAGGCGTTACTCCCGGACTGCTCCTCGCCTCCCTACTATGCTGTGAAGCTCCTGGCCGCGGCCATGATCTGTAAGTCACTTGAAAGATGAAAACCTAAGTTGGAAATATCACGACTCTTACCTCATCATGTTACCACCTCTGACCACAAATGGTTCACATTTGGTCACCGAGAGCTGTCGGGAACTGAGTTAAAGGTCCGATGACTTCCAATTCTTTTGAACAGTCAGTGTAGCCTAGTGGTAACAGTACTGGACATACCAAGGTGCGTGGAGCCCTGGCTGTCTGGGTTAGAATTCTTCAGGAGTGAGGAGTTTTCTGATATATATATATATATATATATATATATATATATATATATATATATATATATATATATATATATATATATATATATATATATATATATATATATATATATACATACATAGAGTATAGAAGTTAATTCCTCTTCTTGCTCCTCGTCAGGTATAATTGCGTATGTTAACTGCTTCGGCATCAAACTTGGAACCAGAGTACAGGACACCTTGGCAATGACAAAGGTGGGTCGTGACGACCTTTGTTACTTACAAATGAACTTATTATAAACAATATAATTATATTGAAATTATATAAATTTTCCCATAAATGTATGACCAGGTGTTGGCGCTAATCATCATCATCGTGGGTGGAGTCCACCACCTGGCCAGGGGTCACGTGGAGCACTACCTCGACCCCATGAAGGGCACAGTGTGGGACGTCTCCTCCTTCGCCACCGCCTTCTACTCCACCCTCTACGCCTACAGCGGAATGTGAGTAATGGTTGGACGTGGGGATGAAGAGGGGAGGGGAGGAAGGTCGAATTGTACACAAGAAAGTTTGACAAGACTCGTTTTCTGATAATCAAAACCCTATATATTGATAGATCAGGATTTACATATTAGGTTAGGTTAGGTTGTAACGGGGATGAGGAAAGGTAAAAGGTAGAACTGAGAGAAATAGGAAAGAGTAAGAACAACAGAGGTGAGGAAGAGAGAGATGAATTCACTGTCTCCCAGTGTACAACTGCTTGAGTATATAAGGAGGAACCAAAGGCTAAGCCCCTAAGTCACCCACCCCCCTCCGCTTCTGTGCCAGGTAAGTCCCCTACGGGCTCACCATAGCCCGTGCTACTTGGAACTTTCGTGCCGGGTAGCTGAATCTAAAACAACAACAACGGCTAAGCCCCTGTCGGGCTATTCATGGCCGTACCACCTCCAGGGTGGCTTAATTTTCATCAGTCATCGCTAAGCCCCACGGGGCTTTCAGAGATAGCCCCCAGCTATCTAGCTATCACACCAAGACAGGCTGTTCGTTTGATAGAAAGAAGACAGCCACCATCAGCAATTATCAGTTTACCACAGGGCAAGGTCACAAGTTCAAGTAAGTTTATTGAAACAAGAAAAAAATACATCCCAAAGGGATAGAGTAGCTTAGGCTATTTCTACCTCTCTATATAATAAGGTCACCAGACACGATCCGACCTCGCCCAACATGTGAACTTTAGCACCTCTCAGGTGTGACTTTGCTATTGTCTAAGGAGCCGACTGCCTGGCGAAACAGTTTCCTGGGTGAACTGATTCTGAATATATTGAATTGAAACCCATTTGCAGCGTTACAAGGTTAGCCTGTGCTAGGCTTCACTGGGTTAGTTTAAGTTGGCTTGGTAAGTTAGGTATCTTGGGTTAGTTTAGGCAACGTTACGTTAGCTTGGGCAAGGTTAAGTTACACTAGACTAGGTTGGGAGAGGTTACAAAGGTTTGGAAATCCGTTGGCGAACCATCATGTAGATGATGCGACTTGCATCCCTCATCACCAGGACAGAAGAGGAATATGGTGTTAATATTAGAATAGCAAGAATGATGTATTTAGCGTATATAAGGTCTCTGATAGACTATCATGCACCAGCTTTGGTCCTGCAGAATGGCAAAAGTATTGATAGACTGGAAAAAATGCAAAATGAAGCACTCAGAATTATACTTGGCTGTCCTATAACTACCAAAGTTCTCAACATGCGGAAAGAATTAAATATACTTAGCATTCGAGATAGAATATTTTAAATTAATCTTATGATGGGACTAAAGCTGCTGCGTGATAACAAAAACAACATTGTGTCAGTTGCACTGTTAGAACACATACGAAATGGAACTAGCGAGTCTAAATGGATTCAAAGAATTGCCACTCATATTAAAATGATGGGACTGCACGATGTATATACAGATGAAAGAGTACAGCACTTCCTTCCACCCTGGCAGATAGTACCTTTTGACATCCTGACCCCTGCATACCCCACCAAGAAACTAATCACAAGCAACCCTCATGCTCAGCTTGCTGCTAAATTAAGCACCATAGAGCACATTCACAATATACAAGCTGAAAACAACATTGCACAGACCATATACACTGACGGATCACTCAATACAGCTACAGGGAGGGCAGGAAGTGCTGTTATTGCTCATCAGCCCGATGGCAGCACAATTCAAAGAAATATCCGAATTAGTAACTGGGCGTCCACAATGCAGGCCGAGTTGGTAGCGATACTGGTAGCACTCGAAATTATTGACAACACTGAAGTAGACAGCTTAATTATTTCTGACTCCCTATCCTCACTACGAGCAATAAACAGTTTGAAATCAAGTAATAACGTGCTTGTCTTGGAAGCTAGACGTAGATATGTAAGAATACTTAGCAAGAGGGTAAATATAAAAATGTTGTGGATTCCTTCTCACATTGGCATGCAGGAACATGACAAAGTTGACGCCCTTGCTAAGGCTGCAGTAAATAAAGACAGTATTGAATGGAATCTTGAGTTATCAAATAGGTCCCTTAAAAGTGTCATTAGACGAGAACTCCTAGATGGATTTGAAGAAAGTAGAACAGTGCAAACTGGAACTAGTAGGTCCATTGTTCATCACAATGAAATGTGTGAAGTAAAACATGTGTATGGGGCAAGTAACAAAGTCAGTAGACTAACAGATGTTGTCACAGCTCGTATAAGACTTGGCTACAAGTATCTCTGGCAGTTCGGCTTGTATAGGGATCTAGATGAAGTAAAGTGTAAAGTGTGTGGACATAGGCAGGGACACACACTCGAACACTATATCTTGGATTGTTGTAAAATTGAGCCTTTTAGAGATAAATCTAAGCTCACTCTGTATGATATGGCAACCTATCTTATTACCATGGATAAATTACCTGAAATCCTTGCACTGTACCCACATTTTGCTTCCAGTAGATGAACGACATATGAGATTCAGAAACAAGTAGTGTATTGTGAGAACTAATAATAAACAGAAGCTCCCCTATGACTTTGTAATATCCCCATTGGCCAAACTATTATGTATTAACGATAAGACCTACCATTAATGTATGATGACTTACTGTAAAGATGTAGCTCTTGTAATAGCACTTTCTCTGTAACTAGCTGACATTGTATCTATAAGGTGTGAAGGATTGAAGAAATTGTTTATGTAATAATCTAAGATGAGATCTGATAAAGACCTTTTGTGCCCTCTGTAATGCTTTTGCGCTACCGCTCACAGGATGAGTATGGGGTGCACAATAAACTAGCCGCCTTCGGCGGCAACAATCAATAAGCGATTCATATACATAAGCGTTTCACACACAGTTCACTTTATAATTGCTAAAATGATAGTAGTTACAGAACTTTTCCACAAGCGTCTACAAGATGGGTATGGGGTGCATAATAAATGAACTAAACTAACTATTTATTTAATTAAACATATCAGTATATATTACGGGAACTAGACCCCGAAAAGTTCCCGTTGTGTACAATTAATTTTATAGTGTCAAAGAAAAAAAGAAAAAAAAAATCAAGCTTAAACATTCCTAGACTTAGTATAGCACAATTAAATACTATATTGGGTTAAGAGAGCATGTATTAAGCAGACAATGTTTAGGTTAGGATAGGTTAGGTTAAGTTAGGTTAGGCTAGGTTAGGTTAGGTTAGGTTAGGTTAGGTTCTTTGGTTATACTTACGATTTAATAGAATGACATCTTCAGTAATAGTAGACGGGAATTTGTTGATGAATTTTTAACAGTACGTTTACTGTTACTAGACTAGAACAGACCAGAGATTTCCTTGCAGTACTATTATTTTAGGAGGATAGGCTGATGTACTGCTAGGTTAGCCTGCATCAGGCTAGGTTTGTTAGAGTTCCTTTAGGTTATCATAGGTTAGATCGGGTTACTTTAGTTTAAGATAAATTTTACTAGTTTAGATTGATTTAGGTTAAATTAGGTTATGCGGGGTTAGATTAGTGGAGGGTAATTTAGGTTGATGATGTAGCCTTAAAAACCCGTTTGTTGACCATTTTATGTATAATGTGACCTGTACACACCTTTCATGTAAACAGTTTGAAGGGTATTTTGATTCTATACATAAAGATTCAAAGCATGAATACTGACTGATGTTCTTCCAGAGGAAGTTTGAATGCGATAATCGGGGAACTGAAGGATCCATATAAGTAAGTAGAAAACCTTACTCCATCATTTATTCAACAAATTGAGATTTTTGAGCGTTTTAATTTTGTCTAGCCATATCTATCAGCAATAGGCTTCACCATATCTTGATTTAAATTTGAAAGCTGTTTTGTTTAAAAAAATAAAAACTTATTGCAAGGTATTTTCCCTTTCAAGAGAGGGATGTCATATACACATTACCTACATATATATCATATATATATTCAATGATGGCATGTGCAATCTACTCTATATACATTCATACAGATACATTGATACCATGCACGATACACAACCTAACTGCATCCAAATGCAATTCATCTTCTGGTTTCGAGTATTTAATATGACTTATATGAGTTGGCAAGGCCATCAGTACCGAATAATTTAATCTGCTTCTTTCCAGGAACCTGCCAAGAGCGATCGCTATCTCATTATCAATAGTGACTACCGTTTATATATTGACCAATGTTGCTTACTACGCTGTGTTGACCCCTGCTGAGATCCTCTCCTCCAATGCTGTGGCTGTGGTGAGTGATATGGTTGTGGTGAGAACATTCAGGGATTTGGCTGTGGTGAGAACATCCAGGGATTTGGCTGTGGTGAGAACATTCAGGGATGTGGCTGTGGTGAGACCATCCAGGGATTTGGCTGTGGTGAGTGATGTGGCTGTGGTGAGTGATGTGGCTGTGATATTTGTGATGAGCCAATCACAAATCTCTAGATAACTCGCCAGTTGGTGTAAGAATGGTTTTGGTGTCGTGTGGCAATCACTTTACCCTGAGGATGGGCTCAAAGACCTCCTTTAATCCCTTGAACCACCGCTTGCTACCTCGAAAGCTCACTGGTAGCAAAAACACTGTAAAACAGAAACAATCATTCACTCTATTCATATGGTGTATTAAGGACTTAAGAAATTGTCTAACTAATTATACATTATTTTAGGTCTCAACAGTAATCTAGGGCTGTTGTATATGTCATGTAATGCGTGGCTATTGTACGTATGTCCTTTAATGAGGGGGGCTTTTACGTGTATATTATTATATAACGCTGTTGTATATATCATGAATTCCAGTGCTCAAGTGAGTGTATATCTTGCGCCACAGGTCAATAGTATGAATCCCTTGCTTCAGCGCCCCGATGAGTGTATATCCTGTCTTATAACATTGTAATGAGTGTACGTCCTATTGTATATGTTTGTTAGCATGTGTATGTCTTATAGTATACTGTAGTTATCAGTGAATTTCACTGTCACACTGATGGATATATATATATATATATATTATATATATATATATATATATATATATATATATATATATATATATATATATATATATATATATATATATATATGTCGTACCTAGTAGCCAGAACGCACTGATATTTGCCTAATAAGCCAAGTTTTCCTATATATATATATATATATATATATATATATATATATATATATATAACCTATATATATATATATATATATATATATATATATATATATATATATATGCTGTCCCCATAATCCTTTCGCCTGTATTTTCATATATCTTCTGTATATAATCAATAGATCTCATCGAACAGTCACCATTTGCAGGATAATCTGTGATGTTCAAGTGCATTTTTTTTTAGACCTTTGGAAGCAAGTTGGTTGGATGGCTGGGCTGGCTAATGGCCTTCTTCGTCGCCTGCTCTGTGGTTGGGACCACTAATGCCGGGATGCTAAGCATCTCCCGCAGGTTCTTCATTGCTTCTCAAGAAGGCCATCTGCCGGAGTTCCTCGGTCTTATCAGTGTCAACCATTCCACCCCCATCATTGCGGTTGTGTCCTCAGTAGGTATAACCCTGTTTTGTTTGTGGTCATAAGTTTATATATATAAACTTTATACATTATATAAAGTATACTTTACTGACCAGCAAGTAGACTTTTCTGACCAGCAAGTAGACTTTTCTGACCAGCAAGTAGACTTTACTGACCAGCAAGTAGACTTTACTGACCAGCAAGTATACCTTACTGACCAACAAGTATAGTTTACTGACCAGCAAGTATACTGACCAGCAAGTATACTTTACTCCTGAATATAGTCCAGGAAGGAAGAAAACTCTCAGTGTATAGTCACCGAGAAGTGGGATATGTGGTCAAAGATTGATAATTATAAGATCAGGAACTACCCTATAATATACATTATTATTAGGAACATTAAATCAGTTAAAATATATTTAATGCATTAATGGATCACGAGGGAACTATCATGCACTTAGCAACCACTGGAAATGAAACTATAATAGTCCTTAACTAGGCCTCAAGGCCAGCCAAACTACCTTAATGTTTTCTTGGGGCGTGAACTGAAGACACTTCATGCAGGCACCTGTTAATATTTCACCACATCAGTACGTTGTGCATAATTAATTTGAATGATTAAAACAATAAGAATTATGTTACTGCAAGTGGACTGGTTCACAAAATCTGTCTCGATGTTGCTAACTTATTTCTTGACTAACTCTCTAATAGTTATTGGTATATAACTATAATGATTTGATTCAGATTACTGCAATAATGACGATTACTAGTAATATCTAGCATCTATCACTAGCCTCATTAACATAATATTAAAGAATTAATAATTATTTATCTTGGAGTAAATGTTATTATCTGATAACTATGCAAAAGATTAAGTAACAAGCTCGATAACTATTGTTTAACTTTGTTAAGACATGATAAGACTTTGCTAGTTCTGATGAAATATAATATATTCAGATAATAATATTTATGGATTAAGATAAACTACTAATTAATAATCACTAACCATAAATTGGGGCGTTTGCCCATGGCATAACCATCAACAGCTGTAAATAGAAACTATTAATGACACAATCACCTCTAATTGGTCAATCATGTAAAAGTGTACACTGATACATATTCCTAACAGTAATGTGAAGACTGGTGACAGAGTCTCCATTGCAAGACTCAACAATCACTCATGTTGTGATCTGGCACGATATTGTGATGGGTAGATTACAGCATTCGCTTTACAGGGTCAAGATAACAGATGATGTGGCGTTGACTGGATTGAGATTGATATGCTGTGGCGTTGACTGGATTGAGACTTCAGTCTTATGCTGTGTCGATGATGTGTTTACACTGTAGTATCACTCTGATCCCGCCCCATTCCAAACCCTTATACTGATCCCTTCCATGTGTTAAATAGTTGTAATTACGTGGTGCATTTTCCTGATAGGTCCTTCCCCCCCCCCCCTTTGCCCTCTGGCGGTTGTTAACGAGTGCACATCTTTGATATCTATATACACTCTTTTGTTATCATGTTCTACACCTTGATATGTGTGTATGCTATAGTATAACATTGATTATGTAATGTTTGTGTGGTGTTCGGCGCTGATTTTGTCCGCTACACAACACACGACCATTGTGTGTGACTGTTAACATGAGCGTTGAAGCTCGGGGGGCTTCAGGCGTCTGGCTCCGGCATCTGGCTCCGGCGTCTGACTCCGGCGGCTGCTTCAGGCGTCTGGCTCCGGCATCTGGCTTTAGGCGTCTGGCTCCGGCGTAAGGCTCCGGCGTCTAATTTAGAGAGCAACAATGTCGTCCGGTTAAGATTATTTTTCTCTGGTGAAAATGACTATTTTGAGATCAAGTTTACTTGTAGGATTAAGCTAATAGTGATTTGCAGATGCATAATGGCGACATGCCACTACGACTATATATCACTTGGAAGGGGTCAGGATAAGGATTTGGGATGGAACGGGGGGAAGGGGGAGATGGGCAAAGGAATGGTGGCCCAACCTCTTGGCCGGTCGGGACATTGAACGCCGACCTGCATGAAGCGAGACCGTCGTTCTACCGTCCAGCCCAAGTGGTTGCCGGCAACATCACAACTCCTGTAAGGACTGAGATTGATATGGAGATAAGGAAGAGGGCGCAAGGCAACGTTAACCTCCCTCATACGAAGATCCTCACTCACTTCCCTACACTCTCTCAGCACTCACAGAGCTCTAGTAGCACCTAAGGATTTGTTGGTGATCATGGCCTGTAAGCGACCGTTCCTGTAGTCCCACTCTGTAGCACCTTCTGATGACTGATGGGTAGTTGAAGAGGTGGTTGAGTAGTTAAAGTAGTGGTTGAGTAGTTGAGGTGGTTGTTTACTTGAAGAGGTGGTTGAATATTTGAAGTGGTGGTTGAATAGTTGAAGTAGTGGTTGAGTAGTTCACTAGCTCATGGTCACAGTAAAACACTTGCTAAAACACCTACCCAAAGAGGAGGTGTAAGGGTAGTTGAAGAAATAGATGATTAGGTAATATGGTGGTTAATTAGTTGAACTAGTGGTATGGCGGTTAAAGAAATGGATGATGAGTGGAAGAGGTGTTCGAATAGTTGAAATAGTGTTTGGGTAGGTAAATAGGTGGCAGAGTTGAATGCATGACTGACAATACATTCACAGAAGTAATTTGTAGGCTGGGGAGCCTCACTTGCCTATATCTCAACTTATGACTATTTGTATATCGGAGTGTATAAGAGTGTATATGTGTATATGTCGGAGTGTATCGGAGTGTATAAGATTACAAATTAAATATAACTGTGAACGTATTACATACACACCGAGAGATGGTAAAGTTTTTATACACATAGAGACATGGAAAGAATAAGAGAACAGTTAAAAATTGTGACATTATGCCTTTTCTGTCGTTGGTACAAAACGATTTCCAACGACAGAAAATCATCTGTTAATCATCAGTCAATGATTCTCGCAGATAATTAACCATTTTACCCTATTTCAAAACGTTCCAGATCTCTCAATTTGCAAAAGTTTGCAGTCTCTCTCTCATATTGGTTTTAAACATGGTAGCTACTACCTTATCAGTTTCGCAATGTTGCATACATATATAATGTTGACAGCCACTGCATGGAGCTCTCATCTGTTCTCCACCATTGTAGGTTGTCATTCCAATACTGATGCTCACGGTAGACAACGTGGGCTCTCTCGTCAACTACTTCAGCATCATCGGCATCATCGGTAAACTCACCGCCGTCCTGGGGCTCCTGTGGCTCAGGTACAAGGAGCCGGACAGACCCAGACCGATCAAGGTGAGTTGTAGACCAGCAGTATACAAGCCGGCAGCCGGACAGACCCAGACCGATCAAGGTGAGTTGTGGACCAGGAATATACAAGCCGGCAGCCGGACAGACCCAGACCGATCAAGGTGAGTTGTAGACCAGCAGTATACAAGCCGGCAGCCGGACAGACCCAGACCGATCAAGGTGAGTTGTGGACCAGGAGTATACAAGCCGGCAGCCGGACAGACCCTGACCGATCAAGGTGAGTTGTGGACCAGCGGTATACAAGCTGGCAGCCGGACGTGTCAAGGAATAATGCTGCAGGACTCGGAGTTATTGTATGATATATTCACTCCATTCACTCCAAAATAACATTAACCACATCGGACGATCAGTGGTTAATGCCAGTGCTGGGCTGGGCAGACCGCATTTTCGTAGACAGTAAGAAAACAACTGATGCAGTTTCTTCTAAAAGGGAAGTGAATAAAATGGAAAGGCAAGTTGGGATAACTGACAAGTCCCTTTGGTAAGTAAAAAAAAAAAGGGAAGCTGGCCATAAATCTCCACATGGCGGAGAGCTATGACCAGCGGGGTCCCCCTAGGCCCGGTCCTTGGCCCGTTGGTGTAATAATTTATGTTCGAATGTCCTGCCAGATGAAGTCCGTTCGAACATGTCCATATTTGCAGGTGACACAAAAGTAAGAGTAAAGAAAAACATAAATTACTGCAGAGGGACCTTAACAAACTCCAGAAGTGGACATGGCTGTTAGACGTCAATCAACCCCAACAAGCGCAAGGTAATCAAGATCTGAAAAGACGGAAGGCTAGAATTTAAAAATGTGTTGCATAATAAGCCCTACGCGATTGTTTGAGTTAAGAAAGCACTTTCTATCAATATAGTGTGACGGTAAAAAATAGGTGTTATTGCCGTGTTCCCGAGGCCATTGGAATGCCTGTCACAAAATTAAAAATTAAAGAAAAGAAAAGTTCAACTGCAAGTTGTCTTCACTGTGAGGTTAACTGTAGGAGAAAACATACGGAACAAAAATTTAAAAATACTTTACTTTAATAGAAATTACTTTAAACAAATTACAAAATATATAATATCCAGGCTTGGCTTTAATACAAAGTATGCAAAACAAACAAGATGAATAATCAAATTTACGTTGTTAAGGTGCAAAATAATATATGGTGCGGAGTACTGTGAGTCAAACTAAATAGCTCTGTTACCACACAGAGATGTGTCAACAGGTCTACTCAGTGAGAGCACTCAGGAGTAATCTGAATCTTGGAGATGTTGTTGTTGTTAAGTATTTGCTACTTGGAACAAACAGTTCTAAGTAGCACAGGCTATGGTGAGCCCGTAGAATCTTGGAGAGCTTGGTAGCCCTATATATACAGAATATCGGCCGAGCAGAGGGCGCTGATGTCTTCTTTAAACTATGAACCTGCTCCTTTAACTGCTTGTTAAGGAGGGCGTGGCCTCCCAGCGACCCAGTTGCGAGGTGGGGTGACGGGCCGTGGGGGGAGCAGACTGGTGGTATTGTCTAGACGTCTGGAAGTTTTTTTTTTTTTTTTTTTTTTTTTTACATGCAGAGCATGCAAATTAAATACAATAAAAATACAGAATACATAAAGGAAAACAATAGACCACCGGCCAGAAGGGCCGACAGCATAGCACAACAAAACAGCATAGCACAACAAAACACATACACAAGAAAAACATGAAAAATACAGCATACATCAAAGCATAAAACAGAATACAATGGCAATCCAACAATCACAGTACAAAACAACACCTCCAGAAAAGCAAAACATACAACAAGAGGCATAGCAGGAAACAGAACAGTGCAAACACAACACTGTCCAAACACGTACAACAGGTAAAGCAACATAAAATCAATACATTAATAAAAAAAAACACACACCAAGCCATCTGCCCCGTAAACAAAAGACGAGGCCAAAATAAACAATTACAATAAACACGCACACCTGAAAACAAATCAGGCATAAACACAACAACTAGCCTGAAGGACCAAGAATGCAACAACAAAGTACATCAAGAAACAAACTAATTAATACACAACCATACAAAGTCACAAAACACCGGCCTGAAGGGCCGACATCAAAAACACAAGAAAACAAAAGAAAAAATACAACAAAACATCACAACACCACACCAAACACACAGCAAGCACACAGACTACAAAAAGATCTCATACTTGTCCGGCCACTCATCCGCCGGGAAGCGAATACAATACGCCTCCCAAAGTAGCATAATGTCCTCCGAAACATGGTCACTATTGAGCGTACGAGGATCAGGCATTAACTCTGGCACACCTACAATAAAACACTTAGCCCGACGAATCCAGATGGTAGAAGGGCACCACGGATCAGGACGCACACGGTCAACAATATCAAAACTCAACGGATGGTCAGCATCATTCGCCACTCCGGAGGCCAAGATGAGAGGGAGAGGCATCTTCCCATGAGGCCGGACACTGGGAGCCTCCTCAGCTGCCTCACAGGGCCCCTCGTCAACCACCGAACGTTGTATCTGCTGGGACCCCCCACGCTTGGCATCCTTTTTCAGCACCAGCTTGATGCCTCGGCTCGCACCAGGATCCACACCATCCACGCCCGTAGGAGCAACCACCTCCCACTGCGGAGAACCTTCTGCAGGAGAAAGAACAGGAGGTAAATTAGACGCACAATCATCAACAGCTGACACATGGACATCAGCCACCACCAGCGTCGTAGAGCACGAGGCACCCGGAATCGCCACACCATCTCCCGAAGCTCCACCCGCGTCGTAGTCCTCCATATCAGCCCAAGCAGTAGAAGAGCGCCTATAACGCTTTGGCACTGGCCGCACATCCTCACAGCCGGAGGCGGACCCAGAACCACGGCCCTCACGAACCGGGCGAACCAACGCCCGTCGCAGTACTGCAGCAGCCTCAACCACATGGGGAACCGGGCCGCACACAACAGGATGCTCCGCAGCCCCCCCAACACCCAGCACAGCCGGAACACCTGGCGAGGGTGAAGGACCAGGCGCAGCAGCAGGCGTCGAGGAAGACGCAGACGCACTCGGCTGAGGGACAACAAGCACCGGGGGCATGTTGGGTGACGCAGGAGGGGCCGCATCAGCAGCGACTGGGACCTGCTCCACTTCATCTCCGGAATCCACGACTTGAGGGAGTGGCGGGAAATCCTCCTCACGGAATAAGTTAACGGGTGCAGCAGGTGTCTCAGAGCACCCGGCAGCCTGATGCCCCAACTGGCCACACCGGAAACAAGTACGGGGCTGCCGGGCATAGTACACCCGAACGTAGTAGCCCAGCAGCCGGACAGAAGATGGGATATCCGACCGCAGGCGCATACCTAATGTACGGACGTTCGTCTGCTTCCCAGCATACTTCCCCGAGGACAGCTTGTTCACCCGCACACTGATGACTACACCATACCACCCGAAGAAGCGCCGGAGAAGGTCTTCAGGGAACTCCAGGGGCGCACCGTGCACACTGACATACGTCAGGGCACCGCTTCGGTCCGAGATCGTAACGGAGCCGGCGCCATCCGGCAACTGCAATGAACGCCCCTCGTTCCGCCGGAGGAAATCCCGATACTCCTCCTCCCCCACGAACTTGACAATCACCCGGTGGGCCGTAACAAGCTCAACGCCATACACAGCTTCCACCGGGACACGAAGCATGTCGCACATAACTAACTCAATGGCCGGATAACCAGCCTTACACGTGAATTCCAGGCCCACGGAATTTACCCGCAACACAGGAGGAACGGCCAGGCCCCCCATGTTAAAACGGTTACGTCAGCACGCAGCCAGCAGACGTCTGGAAGTAGTTGTTGTTGTTGTTCTTGGCTGCAGTTCTTGATTTACATAGACGTGAATGAGTAGAATAGGCGGTAAGGGAGCAGGCCGAATCTCTTACTAGAGATTTTACCATGACAATAGACATTCTCCTCAAAAGGTGCCCACTCCCCTACCTTTTAAATACCTGTAAGATAACATAAACTTAAGGGTTGTAAGATGTAAGTAAACCCGTCGTTTGATAAGCTGTTTGCTTGAGACAGTTAAGTACCAGCTGCCTCTGGGTACAAGTGACAGGATGAACAAGTCAGCGGAGGGGGTTGTGGAGTGGTGTGATGTACATGCTAGGTACATCAACCCCCCCACCCCCCCTCACCCCACAACATCATCTTTTGATTGATCATGTGTGTTCCATCAATTGCTGAGCGATGCTATCCAATAAAGTAGCCTCCGGAGCAAAATAATAAAAAGTATCGAACTAGAAAGAATTTATCTCATAAGGCAACGACAGAAATCGGAAAGAGAAAAATACTTTAGAGTGAATGTAATTCCATCACCAACGCTGGATATTTACATAAAGAAAATAACATCGCCTGCATATTACAAGCTGACAAACATAAGAGAGGTGTTTAGGAACCTAAACAAGGAAGTGTTCAAGCCAATTTTCAGAACCTATGTTAGGCAAATTGGGATCTAGGATGTGTTGTGGGTTGTGTCCTGGAAAGGTGGCGTTGGTGGCCCTCAAGAAGCCTAGCAAGTTTCCTGTCCCAGACAATGAGGAGACATTCAACATCCTTAAACGAAGGAAACACCAAATTAATATATGCTAACAAAGTACAAGGCAGGCGACTGGAAGGAATAGACAAGGAGTGGAAGATGACATCGGTGGAAATTAAAAACACGTTTGAGGTGAAATATAAGGAAATATTAGTATAATCAGTAGTCTAGACAAGTGGAGTGCATTGAAAGAGAAAGAATGCCTCAGATACCGTCATAATCCACGAGTCCTAAGCAAATACGACACAGTACTAGAAAGTTAAGAATTCTAAAATCTTCCCAAGTTAAAAAAAAAAAAAGTAGCTTGGAGGCAAGGCTAAAGTTTATTTAATTCCACGTAGTCACAGAGATGGAAGTTCATTTTGATTTGCACGTTGGTTTAAATGTCCAACATAAATAGTCGATTCCTGATGCTGTAGGTGCGAGACTTAGACGAAAACCAAGTGAAGAGTAAGATGGGCTGAGGGGGGAGGGGAGACTATATTTGTTACTTCTGTGAGGAGCGAGTATTTGCATAGAACGATTTCCCCTGGTATTGGTATTTCTTTATTATGTAAGTTGGTGTAGAGAGAGAGAGAGAGAGAGCATCTATGATGCCTGGCTGCTTACACCAACTTACATAAGAAAGAAATACCAATACCAGGGGATTCAGCTGGTAAGCTATAAAACAATGAAGCCACAAACACTGAGGTGTTCTTCATCATGCTGGCAGGTGTGGCTGGGGATACCAATCATGTCGGTGGTGGTGAATATCTTCCTCTTGACGTTCCCGTTGATCAGAAGACCTGTGGAGATCGCCGTGGCTCTGGCGGTCATGACGTCCGGTCTGGTGGTATACTTCTTCACCATTCACCGAGACACGAAGTCGGGATTCCTCGCCAAAATCAAAGGTCAGTTTCGGGTTCGTTGTGAGTCATTATGTCCTTATCAACAAAGGCTAAATGCTCATTACCTGCTGCCACCAAACCCTTTATTTAAGAATGAAAAGTCTTGCAATCTTTCCTCATTAACAAAGGCTAAATGCCCCTTAATTCAGTCTCCAACACGCTTGTTTATGAATGAAAACAGTTTACACACACACGACTCACAACTGTTGACACAACCCGTCCTCAGACAAAGTTAATCCCATCCAGCGGTCGACCCCAAACAGAAATAATAGATCGAGAGAGAGGACATTAGACAATGAACGTTTATAATGGCGGGATCCAAGAGCTAACAACTCGATCCTGCAGGAAAAAATAATAAAACACACACATACAAACAAGCAATTTTTACCTGTAGTGATCTGGTTATATAAAAAATATCTTTTTTATTTCAGGTAAAATGACATTTATGTGTCAAGTGATATTCTTGTGCTCGCCAGAAGACAAATCCGAGTGAAACCCAGGAACTGCTGTAATGTTAACCCTCATGTCTGAATCGAAAATAATTCAAATTGATGGCTACAGATTACAGAATACAAGGCCTGTATACCTGTACCTGTGTACACTGAGTAGCACCTTCCCTTCTCTTAATAAAGTTCATTCACTTAAAGAATAACAACTTATAAAGTTCTAGATGGGATACCCGGTGGTGCCCGGGTCTCTCTTTCTCTCCTTCTCAGAACGTTATCTTGAGATGATTTCGGGGCTTAGTGTACCCACGGCCCGGTCCTCGACCAGGTCACCCTTTTGCTATACATCTTCTCAGGAAACAGCTCGTAGCAGTTGTCTAACTCCCAGGTACCTATTTACTGCTAGGTGAACAGGTGGATCACGATGAAAGAAACTCTGCCCATTTGTTTCCCCCTCCGCCGGGGATCGAACCCGGAACCTTAGGACTACGAGTCCTTAGCGCTGTCCACTTAGCCGTCAGGCCCCCTTCCACTCACCCGTCAGGCCCCCCTTTTGCAACTGTAGAAGACTCTTCTTAAAGGCAATTGAAGGGACCAATCTCCAACCCGTCTATGACAGTCCCGAACCACCCATGTGTCATCCTGAAAAGTTGAGAGAGGCCACCCCCATGTGTCTGGCTTCCAACCTTGGACAGACATACCAATATTCAATTTTCTAGATAGAGATTTATTGTTAGATAGCTTTGCAAGATATAGTATATTTGCTTACTATGTTGTATTATACCATAATGATTATCAATAATGTTAACCAATAAAGTATAATCAACTTGAGCGATTTTCAATTAATTATATATTATTAAACATTCCTGTAATGGTTATGATTATCTATATATAATGCATCTATATAATCATCTGTAATCATTCTTTATTCTTCTCTTTATATTGTGTAATAATATATTTTCTCATTTATAATAAATATTTTGAATGATTAAACATAATAATTTTAAATAATTTAAATTATCATGAACATCTAGGTAATATATAATCATAACCCAAAGCATTATTGTCAACATACTCGAAGCCTGTACTAAAGAGGCTTCGAGGCTTCCTGAGCCCCTGATGGTCGTGTGTACACAAACAGGTGGATGACGTCGCTGTGAATTGAAATTGAAATAAGTTTATTGATGTAAAATACACACAAAGGGATGAGGTAGCTCAAGCTATTCTCATCCCGTTCAGTACATCGTGTTAATACATACATAGACACACATCACAAACAATAAACATATTACCAAACATTCTGAGAGATAAACATCTACATTTCCTCCTAGGTCGCTGTGGGTTCGCCCCCTCTCCCCCTTTGCTAATTTGAACATTTTGACCGTCGCCTTACAGCACAGAACACAAGATACAGCGAACCGCCTTCATTTTCTAGACCGGCAATTTTGGGCGTCCTAGACAATGCCTCTCTCAAGGATCGTGGTTGTGCACAAACAACAATCTAAAATTATCCCATTATTTCAGCACACGACCAGGCCATAGGTAGAGGAAAGTAAAGAATTCACAGTGACATAGAGCGACATTACGGGACTAGGAGACAGCAAGACGATCTGGGATTTGGATTTGATGTCCAAAAGGCTAGGAAAGGATGGGGGAGGAAGAGGGATTGGGGGGAGGGTAAAATTCTGGAAGAGGATTTGGATGTGAAGAGAGGAGGCTTGAAAGTTCGGTGACCTAGCCACCATGGGTTGGCATGATGTTTTGATCTTAGCTTAGAGCTTTCTTGTCGTTGTTGATCTTGAGTTCTTATTCAGCGGCAGGAGGCTAGTGGTGTGGCGGGTGGCTGTTGTCCTGGTTTAGGTGAGGTGCTCTGTCTGGCTTGGAGGAGGAGGAGTCTTTCCGATGGAGGTAGTGGACGTTATATCGCAAGGGGGGTTGACGGTTCTGCCCGAGGTGGCATCTCACCGTTGGGCCCAACAATTGCGGCAGTTGGGTTCCTTCTGGATACTCGTCATCTGTGTTGAATTTGGGTTGTCTCTTGGGGCATACGAAGGCGTAGGCCGGGTCGTGGTACTCCATTTTCAGGGTGGAGAGGTCGAAGTAGGAGTGCATGGAGTGGACGTCGAACATTGGAAGAGTCCTGGTGGAGAATGATCTCTTTGCAGTTGTGCGCCAGCTGTTGTCTGGTGGTGGAGTTTCCCCTGAACCCCCTCTGTTTGGACGATGATACCAAGTCAGGGACTTCTCCCGTCGTCTTCCTCGATGTGGAGATGTTAAGGTCCTCGATGTAGCCTTGTAGGTGCGGTCTGGGCTTGTTGCTCCTTGTGCTGTTTCTTTATTCTTGATCACGTGCCGGTAGCTGGGGTTGGGGCTGCCATTGGGTGATGCTGGGCCATGTTTGATGAGGTAAGGTTCGCTGAGGTAGTTGGCGATGAGGTTGTTGGTGCTGCTAGCCCTGTTGTCGGTGTCATTACCAGAAGTGCTGTCGTAGATGCTGCCGCTGCTGCTGTGGATGCCGTTTGCGTTGGGGTCTATACTTGTTGTGCAGAGGTTGGTTGTGGATTTTTTAGTAGGTCCGTCGAAACTGACATCTTGGTTAGTTCGTTTGCAACGACTATGACCACAAAACGCTGTCTACTTAGCCGCCAGTGGGGGTTAGGTGTGTGTGTGTGTGTCAAAATGAAATTATTCTCAAATATTTTGAAGCTTTATTAATGTCCAACAAACAGAGCGACAGCAAATGCCGTCAAATATTTAAAAAACAAACTAATTACTGGGTCATGGAGATCTACTCCTACAGATATTTGGATAAATACTGGAATATGTAGCACCGGCCTGGAATCTGCACTCTGTAAATCATACAACCAAAATGGGAAAAATGCAGAGCTATAGAACAATATTAGAACCAGAGCTGAGAGGATTAAGCTACGAAGAAAACCTAATTGAACTAAATCTCACAACAGCAGACAACAGAAGAAACAAAGGGGGATATAACTACGACATACAAGATACTGAGGGAAATATATAAGTTGATAAAGACTGCCTCTTTCAACTGAGGGAAAATTGGCAATATTACATAGGTGGAAGTCGGAAACATCAAAAAATCAAGGAAATTCTCATACCTTGACTGGGAGATCAATATGTGGAATCATTTCAAATAAGTTTTGGAAGCCATCTCCAGATTTGACAAAGAATTCGAACTCCAGAAAAGTTAAAGTTAAAACGCAACAGGTACAACAAGGCTGGTAAGCGGGGCATGCAGAGCTGGAGTTATGGGCTATTCATGCCCGTGCCACCTCTTGGGTGACTTAGTCTTTATCAATCAATCAGAGCAAGAGCTCACTTCCTCGTAGCCACTGTTAGGCAAGCACTCTTGGGTAAGTACACCCACATTCAGCAAGGCGAGAAAAGCCTCTTGACAGCTCCTCCCTTGACGTCATGTCCAGCTTCTCCCTTGGCGTCGTCGTGACACTTGCCGGAACGTTGACAATTCTTGGTCAGTGAGGCATCGCGACGCGCCAGGGTAGGGCCGGCCGGGGAAGACGGTCACAATGCACCAGAGACACCGGTCTCCTCTGGTGAACTCATCAACAACACCTGACACACAAACGTCACTTTGTCTGCAAAAATAAATAAATAAATAAATAAAATAAAATAAAATTAAATAAAATTAAATAAACTTATTCATAAACAAAATTGTAAACACTTTTTAACATGATCTACTGAAGGAGAGACGATTATGCTGGAGACATGGTGTACACATTGTTTCTGCTGCCACGATATTGTAATCAATTTCATTATTATTGTACATTTCGTAACATAAAAGCTCTTGCCATGTATGGGTTAGTCCTAAAGGTGACAGAAAGGCTGCAGTCGCATGTCGGCAAAGTTACCCCAATGATTTTGAACCCCAGAACTACAAACCTATTTCAAATAAACGCATCAAGTTGCGCCAGACTAACCTGAGATTATGATAATCGCTAGATTCTAACACCGAATCATAATTCAGTATTCCCTTTGATTATTAATTAATTCCACACTTACGGATATCCAAGTCATCCATTACTAGTGGGGGGGATCAAGCCCCAAAGTTTATTGATTAGCATGATCGATCCAGACCTCGATCATTGCTCAGTGTTACTGGTCTGGTGGTGGCAGCGAAAAAGTGATTCTAGAGTTTTGCTAGAAGTCTATTTCACGTCATACGGGTTGTAGAATCTTAAGTCGGTCAATCGTCTTAAGACCACGTGGCGTGGGGTCGGCTCAAGTAATAGTTTTGAGTCCCTTGGTATGGAGATCTAAAGCAGAATACGGGTAAAGAGAGGGGTAGAGAGAGAACGAAGATACGAAGTACAGAAGGAATACACTCCCCCCCCCCCCCCCGCCCCGAGGTACAGGACATCTAGGCATTGTGTCAGTTCGAACGAATGATAGGGATTTGGGCAATCTATCTTTGCTGATATAAAGAAGAACTGAGAGGTACAAAAGATACACAAATTAAGATTCATTTGGACTTGGTTGAATGGTAACCAATAACGGGTCACCAGACTCACCCATAAACTTGGAGAGACATTTGGGCTTCATTTTGAGGTGAATAATGAAGTAGTAGATGATGAGGCCCACGATGACGAAGCCGAGGGCGACAAGGAGCTGCTCAGGGTTTCGAACCGCCGGCATGACCGTCAGGAACAAGGTCACCAGCAGATAAAAGACAGGGAAACCAAGCCACACCTGCGATTTTAGAGACGTGAGAGTACATATGTAGGTTGGAATACATATGTACGAATGTGTTTGTGAGTATTTAATATTTGTATGTACTATTTGTGCCAGCAGAATCGAGCTATTAGCTCTTGGACACACTTTTCTACCCGATCTATTTTTTCCCCTCATTCCTTTCTCCTCCCAACCATTCCTCACTCTCCGGTCCCCTGATCCTCCCCACCATTCTCCCCTCCCCCCTCCCTTAGTCCTCCCCACCATCCCCCACTCCACCGTCCTCTCGTCCTCCTTACCATTCCCCACTCCACCGTCCCCTCGTCCTCCCCACCATCTTCCACTCCCCCATCCCCTCTTTCTCCCTATCATTTCCTCCTCCCTCATCCCCCTGTTCTCCCCACCATCCCCCACTCCCCCTTTCCCCTTGTCCTCCCCACCATTTTCCATTCCTTTGTCCCCTCGTCCCCACCATCCCCAACTCCCCGGTCCCCTCGTCCTTTCCATCATTACCCCCTCCACTGTCCCCTCGTCCTCTCCACCATCCCCCACTCCGTCGTCCGATGAATTCCCAAATGATCTGATGTTCCCATCAGAAAATTGGGAACATCAAATGATCTGATGTTCCCATCATTGAAATATAACAAAACAGTTAAAAAACGAAATGAAATACAATGAAAAAAAATAACTGTACTCATGAAATGAACAGTATGGTAAACAACACAGCTTACTTCCAATGCAATGTCACACAAAATAATTAAATCAAAATGAAAATAAATCGAAACCTTTAAAAATCCAATTTATCAATGCAATCGGAAACACTGAAATGGAATCGTAACATATTTAGTATAGCTTGTGTTGCTCTTACATGCAAAGATGGCGCTGTTTCTTCAAAAAAAAAAAAAAAGTTTTCACCTGTCACAGGTGTGGCATCTATACATATACTTACGAAATGAACTGTATGGTAAACAACACATCTCAATCCCAACGCATTGTCACATAAAATAATTAAATGAAAACGAAAATAAATTGAAATCTATGAAAATTCAATTTATCAATGCAATCGGAAACATTGACACCGGCTTGTATACCGCTGGTCCATAACTCACCTTGAACGGTCAGGGTCTGTCCGGCTGCCGGCTTGTATACCGCTGGTCCATAACTCACCTTGATCGGTCAGGGTCTGTCCGGCTGCCGGCTTGAATACCGCTGGTCCATAACTCACCTTGATCGGTCTGGGTCTGTCCGGCTCCTTGTACCTGAGCCACAGGAGCCCCAGGACGGCGGTGAAGTTCCTGACGTTGCTGGTGAAGGTGGTGTAGGCCAGGAGGTTCCCGATGCTGTCTGATGTCAGCGCCACGAGCGGGATCATCGCCTGTAACAATTATCAAGTGGTGTTTAGTTCTGTGTACACTGTGGGGTGTGAGCCCTGACTATGCTGGTTTGAATCCTGGTTTGGTTATAGAGTCTTTAGTGATACATATATATATATATATATATATATATATATATATATATATATATATATATATATATATATATATATATATATATATATATATATATATATATATATATATACTATAACTCACCGATACTATAACAGCCGTGACAGGAGAGTAATGGTTGATGTTGATGAGTGCGAGGAACTGAGGAAGGTGTCCCTCTCTCGCCCCAGCGTAGGTAAGGCGAGACGCCCTTATTATAGTGCCATTGATGTTGCCTCCGGTGGAGCATGCGACGAAGAAGGCGATGATCCACGCCAACACACCCAGCTTCCGGCCCCCGAAGGTCTGGAACCAAGTGACAGAGAGCTGCAGGTGTAATCTTGACCATAAATCAATGTGGTAAAGACTATCTCGACTACCAGACTATCCTCCAATGTAATGGTTTTCCTTCGTGTGAAATTTTTAAAATTCAAAATATTTTGAGCTCCTGTGTTCAGGAGTTCAAGAAACATCAGAGACTTAAAGAAACGTTAGATATACTCTTCATAATACACCTTCAGCAATATGATATGGGAAATTAATTTGCAGTTGCACTGATTGACAGGGATGTGACATACACATGCCCTGTCACCGTAGATCACGAGAAAGATTATCTGTCAGAGAGTGACTGACAGGACGAAAACAGTGTGTCACATGTGACTCACCACAGTCACATCCCTGGATGTACTCACCACAGTCACATCCCTGGATGTACTCACCACAGTCACATTCCTGGATGTACTCACCACAGTCACATTCCTGGATGTACTCACCACAGTCACATTCCTGGATGTACTCACCACAGTCACATCCCTGGATGTACTCACCACAGTCACATCCCTGGATGTACTCACCACAGCCACAGCATTGGAGGAGAGGATCTCAGCAGGCGTCAACACAGCGTAGTAAGCAACATTGGTGAGGGTGTAAACGATGGTCACTATTGTTATTGAGATAGCAATCGCCCTTGGTAGATTCCTGCAAGTGCATATTATATATATATATATATATATATATATATATATATATATATATATATATATATATATATATATATATATATATATATATATATATATATATATAACTGAAAACTCCACACCCCAGAAGGATTCGAACCCAGACAGCCAGTACGCACCTGGTACCTTAACCGCTAGACCACACTGACTGTACGAAAATGTTGGAATTCGTGAGACTATGCTCTTGTGTGTCTGGGTTCGAATCCTTCTAGAACCGCCAAGCCATTACGACTATATAGCACTGGGAAGGGGTCAGGATAAGGATTTGGGATGGGACGGGGGGAAAGGAATGGTGCCCAACCACTTTGGAAGGTCGGGGATTGAACGCCGACCTGCACGAATGGAGACTGTCGCTCTACCGTCCAGCCCAAGGGGTTGCATTCATAAGGAATGGTTTAAATTTTATATAACATCCAGAGTAAAGCAATGAAATCATTTAAATGAAAAATCCCCCTAAATATTTATCTTATAAATTCCACCTATGAAAACATCAGTACAATTTTTTATCATTCTTGTATGTGATTCATTTTCTTTGTTGATGAACTGTATGAAATGCTACTTGCTTAGTTGGTTCCTTCAGCTCCTCGACAATTGTACCCAGGCTGTTCCTGGAACAATAATGAACTATTTAAGCAACAATTTTGCTCCTTATAAGTGCAAAATATCAATGTTTTATTTCGTATAAATACGTACAAGAGTGTATATTCAAGACTGAGATATGAGTTCAATTTCTGCTGTCATATTAACCAATAACAGTGAGTTTGTACCCTTAATATATTACGGTAAGAATATCTATTGACATTCGTAGAGCTGTATCGTACACGTAGCGTACGATACAGAGAGGGAGTACTCTACTGAGTACACCTCTGACATTTACCTTCACCACCACTCGCTTAAACGCACTAAACTAGCAGCACTCACCACCCGCTGTAGGCGAATACGGTGGAGTAGAAGGCGGTGGCGAAGGAGGAGACGTCCCACACGGTGCCCTTCATGGGGTCGAGGTAGTGCTCCACGTGACCCCTGGCCAGGTGGTGGACCCCAGCCACGATGATGATGATTAGCGCCAACACCTGGATACGGCAACACACAAAAACAAAACAAAAACACAGGGATTACATGTATACGGGGATTAGTGTCGCAGGATTTATTTATTTAATGTAACCAAGTGGTATAGGCAATATTGATAAATACGGAACGCTAAATTTTGTTGGTGTGTATTTTCATACGAACCTTCGTGACGGCTAAGATGTCTTGCACACTGCTCCCACGCTTGACACCCATGCAGTTTACATACATGACTAAACCTGACGAAGAATAGAACATTGATAGATTCTAGGGAGTCACGTTTAATTGTGATGTTGGTGTGGGTTCCCCCTTGAGCACTTTTTTGTAATCCTTGAGTATATCCTGTTATTCTTTAGCACTTTATTTTATCCTACAATTCACCCTATTATTCTTGAGAACTTTGTTATCCTTCAGTACACCCTGTTATTTTTGAGAACTTTATGATATTCCTCAGTACATCCTGTTATCCTTGAGTACTCACAGATATCATTGAGTACTCTCTGTTATCCCTGAGTACTCTCTGTTATTCCTGAGTACTCATTTTTCCTTAAATACTCCTTGTTGCCCTGTACGTTTTCCTGTTACGCTTAAGTACTCCCAATTAGCAATTAGTATTCCCCATTACAAATGGCCCCATCAGCTTCCATCATTATCGCTCAGTATATCTACGGTGAGACCAGTTCTCTGACGTCCAAGGTACAGACTCGTTTTTGTATGTCGCCTCAGAGCCAAATTTACTGGAACGAGTACATAGAAGGATGACAAAAAGTTAATCCCAGGAATATGAAAACTTTCATATGAAGAGAGAGATTAATAAAGCTTCATTTACGTCCTCTAAAATGGCAAAGAGTAAGGCTTATATGACTCAAGCATACTAATGGACGAAAGGGTAAAATGAAGGAATATTAATAAGGTGTAAAATACATCAACAGAACAACTGGATATCAATTCAGGAAGTGTAGATTCAGAAAGTACCTGGGGTAAATTCTGGTTTCAAAGCAGTGTTGTTGTTGTTGAAGTTACATATTACTGGGAAACAAAATACAGTAACTATGAGATCGCTGCTAAAAAAAAAAAAACATTGTTTTTAAACAAAAATGCTTTTCGCAAAGCCTGTTCTCACTGAAGTGTAGAATATAGCTGAAATTTATCAAGTGGAAATATTAATTTGGTACTAATATTAGAAATAATACAAGACAGAATACGAAACAATGAAATCACAAATTGGTTAGCTTTTTATCCAGACAGGAAATAGGAAAACATTGCCAGAGAAATAGTGTTGCAGGTCTGTGACACAACTCACCAAGTGACATCACAGAGGCCAAATGCAGTGTGAGTGTTAGACAAACGCAGTGTGAGTGTGGTTGGACAAAAATATGAGTGGGAACTTTGGGACAAATACAAAATGAATGTTGTCACACAAATACACGAGTGGGAGTTCGTGGAGAAATGCAGAATGAGAGAAGTTAGACAAATACCTGCATAGAGTGGTTGACAATAAATAAGAAAGGCTTCGCATAGACAAATAGGCCTTCATCAGATGTCAATATTCTCATAGGTTTATGTTAACCCGTTACGTGACTTACAGAGCATGGCCGCGGCCAGGAGCCTGACGGCATAGTAGGGAGGCGAGGAACAGTCAGGTAGGAACGCCTGGAGGAGGTAGTTGGCGAAGGTGAGAGCGACGATGGCTCTGGAAGCCGGTCTGGATATGAAGATGGTGCTCCAGAGGGCGAGGAATGCGGGCACCGGACCAAACGCTTCCATGATATAGGCGTAGTTGGCTCCGTTCCGGGGGATGGTCGTACCTTAACAAAGAAGAGCAATCAATTGTTGATCAAATAGACTTTAGGAGTATGTCTATAAATGTGTTTAATGGTCAAATAGACTTTAGGAAGATGTTTACACAAATGTTTAATGATAAAACATTACGTGACGGCATTAGTATATAATATGAGAGTTTACTTTCATTTTAGGCACCCGATGCAGATACCAACTACAGAATATTAAAATATCCACAAAATTGATTAGTGTTTTAAAAGATGTAGCAAGAGTGGGACGTAGAAAGACTTCAACAACACATATCTACACACTGAAATCCCCCTGACAATTACTGACTTAGTGTCAGGATGACACCCCCATCACAGGGTAGACAACAGTGCCCCCATAACCAAGCAGACAACAGTGTCAGCAGAGCAGGCATCATCTTTACGCCTGATGCGTAGTGAACGTGAGTGGGAAGACAACCCTGATGATTAATGGGGGTTGAGAAGCGTGGTAGAAGCTTTGATCATAAGAGGAGACACAGAAGCCGTGTTGGGTAGACGCAGAAGAGTTGTTGGATTAGAGTAGAAGGCTATGTGGTAACTCAGGAGCGCTATGAACACCAAAGTCACATGTGGATGTTTCAGTAACATCAATCATAGGCTTGTTGGCGTTTTAGAGAACTCTTTATCTCAGCATTTAGGCCCTATTAACATAGCACAGCTTAAACACTTTGGGAATTTATAGCGGATAATAAGAGGCATTTTGGCAAAGACTAAAAAATTTTCAACTTTTTACAAAGGACACAAAAGATAAACACAAAACGCCGCATATGAAACAAATATAAAGATTTATTCAGCATTTAAACTGTTTTATTTTTTTAGAATTTATCTACTGAACTGAAAGTTATAAATATAAATTGGCAGTAATAATTGTCTGGGTACTTACCAAGCTCGGCGTAGCAGAGGGCTCCGACAATGGAGACGAGTCCCGTAGCCACCCACACCACCAGCGCCATGCCCACGCTGCCCGTGTACTGCACCACCGTCTTGGGCGACACGAAGATGCCAGACCCGATCACAATGCCCACGATCATGCCCACACCGTTTCCCAGTCCGAGTGCCCTCTTCAGCTGCACGCCAGTATCCGGACACTTCCCAGGGACAGTCATGCCGTCGGGCTCACCAGATCCTGCTGACCGGAGCCCCTTCTTCTGCTGCCCGCCAGTGTCCGGACACTTCCCAGGGGCAGTCATGCCGTCGGCCTCACCAGATCCTGCTGACCGGAGCCCCTTCTTCAGCTGCCCGCCAGTGTCCGGACACTTCCCAGGGGCAGGCATGCCGTCGGGCTCACCAGATCCTGCCGACTGGAGTCCCCTCTTCAGCTGCCCGCCAGTGTCCGGATACTTTCCAGAGGCAGTCATGCCGTCGACCGTCTTGTCGACTTCATCAGATACCGCCGACTTGTTCTTCGTTGTGGCTTCGGCTGTTAGGTTCTTCTTCAGGCCAGAAGATCTTCTGTGACAAACAGATGATTTCGGTGTCGATACCCCCTTCGAAGCTGCCTCTTGGCGTTGCGTCTCCGAGGAAGAGTGTTGAGGAACATCCGTCGTAGATGCAATTTCCCTAGAGCTCGCAGTCCCCATGGTTGTCTCACTCAAGATGCTTACCACCACAAGAAAACTCACTATGCGTAACACCACGCAAAACTATGCTTGTTTCATTTCATATTTAGCCTTACAAACTTAATTCATTGGATATGAAATTTTGTGGGCCCTTTATTTCAGTAAGATAAATGTCAAATCATTTTTTTATTTATTTTTTATTTTGCATAATGTCTTTAAACACCGATCAATATGTCTCCTTAAATTAAGGCAACATATGGTAAAAAATTATTCTTGTGGATAATTAGATAAATACCCTACATGCAAATAAAAGAACCCAGTCTATGTAACTCACTCCCTGATGAATTAAAAAATTGTCCAACCTATGCCTTATTGAAAAGCAAAACCTAAAAATAACTAATTCCATTCTCATAGTTTCCTGCCTTGTGCTTCAAACTCTCACTGTATCTTGTGATACAGAGTGAATTTGAACTACAATTCACCCAATTTAACCACTAAAATTGGGTGAGTTCAAACTCATCCAATTTTAGTTCTTAAGATGTGAAACATCACCAGTATAATTAATACAATTTCCTAAATAATCCGTCAAGTCTCCATGCACTTATGCAAGCATCTACCTCAGTTTCATTGTACAATTTTACTCTTAAATCTAATCTTACCCTATTCCATTTAAATTTTAAATTTAATTGTATTGATTTATGTCATTTATTGAAATCAATTATTGATCTCATTTTGTTCTTTTAATTAAGTTCATACTAATTATAGGTTAAAAACTAAGCTAAATAAAATTTATTATCTTTAAGATTATTTTACTTTACAATTATCATTTGTCAAATTTTTTATATATTCATCTTGACAGTCTCTACTGATTTTTTGTTCTCTCCACCAAACTTGTGTATCCTCCATCGCTATCTAGTGACCATTATTCTACCTCTAATTGTTTAAATTCTTTTGTTTACTTGCATTTATTGTTGTGTTTTGCCATAATTATTCTCTAATTTTAGCAGACTTAATACTTTGTAAGCTCTTATTGTATTGTTATATTACTGTATTGTTGTGTTTTGCTATAATTACTTTCTATTTAACAGCAGATTTAGTATTTATCTGTTCCTGTAATTGTTTATCTTATTGTATCGTGACGTTATCTTATCTATATGCTTACTGATATTGATCCTGATCGAAATCTTCTGTCCCATATCCACACAAATCAGCACATTGATCATCATTATTGCAGGTATTACACAGCAAATCTTGCAAAAAGCAAACTCCTAAATAGCACCTGATTATCAGTTTACAACCAAAATGTTAGGTCACTTGGTAAACATTTTGATGATATAAATGCACTACTTACAGCACTAGGTACTAAATTATCATTCATCATTTTAACAGAAACTTGGCTAAGTAATGACTATACCCAACTCTACAATTTAGCTGGTTATAAAGCCATTCATAACTGCAGGCCTAATAAAAAAGGTGGTGGTACAGCAATATATTACAAAGATACCTTCATTTGCAATAGTGTTATTAGTGATAGAGATGACTATTGTGAATATACATTTGCCAAGTTCTCCAGTAAATCCCTTAAATCTTCCCTGACTATCTGTGCCATCTATAGATTTCCTAATACCAACATAGCTTTATTCACTGACAATGTAAGGAATCTTATCATAAATAACAATCTCAACAAAAATCACATCATTCTGGGAGGTGATTTCAATATTGACCTGGGTCTTCAAAACAACCCTCAAGTTGACTATTTCTGTAACAGCATGCACTCTTGTATGCTAATCCCTACAATCACCAAGCCCACCCGAGTCACTCAAACATCTGCCACTACCCTGGATCACCTATGGACTAATATAACAGCTCCCCTTACATCTGGGGTAATTTATGACAGAACAACTGACCACTATCCTACTTTCCTCATAGCAAACATTGACACATCACCACCAGAAACCAAGAAACTTTCATTCAGGCTACATAGTGAATCAGCTTTAGACAATCTCTCTAATGCACTTCACAATATTAACTGGGAATCTGAATTTAATAATTCACAGGATATAAACTCATCAACTAACCTCTTTCTCTTCAAAACTCTAAGCCTCTACAACACTCACTGTCCCCTCCTTACCAAACAAGTAACTGATAAAAGAAAAAATAACCCGTGGCTCACAAGTGGCATAATTAAATCAATCAACAAAAAACATGAATACGAAAAAAAATTTAGGAGTGGCCTAGTTTCAAAGGAAGTAGTTAAAAGGTACTCATCAGTGCTTACCAGTATCATAAGAAAAGCAAAACTTTCATATTATGAGACTAGATTCAAAGAAGCAAAAGGCAACATGAAAAGCACATGGAATACCATCTCTAACATCCTGGGAACTAAACAACACTCCCACAACCAGATAACACTCTCTAAGGATGGCCTTACACCGTCATCTGACTTGAAAATGGCGAATGAATTTAATAGCTTCTTTTCATCGATTGGTGCTAACCTTGCAAGTAAAACCCCACAGACTCAGACACATATCAACACATATCTCTCAGGCAGCTATCCAAACTCTCTTCTCCTTTCACCAGTCAGCCCGACAGATCCAGATGTTGTGTCCATCATACACTCACTAAAAACCAATGCTGGGAACATCAGTGAAATCCCATCCATTGTATACAAGAGCGCCTCCCATGCCCTTGCGCCACCTATAGCTCTGCTGTTCAACAAATCCCTTGAGTGTCATACCTTCCCTGATATCCTTAAAAAAGTAAGAGTAACGCCAGTTCATAAAGGAGGTAATCCGGCAGACATAAACAACTATAGACCAATATCGAACCTACTCATACTATCAAAAATATTTGAAAAAATAATCTACAAACAGCTCTACTCCTATCTCGTAAAATTCGACATTCTTAGCCCCTGTCAGTTTGGCTTCCGCTCTCAAAAGAGTACAAACGATGCAATTATTAGTCTCCTTGATATAATTTACTCAGCCCTTGACAAAAATGAGTTTCCGATTGGACTCTTCATTGACCTGAGAAATGCCTTTGATACTGTTAATCACGATTACCTCTTATGTAAACTCCATCATTATGGAATCCGAGGCCATGCACTGGACTATATCCAATCCTATCTTAGTGATAGACACCAATGTGTAGCCATCAATAATATAATCTCTCCCATTCTACCAATAACCTTTCGAGTGCCACAGGGCAGTATCTTGGGACCTCTTCTATTTCTTATATACATCAATGATCTGCCTAATGTCTCTAACATTCTGAAACCTATTTTGTTTGCTGATGATACTACCCTCATCTACTCCAACCCCAACCCACATACACTAAATGATGTTGTTAATAATGAACTAAAAAAAAGTCCACTTATGGATGTCAACCAACAAACTAACACTTAACATAGAAAAGACCTACTACATCCTATTTGGAAGCAAATCTACAAATGCAATTCAGCTTCAGATAGACAATGTAAACATTAGCAATAAAAATGATGGAAAGTTTCTTGGCATATTCCTAGACAAGAGACTCAACTTCAGTACCCACATACAACACATAACTAAGAAAGTCTCTAAAACAGTTGGTATACTCTCCAAAATCAGATATTATGTACCTAACTCTGCTCTCATCTCTCTATATTATGCACTAATCTATCCCTATTTCAACTATGGTATCTGTGCATGGGGTTCAACCACTGCAAACCACCTCAAGTCCATCATCACCCAGCAAAAATCTGCTATCAGATTAATATCAAATTCTGCTTTCAGACAACACACAGCCCCCTTGTTTAACTCCCTAAACATGCTAAACATAATCTCACTCCATAAATTCTCTTGTGTCAACTACATTTACAAAACCCTGTTCTTAAATGCAAATCCTTGTCTGAAACTCTTCCTGGACAGATGTAATAGGTCCCATTATCACCACACCAGAAATAAATATCTCTTTGATATCCCCAGAGTTAAACTTAATCTGTGTAAACACTCTATGCAAATAAAGGGACCCAGTTTATGGAACTCACTCCCTACTGAATTGAAAAGCTGTCCAACTTTTACATCATTCAAAATCAATACTAAAAAGTACCTAATTTCATCTTCATAGTTTTTCACTCTTTGCCTTAAAATTGCACTGTATCTATTGCTACCCAATCTCCCAACCTTTATGTTCCCAATTTGAACATCTTTACCATTGTGATCATTGCTGTCTTCTTATATGTGCTGTCAATCTGCTGTATGGTGTTTATAAATCTTGTTTATCTGTATCTTTTGCTACCCAGTCTCCCAATCTTTATGTACCCAATCTGAACATCTTTACCATTGTGATCATTGCTGTCTTATATGTGTTGTCAATCTGCTGTATGGTGTCTATTAATCTTGTTTAAATTACTAATCAAGCTGTCAATGTAATCAATCAGAGCTTTAATATAACAATGTGCTTTAATATACTTACTAAGCTCTCTCATATCATTTTTCTCTTGCAATGTATCTTTATCATTTATCAATTCTGATAGAAATTACCTACTTAAAATTATCTGCTAGATTAAGGACCTGCCCGAAACGCTGCGCGTACTAGTGGCTTTACAAGAATGTAAATACTGTACTATCCAATGTATTCTCACAAACCCAATGTACCTTCTTGTATATATATAAATAAATAAATAAATAAAACAATAATTTCTTATTGTAGTTATTATGTAGAAATAAAAAAAATGTTACAATGTTCCTTTTAATTACTCTTACTTTTATCTGCTAGATTAATGACCTATCAGAAACTTTATGCTTGTTAGAGGCTTTGTAAGAATGTAAGAACACCAATGTCATGTACTCTCACAACCCTATGTACCTTCTTGTAAAAACATAAATAAATAAATAAATCTACAGATTGATCAAAACGACTTAAAATATGAAATAAATTATTATATTAGCAAGAAACCCTACGTTGAAAAGTATGTATTTTACCACGACAAATTGAGAGAAAAAGCAGACTTACCCAAAGACAACAAAACAGCATATGGAACTCTGTTTATTATTTATTTCCTTTCTAAAAAGCATCAACGACACACGAATTGTCTGAGTGGAAATATGAGAGGCAAATTCTTTAAACATTCTCCAAGGTCACGTCAGTTCACTCATGTTTCCTGGCTCCAGATGAAACGTAAACACATCCAGGGGGGGAGAGGGCTGAAAATATTGTATAAACCGAGACTCAATGGACGTAATTAACACTCATTTCCAATAACATATTTGATAATTTACCAGTGACCAGGGCGCAGGTGGTCTCTAAGCAGTGGCAAGGTTGACTGGTAATCATGAATACTTTCTCTCCTGAAGTGTTCTCAGGCCCAACACATGCGCATGCGCAGTGTGTGTGATCCATAGGTCAATACGTCCACGGTCCAAAACATAGAAAACGGGGTGTGGTAATATATCCAGAGAAACTACTGTTTTGAGCTTTTTGTACTCATAGCACATTTGAGGGTTTGGCTTCTTCCTATATTGAACCCATTTTTATTTATTTCGTTCTCTGGTCCTCTCGCGACTTCTGTTGAGACAGTCCTGTTTCTAGTTCTTTGTATCTTTTTTGGTATAAATTTGTTTGGGGTTTCATCCTATATTTCACAAAACTTAGCATACATCTCATTGACTTTCTTCCCTAACAGCAAGTCATTCCAATTAAATTCATTAAATCACTTGATACGTCTCTTCTATAGTGTCCTCTCCTTGTGTGAGTGTGTACTCACCTAATTGTGCTTGCGGGGGTTGAGTTCTGGCTCTTTGGCCTCCTGCCTGGTGTACAGGTCAGCCTACTATCAATTTGAAACTGTCAAGCCCTCCACCACATCACTGCCTAATGCATTCCATTTGTCAACCACTCTGACACTAAAAAAAAAAATTCTAATATCTCTGTGGCTCATTTGGGCACTCAATTTCCACCTGTGTCCCCTAGTGCGTGTACCCTTTGTGTTAAATAGCCTGTCTTTATCTACCCTGTCAATTCCTCTGAGAATCTTGTACGTGGTGATCATGTCCCCACCTAACTCTTCTGTCTTCCAACGACGTGAGGTTTAATTCCCGTAGTCTCTCCTCGTAGGTCATACCTCTCAGCCAGGGTACTAGTCTGGTGGCACACCTTTGAACCTTTTCCAGTTTAGTCTTATGCTTGACTAGATAAGGGCTCCATGCTGGGGCTGCATACTCCAGGATTGGTCCGACATAGGTGGTAAACAAAGCTCTGAAAGATTCCTTACACAAGTGTCTAAATGCCGTTCTTATGTTGGACAACCTGGCATATGTGTGTGTGTGTGTGTACTCATCTATGTGTGCCTACAGGATCAAGCGTTGACTCTTGGATCCCGCCTTTCTAACCTTTGGTTGTTTAAAGCAATGACTCCGGTCGTACTTCTCTATCATACCTAGTCGTAAAGCTGTGAATAGTGTTTGCTTTCATAATGTTTTTCTTTAGTTCATTCCATTTCCCCACTACTCTCACGCTGAAAAAAAAAAATCTAACATCTCTATGAGTCATCTGCGTTTCCATCTTCCACCCATGTCTCCCCTTGTTCTGTGGGTATTCCGCGTGAACATTTCGTCAATCTCCACTCTGTCAATCCCATTAAGTATTTTGTATGCTGCTATCATATCTCCCAGCTTTCACCTTTTTTTCTAACGTCGTCAGATTCAGTTCATTCAGTCGTTCTTCATATCCCATCCCATGTAACTCTGGGACGAGCCTCGTCGCAAATTTGCTAACTTTAGGAAACAATTAGGAAACAGTCTTTGCAGGGAAACAGTCTCCACCTCTGAGTTACATTCCTCCTGTGTAGGTGTTAACTATTTCTTGGACAGTGAAACACATTCTTGCTAGACATCATGTTTTGTAACACCAGAAAATAAAACTCTAATATATCATTAATTCATTAGTTCCCCCTCGCCTCTCACCAGTCTAACCGCAGAAGCTGGCTAGTTTGCTGTGGAATTTCTTATTTAGAGTGACTGTTCCTTCGTTGCTCTAGCCTAGGCAGGCAAACCCGAAGGTATCGTCTGCTTCCCTAAAATAAGTCCTACCCCTACCTCAAGACAATCGACTTGAGAATGGTCCAGGACGGACCGAAACGTCGTCGTCCGTTCACCTGCTAGTGTGTGGCCTGGTCAACAAGTCCTACCCCCACCCCCCATGCGCTTTTCGTGAGCATGCGTCTCGAGCTCAGTATTAAGCTGTTGTGTGCAGGTGGTCAGGCGGTGAGTCCAACCCTCCAGACTTGGATTCTCTTCATTAAGGTTGGACCAAAGGTGATGGCATGACTTTGTCTCCAAGCTCAGTGTTGTACCTGCACTCGTTGCTATGCAATGGGGGGCTTCCTGTACCCATTTCTACGTCTTCTGTTCCCAGTACCCATCACCAACATATGTACTTACACCAACAGATGTACTTAAACCAACATATTTACTTACACCAATATATGTACTTTCACAGCCCATTGTACACTTCTTGTATATACATAAATAATACAAATTGTCCACAATCCTGCTACCAACGTTAAAAGTATTATTAACTTAACGTTTCTGTAATGCGATGGGAGAGGTAGGTCTCATATTAATAATTTTTCTCATTGATGATAATAACCTAACTGGCCATATCTGTGGGGGGTAAGACCGTCAGTGAAGGTGACAGCCTTGGCCTGGCATCTTCCCTGTCAAGGCCACCTGTCAGTACACTATCGACCAAAGGTTGTTGTTGTCGGTGAGAAGAAAACCCGCCCTAGAACACTGTGATTCAGTTCCTTCTGAGCTATGAGAAGGACACTGTTGCTAACTTGGATGAGTCTCAGTGCCTGATAACTTGATAATAATATTCAAGTTCCAGCATGATGCATTTACCTGCGCTATTTTTTTAGTGTAATTTATATCAGATTTAGTCTGATTTTGTTTTGTTTTGTTTACTCCAGTGTTATAGTTAGGAAAATTCCGGAAAGTGCTATATCTACGTAATGTGTTTAAAGATGCGGGGGAGGGGGGGGCCTGATGTAATTACGTAGTTACGTAATTATTCCATGGGGAATAATTATAATAATAACTTTTTGGTTATTACGTAATTATTCCCGGGGAATTCATTACGTAGTTAGATAATTACATAGGGCCTCCCCCCGCCCTTTGCCAAGAAAAAATAATATTTTGAAATCAAATGGGGCTGACAACCTTTCAAGACAAAAAAATAATAAATGTTTTTATGAATTTATGGGTGAAACTAAAATTCCAACAATACAACACAGGGACTCGTTTTTGGTACAAGAGTCCATGTTCTGTACATTCCATCCATAGTCGGTATAGGTACTACTATCATTCTTGGAGAACCTGGTTGCTCTCTGAAGAGAGAGAAGACGACGAAAAGATGTCTTGTGAATCGTCTGCTAGATGCAGTCACGATTTAATGTTCCCACAAACACAACTTCTCTCACGTAACACAATGGTGGCTTTGTTTACTGCCTCTTTAAGAAGAGACAGTGCATGAAATAATAACAACATTTTGCAGAGCGTGAGGAACTTGAACGCTGGATCCCAAAAACCCAGGGATATAGGCTATTTTTTTCCATATACTGATCCCATTTATGCTTTATTGCAGTTATTTTTTATATTATTATTACATTAATGATTATTACAAAATAAAAATATTGGTTTTTGTTAGGTATACGGGAGAACTTTTGATTTTTATCCTTGGATAACCAGGTTTAGTGTTCTCGTATTTAGTTATAAACATTGCATTGTTTCAAGGCAAAATAAAATATTTCACATTGAGTTAGATGGTTGTTATGAATGAGTGAGTTACCTCGTCATAACTGGATTTAAATTTCCAGTTTAGGCCAAGGCTGTGGCTAATTTACACGCCATTAATTGGTTTACAATAATTGTTACTTGAAGTTGATCATTGTAAAGTAAGATGTTGCATATGTTTTTTAAACCTCTTTGGTTGGACAGTATTTTATTTGCAGAGGCATATATATGCAAATCTGCCTTGCTGTAAAATAACGAAATGAATTACAAGTATAACTAGTCATACTTAATTTGCTAATTAATTTGCAAGTTGAATCGTCAGTCATGAAGCTAAGTAATAAAGTATGCAAATGAACCTACAGGCATATGTTTTGTTCCTTAAGCAGTAGACTATACGTAATTCCTAGTGAAAGGATAATTTGTTGGAATAATATTTGGTAACTACTTGTTTTTAGTTTAAAGGGATGCTGGTTGCCCGGGGGAATATTTAATCTTGCCTGTCTCAATAAAGGTAAGTGCAGCATAGTAAGCCTTCCTGGTGTCTGTTGCCAAACATTCATCTATTCTGCAACACTCAGATTTTCAGGCACGTTAACTATTTGATTTGCTAATATATTGACTGTTTATGCATCTATTCCTCAAGTTGTTCTAAACTTTGATCTAGTATTTCAGTCATCTTAACCCTGAGAATTCAGATAATTTCATTAAGAAACTAGTTTCTTCTGCATAGGCTGAGATGGGGGGGCCAACAGAGCAATATTTTGGGTGATTACTAAATAACTGGGTGACAGCAGACAATCTTGTAGGGGTGATATTCCCGGAATGGTTCCTTACAGATCCATATTATGCGTCTTGAGAGCCTCCACAACTCGTGGACAGTTCCTGACGGCAGCCTCCTTAAGGATGGAGTCTCCAGCAACACTAACGGCTGTGTTGTGGGTGAGAGAGTGGGTAAGGTGGAGAGAAACGGCCTTGGTACTGCTGAAGAAGGCGGCGCCAATCCCCATACCCTCCGTGAAGATGCTCTCAGTCCTGAACTGCGGGTAGCCGTAAGGGATGGGGTAGAAGAGCTTTGTCGGCCAGACGGTGATGTCGCCGCAGATCTCGAACTGGTCGGGGGTGACGGAGGCGGGGATGGTGACGTTGTCGGGACACCGACGATGGAGGTGCTGAGTGATCAGATCAGGACCGATGCTGCAACACATGCCCGGGTCAAACACTGAAGGGATGTCCGCTACGACTGCCTGCGGAGGTTTCAACGAGGCAAAAATTACTCACACTCAGTATTATTAACACACAGAATTCACATTAACGTGATATATATATATATATATATATATTGCCAGTCGCGCATTCTACCACTGAACCATCTTTGACCTGAGGTCCCTACTGAAGCCAGTCCAAGTTTTTAAGTATGACCCACAAGCCCTCGGGTAGAAGGGTGAAGTGGTCTCTTTTTTTTCTTCTTTTTTTTTACGTCAAGGGGCAAAGTGGTTTTACACTTTTACGACGTAGTTCCCATGTTTATCCCCACTGGAATGAGGTTGTTTGTTGTTTTACGACTTGCGTTATCCTCCTCCTGAGATATCTCTCAGTAGTAGAGTAGATGACTGGCAATACAGGGATTGTAGGCTCAAGCGTTACCTATAGTTCTAGTGGATTTTTTCAATACTATTATTATTATTATTATTATTATTATTATTATTATTATTATTATTATTATTATTATTATTATTATTATTATTATTATTATTATTATTATTATTTTATTAAAATTGCATGTATCGATCTCATTTAATTCCTATTGATATTCTGTATGGAGCCTGGTAAATACCTCGTCTGGTCTAGTGGACATGATGGGCTTTAGTGTGATTATTTGCTTGATAACATTTTATCACTCAAAATGTCAACTCTGCAACAAAGAAGTCATTAGTTTATCTATATCAGAGGAATCAGTTTCCCCTGAGGGACGTCTTATCTAGAGACAACTTACTTACACGGAAGGACACTGCACAAGGCTCCTTGACCCATGCAGGGAAACTCAGCTGTCTAACTCTATTTTCATAAAAGATTTTGGATATTATTTAAACTTATTAAATTTGTTCTCCTTTTCAGTAGCCTTTGATCATTCCCCATGTTACATCTTTCCATCCCGTTGAACACTCCAGCAATTAGCCTCACCTAAAGAAACGGGTGTTCGAAAAATGTATTGCCTGATTACATAACAATACAGGCGTTCGAAAGTGATGGTGCACGGAGCCCGTCTTTTGAAGAAACGAATTTTGGAAGGTGAAGCGTGACCTCAAGTTTAAGTTCAAGGACGTTTATTGGGAGATAGTGAAATAGATCTCAAAGGGACAGAGTAGCTTATAGGCTATTTCTACCCTTATGCTTGACCTTACCTGAAGAAACGGGTGCCCCGAACTGAAGCTCAGGATTCCACCGTTGACGAGGTTGACGTGGATCCGTGCGAGCCAGTTGGTGGAGCGAGGCAGAGCGCGGAGAGTGATGAAATCCAGGTCAAGGTAGGTTCCTCCGTATCTCCTCAAGACCTCCACACGGGCGGCGTCGCTCACTACCCAAGCTACGCGGTCTGACACACACACACACACACACCAGGGGCGGTGGAAAGTGGCCAGATATCAGAGTACATATAATTTTTTTTTTTTAACGTAAGCTCAAATTTCAAGAACTTCGGGAGTACGAGTTAGGAGTGTTTGTACGTGCCTGCGTGCGTACGTACGTGTGTGTGTGTATGTGTATGTGTGAGTGTGTGTGTGTTTTGAAGAGATTTGAAGTGGAAATTTTTATTTCAAGAGACAATTTGATATTTCGCATTACTCAGGGCTGAATACGTCTGTCTGTCTGCCTCTACTCACCTTCACCCATGACCCAGACACGGTCTCGGTGCCAGGTCCTAAGAGGCTCTTCACTAAACACCTCGTCCAGGTCCAGCCAGGCCAGTCGCACGCTCCTCAACCCTGACAACACCTGAGAAGTTGTTGGTTGACGTCATTAAGACCAAACTCTCCATGATACCCCTCATCAGCTTGTGTGTGTGTTGACGTCTTTTATGTAAAGCTTTAAGTGATACACCAAATATCTCCTTATGTTGGTACCACTGAAGGGCACACTCCTACCAATTACACTAGTTGTCAGTTTAATACTATCATTGAGCTTTTTACGCATATATCAGAACTGTATACTGCACGAAGCCTGATATACGTAAAAGTGAGAAGTGTAGCTCTCTGTGTTTACAAAGTGAGAGGTGTACCTTTTTTGCGTACATACAGAGAGAAAAGTGTATTTCAAAGTGCATATTAAACACATAGGTATACTTTGTAGTGCAAATATATCAAGAGGTTGTAGTTGTTGTTTAAGATTCGCTACCTGGAGCAAAAAGTTTCAAGTAGCACGGGCTATGGTGAGCTCGTGAATCAAGAGTGTATGTACTTATGAGTGTACCTACACAGATATTTGACCATCATCCATTTTTTGTTGTTGTGAAGTGGAATGCACTGTGCAGGAATGTAAACACTAATGGTTAGGTTTACCTAGGGTTTGCTTATTAACATTACTGTTAGGTTGCGTCAGAGAATGATGAATAATGTGTTATGTAAACAAAAAAAAAACTACAAGAGGGGGTGGGTGTGTGGACTCACCCACATGAATGGCCGGTCACAGACTCATCAAAATGAATGGCCGGTTATATGGACTCACCTGCATGAGTGGATGGGTCTGATTGACGGCGGGGGCGGTCATCAGAACGAGAACTAGGCGTTGTGGGTGGTGGTGGGCGGCACTCTCCACAGCACAAGCCTGTGGGTTGGGGCGGTGGGTGAGTATAGAGGGCGGTGGGTGAGTGTAAAGGGTGGTGGGTGAATATAGAGGGCGGTGGGTGAGTATAGAGGACGGTGGGTGAGTATAGAGGACGGTGGGTGAGTATAGAGGACGGTGGGTTAGTGTAGAGGGCGGTGGGTGAGTGTAGAGGGCGGTGGGTGAGTGTAGAGGGCGGCGGGTGAGTGTAGAGGGCGGCGGGTGAGTATAGATGACGGTGGGTGAGTACAGAGGACGGTGGCTGAGTATAGAGAGCGGTGGGTGAGTATAGAGGGCGGTGGGTGAGTATAGAGGGCGGTGGGTGAGTATAGAGGGCGGTGGGTGAGTATAGAGGGCGGTGGGTGAGTATAGAGGGCGGTGGGTGAGTATAGAGGACGGTGGATGAGTATAGAGGGCGGTGGGTGACACCAACATACATCCACCTGGCGATAAGGACACACTCACCTCATATGTGGTGAGTGTGACGTATATGACACGTCACATACTTTACACATATGTGACGTGTCCAAACGTCACATACGTGTAAGTCATCACCACACATTTCCATCTTTGCATCTTACATTTCCGCCCAGGTATAAAGAAGACTAACAAGACCCAAGAAAAAACAGAAGCCTTAGATGAATCTTACCGCCATTTAGGCGTTATTATTGAAAATAACAGAAGCGGGAATTTACCGTTTTTTGGGGACTCGAAGTCTATACTTAAGCTTATCGAAGTCCTCATCTTCCTGAGATCTCTGGAGAACAATATATGCTGGTGAGCCATACCTCTCGGGCCGACAGGAAGGTGCTGCAGGAAGTCTGGGTGAAGAAGATGGTTCCCTCGTCAGGTGGGGTCCAGGTGAGCTTTAGGTGAGCCTCGAAGTCTCGGCTCGAGACTTCGAGCCGAGACCTTTGTCCTCTTTGTCCGTAACGAGGACAAAGGTGAGGCACCCAAGTTCCCCGCCCGGCCACTCCTGGAGACTCTCCCCAGTCTGGGAGTCTTGGAGTTACGATGTCTCGAGTCTGTAGTTTCTTGGAGTCCTTGCTTAATGGAGATAGTTCTTCCCGTTCATGCACATCCCAGTTGACAGCATTTTCTTGTCTGTCGACGCAGCACATAAACACGACCACCAAGGAGGTGGTGACCACAGCGGCCTTGACGCTCCCGGCTCTTCTGCTTAGGAGGTTCATTCTTCCTCCCTGAAGGTTTGGTGTCCAAGCACTGAAAGAAAACATTTACTGTGACTTAAGAATGATACACTTCTAAGCACTTTGTATAAAGAATCGTACTCATTTCAGTTTTGTCCAATAGCTTTCCAGAAATTCTTAAAAAACACTAACATAATAATAACAATTATAATAATAATAATAATAATACATTCAGAAATCACAATAACGTGATATATCAATGAACAAATCCACAAGGGCCGTGTTGAGGGTTCGAACCTATATGCACTATATGCACACATCAAAAATTCAGCTGTGGAAAAGAAGTTCCAAAATAGAAGTTCTATTTTACAGGAACTTCTTTTCCACAGCTCATAAAACGGAGGAAAGGGTCCTGAAAGATATTGTTAATAGAAACGTTATCCCTACAGACAAAAATCAGAGGATACAACTGACGATTTACTATAAAACCAGAAAAACGGCCAGCCTACTCATGAGAAACTCTCCAGACACAAATCAGAACGCTTTAAAAGAGACCAACTTCGTCTATGCCTTCAAATGCCCACTTGGGGACTGTAAGCTCCAAAAAAACCCAGTATATAGGCAAGACAACAACATCTCTTTCTAGGCGTTTAACGATGCATAAGCAACAGGGCTCCATTAAGGAACATAATCTCTTCCCACAACCAAACCATCGCCAGAGAAATCCTAGTAAACAACAAAGAAATCATCGATAGATACAGCGATAGCAGACGGCTTGACGTTTGCGAGTCACTGCACATTAAGAAGTCAACACCAGCAATCAACAGCCAATTAATGCACAACTATATTCTACCCACCTCAAGACTCCGCTCCAATATAGAAGCATCAAGAAATATGGACCAATAGGCTTTCTACAATCACTTCCATTTCAATACCCATTGTTTCGTGTTCTGTCTTGTGTTGATGAAATTAATACCCTATTAAATACCACCTCACCCCATCCACCTCACTCAAATGTAGATATAAACAAATCGGAGATATGTAAGTTCTATTCAGTTGTGTATGTGTAAAGTCTTTGAAAATGTAATAAGTTTTACGAAACGCGCTCGTGTCGCGTCAGACTAGAAATAAAAATGAATTTTGGAGAATTGATTTTTGAATTACCTCCAACAGTGAAAAGAAATGTACGAAAGATTGAGAAAATTCGTGTTATAATTATTAATCTTACTTTTTCGGTCATATTTAACAATATATATATATATATATATATATATATATATATATATATATATATATATATATATATATATATATATATATATATTTATATATATATATATTGTATATATATATATATATATATATATATATTATATATATATTGAAGCGTTGTATACATGTACACTTGCCCCCACGAAGGATGTAACCTTCAATGTAAGTACATAGGTATGACGTCGACCAAGCTGACGAGGCGTTTGACATGCCATCTTCAATCTGGTGCCCCTAGGAATCACGTGAGACAAGCCCATGACATTACTCTAACAAGAGAAATGTTGAACAAGAATACTTGCATAATAGACAAAACCCAAGATTCAAGAAGATTACAAATTCTTGAGGCAATTCACATAAGAATAGAGCGACCTACCATGAACACCCAAATCACGGAACTATTTACTCTACCCACCATGAGAGTAAGGACAAGACAAGAACATATCGATGCCAACACAGAAGACAATGTCCAACATAACAGGCCAATTACACTGGATTAATCTTTGTGTTTATATATATATATATATATATATATATATATATATATATATATATATATATAATTTATATATATATATTTTTTTAAACGTCTAGTTGGAACAGCCTACAAGTGTAGCATGAAGATAATGTTTATAAGAGTCTGGCCAGTTTGTTAGTGATTGACCTCTGAGCATCACTTGGAAGAAAAGTGTCATTTTAGTGATTACAGCTTACGCTATATAGTACCGGGAGAGTGGTCGAGCCTGTATGGAGGTGGTAATCGGTACACTGTGAGATATATATTTATTTAGCGGCCCATTGAACTATAATGACCTACGTAAACTATGCTAATTCTGGATTGATAAATGACGAAACTAACAAGGAAGCTCTGTTTATATATATATATATAAAAGATACGAAGGTTTATCTTACCTTACAAGATTCATTCTTCACCGCTACGTATATCAATAAACAAAGTACCAGGAAAAGGCTGTGCTATTCCTGGGTACCTTAATGGCATAATTGCTTCAGGCGATGTTGAGCAATGATTGCGTCAGGATATACAGCAATACATCTTTCGCTTCACTTGTGAACACATCATCATGGCCGTAGCGAACACTTCAAATACTTAAATGTTATTAATAGTGAAGTTGTACGTGTAAAATTTGGTCCACATGAAATTCTTATTCGAATAGAACTGAATACATTCACTGCAAACGCAAAATTTGCTAGTGTGAAAAGTTATGCTACTGCATGATTTTTCAGTGTTAAAAAAAAATACAATTCGCTACATCAGTGTAGATAGACAACGTAACGTGTGGAGCAAGTGGATCAACATGATGTTGGTGGAGACGAAACACATATATCTCCGCCAAGTACTGTGTGAGGCTCAACGATGCTGTGGGCCACAAGAACACTGTGGCACTCAAGGATGCTGTGAGAATCAGTCTAGTTACGGGAGTCAGTAATGCTGTGCACATACACACACAAAGTGGGGTAGAAATAGCCTAAGCTACTCTATCCCTTTGAGATGTATTTTTTCCTTGTCTCAATAAACATACTTGAACTTGAACACACACACACAAGGACGACGTGGGGCTCACTGATGCACCGAGACTTAAGGGTGTCGTGGCAATCAAGAATCCTTAAGGGGACTCTGATAGTGCTGGGCTTTCCTTAATGCCAACTTCAAGCAGGATTCTAATTTTAGAACACTAACTCGTGAACTTTCCTGGTAAAAATCTCGCCAGGTTCTCTTTATCGTGCTCGCCAGCGGAGAGGCCCGAAGATGAGCGCGCTGTGAAAATAAGCAGACACGTATTTTTGAAACGTTACTTGTTTATGCTATCATCAACTGGTCATGGCGAAATGGAAGTTTCAGAGAATGACGTTTACGTCATTAGACATTTCAAATATGTTTCTGTGTGCTATGATTGGTACTGATTATTGTTATTATTATTATTATTGTTATCATTATTATTATGAAAACTGTTTTAGGTAAACCCATCCTCCTGTTTAGAGACTACCTATCCATACAATACTTTATGGATTGGTCCCCCTTACCTCTACCCACACACTCCTCTTTCCTCCACCCACATGTTCCTCTTACCTCCACTCACATATTCCTCTTACCTCCACCCACATGTTCCTCTTACCTCCACCCACATGTTCATCTTACCTCCACCCACATGTTCATCTTACCTCCACCCACATGTTCCTCTTACCTCCACCCACATGCTCCTCTTACCTCCATCCACATGTTCCTCTTACCTCCACCCACATGTTCATCTTACCTCCACCCACATGTTCATCTTACCTCCACCCACATGTTCATCTTACCTCCACCCACATGTTCCTCTTACCTCCACCCACATCTTCATCTTACCTCCACCCACTTGTTCCTCTTACCCCCACCCACATGTTCATCTTACCTCCACCCACATGTTCATCTTACCTCCACCCACATGTTCATCTTGCCTCCACCCACATGTTCCTCTTACCTCCACCCACATGTTCATCTTACCTCTACCCACATGTTCCTCTTACCTCCACCCACATGTTCCTCTTATCTCCACCCACATGTTCATCTTACCTCCACCCACATGTTCATCTTACCTCCACCCACATGTTCATCTTACCTCCACCCACATGTTCCCTTGTTGGTGTCAATCATGGACTTAACGTGAGACTTGCTAGAAAGTTTTATGTATCATTTATACGCTCTGTGATTGACTACAGTGCTCTACATCTCACACTGTATACTGACAAAGAGCTGAAATCTCTTGAAACCTTGCAAAATGAAGCTATCCGTCTCATCCTTGGGGCTCCAAAGTCCACGAGAATAGTTAATATAAGAGCAGAGTTAAAATTACCTACCATAAGTGAGAGAATTTTGTCTATTAGCACAGTTTTCGGCGTGAAGGCATTGAGTAGATCTAGACAACACATGAAGTTTCAAGCTAAACTTTCTAATATGCTGCACTCACCTGAGGTCTATAGAAGAAGAACGAAATCTGATTATGTATATTGGTTCTACAAGGTAGCCAACTCCATCAAAATATTAAATATGTACCCAACTCAACTAATGATTAATCAGCCAATTACTCCATTGGATAACTGGGATCTATCAGTTTATTTTGTAAATGCGCCCAAGAAAGATAGTGTGCACACTATATTATTAAAACAGTTAACACTGAAAAGCATCACTGAAAGTACTCAGAGTATGGGTAACGATGTTTATCAGTGCTATACCGACGGCTCTGTAGAAGAAGGTGGACGATGTACCGGATGTGCATGTAACATATTTGAACAATCTTCTCTCGTACATACAGCAATGAAGCGCGTCAATGACTGGGCAAGTACAACTCAAACCGAACTTGCAGGCATATACCTTGCCACTGAATTTTTAAAAGACAAAGGCAGTGGACTTATATACTGTGACTCGCAGAGTGCACTCCTGGCATTGAACGCACATAGTAGTGACACCCAGAAAATAGTCAGTGATATTCGAATGAATGTTTTAGCTGCCAAAGAAAATAGATTTGAGATTAAATTCCTATGGATACCATCACATGTTGGCATCTCAAGGCATGACACTGTTGATATGCTTGCTAAGTCAGCCTGCAGAAAACCAGTGGTAGAAATTGATATGAGTGTTTCATTAGCAGTGACAAAGAGAATACTTAAACAAATATCTAATGAAAATCTCACCGACCTAACAAATTCTCAAAGACCTGAAAGTTGTAGCATTAAATATTATGATAGATATCGTGAGGAGACATTCACATATGGGA